TGTTTCTTCCTCGCCGTTCATCTGGAGAGAAATGGCACTTCCTGTAGAATGTCTATTAACATAAACAGGGGCCAAGCCTGCGTCGCCAGCGGTGCCATTTGCTTGTGGGCCCGTAGTTGCGTCGGAGCCTGGGCTCAGCACATTGCCGAGGGTGTAAAGAGTGCTGATGACTGCATCTTTGGAGAGCAGCTTCAGAACATAGGCCAAGCTCTTTGAGGCCACTCCCACAGTATTGCCTTGTGGTGCAGTTTGGACCAGGAATCGCGGAAGCACGCGGCTGACAGTCGAAGAAAACGACGGCGCAATGCGGCAGCTGAGAGCTAGGCATTGAAGAACTGTGGACGCCAGAGTTTCATCAGTCATCTGAAGAGGGTCTTCCAGTGCCTCCTGAAGCCAAGTGGTGAGAACATCTGCATCTGCAACCTCTTCATTCAGAAGAGAACAGTTCAAATATGTGATCATGGCAGCAGATTTGACTGCATAGGCAAGCTGTTGCTGAGAGTGCGCCCCAAGACGTACAAAGTCGGCACCAGCTTCAATGTAGTTCATCTGCTCCACTGCAAGATTGGCATAGGCCTCAATGGAGCTAACATCAGGTTCTGAGCCTGGCTTTGATACGCCGTTCAGGCTTCCGTCCTTGGACATGAGAATATCCAAGATGTGGGTTGTCCGAAGGCGTGGCCCGTCCGCAACCATCAGAGAACTGCTCGCCAAGACTAGCCACATGAAGCTGCGTTGCAGCAGCATTGCCCCAAGGGGCCTCCCCGAAGCGGCATAATGGCGTAGGTGTCTCTTCCATTCCTTGACCTCTCGGTCTTGGCTGAGGGAGTTGCGGATGGTAGAGAATGCCGTCTCGACCGCAACTAAGAACGGCTCGGAGAGAAGCTGGCGGAATTTTTGTATGAGAAATAGTCGGCCATCAATTCCCCAGAAGTCGACTTGGGCGGATACGGCATCGAGGAAGCCAACAAGAGCAAGGGCAATCGTAGCAGTACGGATTGCATCGTCTAGATGGGGATTTTCCGGATCTCCAACGTGCGGCGACAGCACATTTTCGGCAACCTTATTACAGTCGTTGGTGAAGTGCCAGATTCCATTAGAAATCTCTTCGTGCAGCTCGTGATAGTTGTTGCCAAGCGACAGCAGCGCGGCCGTAACGTGGAAGGCCAGCGACTCGGTTGGCGAGGGCTCGATCTTGCGGAAGAAGGGCGAAGAAACAAAGACTTGGGTATGGATATCGAGGATATAGGGGATCAGTCGGTACGAGAGCTTCTGAGCGCTCTGGCTGGACTGGATATTCGGCGCGGTCTTGCACAAAGCGACTAGGACTTCGAATTCGCGAATAGACTAACAAAGTTGATTGGTTAGCTCCTGGGGGCCCTTTCACATGTAAGCTAAAGATGCGAGAAAGTTTGAGCTGACCATGGGGACTCGTCCAATGGAGCCGATTGGCTTCGAGTTATGGTTTGCCTGCGCATATTCGGCTGCTTTCCCTCCAGAATTGCACGCTCTGCTGAGGCGTTCGAGATCTGATTTCTCAAACAAGGTCGCGGGTCCGATAGCTGATAGCGAAGCTATCTTCTCCAGCGCTTTGGCGCGGATGTCGCGCATGGTGTCTCCGATCGATGTTTTAATGCTTTGATTAAATATAGTTGGAAAAGCAAAAAAAAAACAAAAGGTAAGCTCCCGTAGAGCTGCGCAGACGACTTTCTGCGACAAAGAATGCAAAAGCCGTCGAGCAGCGCGAAAACACGGAGTTAATTCCAACACCTTGAAAGGGGTGGTCACTGTTAATTGCGACAACCAACACCGAGGCTTAGTCATCCAAGCTACCCCCCAATCCCAGCCTAGCAAGGCTCCCACTTGACGCGTGCATGCTGTAGCGATATAGCATCAGAGCTGACGACAGGGCATAGCTTGCCATCATCAACCACCTCTACTGCCGCCGAAGCTGTCAACCGCCACCAAGCAAACGCCGCAGACATGGCCGCAATGTTCAGCCAGAACCCGCTCATGAACGGGCCCAACTATTCTTTCTCAGACGCTCCCAAGACCCGGGGCGAGCCTCGAGAGCATGCCTTCAACCCGTAGGTGCCCCAGCTCTGAAGATTCATCAACCGCAGCTCATTAACTGTTTGCAATAGCTACACCGACAATGGCGGCTCTACTCTGGCCATCTCGGGCGCCGATTTCACCATCATGGCCGGTGACACTCGCCACACCAGCGGCTACAGCATCAACTCCCGGATGTCCCCGAAAGTCTTCAAGATCGGAGGCACCACTGCCAGCCAGGACGACGCTACCATAGTTTTATCTGTCTGCGGATTTGCCGCCGATGGCGAGGCTCTGCGCGATCGTCTGGATACCATCTGCAAGATCTACCGCTACCGACACGGCAAGCCAATGTCCCTCAACGCATGTGCCAAGCGCCTCTCCACCATTCTCTACCAGAAGCGATTCTTCCCATACTACACGCACGCCATGCTTGGTGGCCTTGACGAGGAGGGCACGGGTGCTGTGTACTCCTACGACCCGGTTGGAAGCTACGAGAGGGAGCAATGCCGAGCTGGAGGAGCTGCGGGCAGCTTGATTATGCCCTTCCTGGACAACCAGGTCAACTTCAAGAACCAGTACATTCCCGGCAGCGGAGAGGGCCACGACCTGAAGGAGAGGGAGCGTCGTCCATTGTCGCGGCCGCAGGTCGAGACTATTGTTAAAGATGCTTTTGATGGTGCTGTGGAGCGTCACATCGAGGTCGGTGACACTCTGCAGATGTTGATCATCACAAAGGACGGTATCGAAGAGGCGTTTTTGCCTCTAAAGAAGGACTAGACTTGTGACTTTTTGTTGTTTATTGAAATGCATAACGATGAAATAATACTTAGCCGTTCAGAATGAACGCCCGAAGAAGGCTTGATTTTGGACGCACCTCCGGACTCTTCTCCCGCGTGATCATAAATTCTCTTATCAATCTCCGCTTCAGAACATATTGACATGCAGCCCGCGATGACACCACCCACGCAGCTAGATCCAAAGCCGAAGGCGGTGTACAGAGCAAAAAAAATCGTTTGTAGGATTTCGGCAGTACTACTACCGACCTACCAATGTGTAGTCTATTCCGTACACACGTACTTTGTAACAAATTGCAAATTGCCTCCACACCCACCACCAAATTCTGCACTGGTTGCGAGCTCTGAGTGGCGGCGAATTGCTCGCAGCTCCACCGGGACAAGTCTGATCAGCAAGAGGAGGCGGAGACAAAGGGCAGCGTTTTACTGGTAGGCAGCTCGAACGGTTTATTTCATCTCGGTCTGAAAAAAAAAAAAGCTCCTGAGAACTCTGGTTGGACGACGAACCCTGCCGGCAGAGCCAATCCCCATGGAGCTCTGCCGCAGCTGAGCTGATTTCAGCGTCCCTCAACCGGCGTCTACTCGCTAGCCACACCCAAAAGGGACTGATGGGATTTACAAATTCAATTGTCGGGCAGATGGGCTTGATTACAGATGGAAGAGTCTTTTTGTAATGACCAGAAGGAATCAAAATGGCGCCTTTATGGCCTGTTGTGTCTTAAAATCCGTAGGAAAAGAATATACACTTTATTGAATTATAGGGGAACGTAGCAAGTATTCGATACAACGTAGTGGCCAGTCATTCAAGATAATGAAGTGCTTGTTGGTTATCTACGATACTTGGAAAGATACCGACTGTCTTGAGTTTTGACGTGGCATTACCTGTAGATCTATAGCGCTTAGAAGGCCGTTCAGTCCGAGATTGGTAGATCAATAGACCTTCCATGTTCATAGTCGGATATCAAAAGGCTTCCTTTTCTGGGCAGTCGTCATTGTCGTCATTGTGGTGCCTGTTCTGCAGTAGATGCAATTGGTGCGGCTGCGTACTATCCGATATTGATTGAATTCCAAAGTACCTAGTGGTGGTGGTGATGTGTACATGTACCTATTCCGGTAACATCGGGACTAATGACTGGACACACACACAACATCTCGCTCCTCGTAGCCAACAGCCTAAGAGAAGCATACTTGCAGACAGAGTTACTGTCCTACATTCACCCTTTGTTGTTCACGATGCTGGAAGTGTAGTATCGGCACTCTATTGCCTAATCTCGAAGCGCAGTATAATGGTGTGGAGGCAATCTTACTATTATGCGAATGGGGATAAAGGTGTTGCTTGGTCCCCCGCGCGCATATGACGACTTCCCTGCTACGTACTCCTCATCAGTATCATCACTCAGATTCAAACAAGTTAGCATCGTGGTAAAACATAAACACATATAGCGCACGCCAGTGGAGCTCCGCATGATTGCCCGCAGCAGCTTTCAGGGGTTCGAAGCGTTTCGCCGTGCTAAAACAGACTCGCCGCAATTCGTAACGACTGCCAATAGGGGACAGCATCATGTCTAAAGTCCGTTTCGCTGCCTGGCTCTCTTGCATTAGGGCCTGCTGGCCAAGCGCAAGGATCCAAACCTTACAGCGCATACGTGGCAAGCAGTACAGGTTGGCCCTCGTCCACGTGGTGAGGCCTCTCTCGTTTTACGAGTGCCCGTCGTATAACGGCCGATCAATGCCCCGCGCGCACGGCGGCCGATCCAATTCCATATGATTCTGAGTGCTGGTAGGACGGATTGTTAAAATCATGAGGGCAGGGGTGCCCTCCTCTTTGAATGCAAACGGTACCATTGACCCTCTTTTGGTGCAAGGCACTCAAGAGACCGATGCTCCCCCAAAGTACTAGAGGTATTCACCCTCGTATTCTGTATGTATCTTGTTATAGAATTGCGGCTTATGCGTCAAGCTGTCTCGGTGAAATAGCCGCATAATGCTTGTCCAATAAGGGAGAGTCGTGTGAGTCGTCCGAACTAATCCATCACTTGGATTGGCACTGGGGTCCTGGAAGTAGGGATGAACAGTCGGGAAAGCAGCGACGAATGATTTTGCCGTCTTTGGCTTTGATCGGGGCGGATGTACACTGAGAGTCCCGACAAGCTGAGGTGGCAATGCGGCCATCGTGGCGAGAGAGACGGTTATCGCTTCTCACGTCTCCTTCTGGCGATCCATATGGTGCGCTCATTCGGGACGTTCCTGGAAAATCGTCGCTTGGCCGTTGATGATTTGGCAGGACGATCCACCGTTCATGCTGTGCTGCCAATAGCATATCTCGGGCCGCGTGTTTGCCTGTTGATCGGAGCCGCGACGGGGCGTGAACTGCAGACGCTTTCGCCACCGAGACGACGAACTGGGATGCGAGCTGGAGGGCGGTGACATGGGCCGAGGCTGAAGTCGACAGACGTCGTCGGGCACGGGGTCAATGACGGATCTGCATGTAATCGATAGACGCAAAACAGACAGTATGAAGGAATTATGAACAGAATGAGGAGTTAGCACCGCTTCAATGGCCCAGTTCGCGGTGACAGACGCCTACATGTACGTTCGAGCACGCTGTCCCACTCCGGCCGAGACGTAGTGTCTTGGAGACCCCAGCGATGCGGAGTAATAGAGATGTGCCTTGGAATCGGACTTGGATCTCGCAAATGGCGTCATTTGGAGCGCTTCAGCCCTCTGCAGCACGATCCTGATCTCGCGGCATTGACGCAGATTGTGTACAGTTGGATGAAGACGCAGGGAGCAGAGGCGGCGAGAGATGCAGAAACAACAACGCTGCGTCTGCACCCGGCTACGTCACAGCGCGAAGAATGCGGGGAATCATGTGTAAATGCAATGGGCAATCTGTTCATCAGCATCTGATATGTATCGCAAAAACCCTTGATCGCAAGCAGGTTTGCCATGGCCATGTCGTCATGACAAGGAGCCCGAGCCCAACGTCGACGCGCCGTTATGCCCAAGCCAGGCAAGATCGGCACCCGTGCAGCTCGAAGCCCTGAACAGGCGTCGACGATGGCCGTTGGCACGTCTCCAGCCTCAGCCCAGCCACTCGCAATTCGTTGCGTCTCCAGCTGGACATGCAACTCTGGAGCTGCCTGCTGTAACCTACTGTACTTGTACATGACATGACATGCTGAGATGCCGCCGCAACTCATCCGCTAATGCAGACGGGCTGGCAATTTGGCACATGTGCTGCGTAACTTTGCACCCAATGCCCTCCCTGCCTATGGCAGTCCGCGCCATGCAACATGGCATACGATTGTGGCATCTGTAGCCCTTTTTTGCTTTCTTCTCTGCGATAACTGCCGAGCACCTTCTCCCCGGAGCATACGGTCCGGATTTCGTCCATAGAATTCGAAGAATGGATATTGTTTATTGCCTAGTTCGTAACAAGATGAGGGTGAAATACCGTTTAGGGAGCTAGCGTTTGCGAGCCATTGCGCAGGTACGCCGCGGTGCTCGAGCAAGCAGGTACCGTCTCGTACTAACGCGGCGTGCGAATTACCGCGCGATGGCGCTGCCCCAAGTACCAGCTCTATCCGCACGTTCCTGATTATGGACGTGTAAGTGCATGTGTGGCTGTACCGCCTACGTCGATGGGCGTGGGTGCATGTGCGTGTGGCGCTCGCGGGCTCGAGTCGACACGAGGGGTCAAGGTTTGGCCAGAACCTGCTTTCTGGCCTCAGTCCACTTTTGTGCCTCTGACTTCATCGTTCCCACCAGGGTCCAAGTCAAGGGTCCAGGCCAGGGTGGTGGCGGTGTTCGCGGGGAAGCGCCTCATGGGAACCTTCTGGATGGCCGGGCTGGCCTCGGAGTCGCAGCCGATGAGCATGTCCTCGATTCGAGGCCTAGGCGACGGAGATCATGGCATGATTGGAGCAGCGAGATAGGGCTGCCTGCAATGGATCGGCCTGCAGTGGTTTTTGGACCGACTACGCGTTACGAAGGACAAGGCCGTGGGCGGGCATCGTGAGACAGACCCAATTGCCCGTATATGGGGAATTGGGCGGAATCCGATGGCTGCATTATCGGGAAAGTGGCATTCCCCATGCCGGCCTGCCATCAATTGAAGCATAGGCCATGGGCAAATGCCATGGTGTGTGTGCGACAGTAGTCGATTAAAGCATTTTTAGGTCGCGGGATGGGCTTCGAACCCTTGCGTTGAGGAGGCTTGGCTACTAAGGATGTGGTGGGTGGGCCGGCATGGCAGAGATGGGAAGTGATCGACACGATGCCATGGGCCGTCGCTCAACGACGTGATATCTGGCGGCTGCACACATGCCTTGACCGAGTCTCGATATCCCAAGCTCCGTCGCCAGCTGTGCGCTTCTGGGCAGCAGAGCTTCCGGCGCCGATCATGCTGGGCTCGAGCTAGGAACTCGGTGCCCTCCCGGTGGACTTGGCGGATGCACGACGCCGCCGCTACGAATGTCGAAGCAACGTTTACGGGCTTTGATTAGAGCCCAGCGGGCGGTGTCCGCAGCTCGGCCTCGCGCTTGCATACATGTACATGCATCTGTCTGTGGCCCGTGATCAGTGAGGCAGATGGTCCCTGTGTGCGGCGTTGCATTCTGCAGTCGTGAAATCTCTGTATCTGGGCCCTCGACGCGAGACTCCGTCCAGGAGGCATGGCCTTGCCGATCAGAGCCACAATCACCTTATGGGCACAGCTGGAAATCCGAGCAGTGGATGCCGCCAAGGCCGTCGTTTCAAGCCGTGGACGCCGTGTCCATCTCGCTGGGTTCGGTGGCTTGACGGCTGGTATAAGCCATGGCCTAAGTGGCGCGCCATCTGGAAAAGCAAATCGAAGCAAACCGAAACAAAGAACAAAGAGGCCACATGGAGCCTCGGGTCCCACGCATCAGCCTCTGCTTGTGACAAGTCCACGATTTTGGAAATTAGGCTCGCGGAAGCCATCTCTTAGTCTCGGTGAAGCCGCGGCCGCAAGCCAGGCGCCCGCGTGAAGCTGCCTCCCCCCATGGGTGGCTTTTGCTTGATTCTGCTGGCTTCGAGAGACAAAATGCTCAGCACGTAGCTGTTCGTTGCGGGTGGTGTGAAGATGCTGACGACGGCTGAACCGGTGGCATTGCGTTGGCAGGTCCCATTGTGGATTGGGAGCAAGCTGCGGCCCAGTGTTGTCGGTGATGAGGCTGGCCGAGCTGTGATGCTTTTCGTCCTGAGCTGTTACTATGGCTAGCAGCGGATCGTGGCATTTTCGGCGTGGTGGCGAACCGGCAACAGCCACATACGAGTTCCCGGATTCCGGTTTTGTTTAAACTCGTGTGACTGATGCAACTTGGCTCCGCGATGGCTGCCCATCCACCCGCCACATTTGCAGATGTTAGTTCCAGGGCTCAGCTAGCAGCTGACTTGTCAACTCGCATGCCACTCTGATTCGTCCCTTTTTTTCCCTGGCTGCTGCCCTATAATTCTTTTGGTTATCCTTTGTGGCGACCTGTCTTGCTTGTGGTAGTACTATTTTTTGCTCCCCTGCTTGTCTCTTTCGGAGGGGGGGGGGGGCTCCATCATCCCTGGCCAGCCCCCAAACCCTTGTCCACACGCCCCCAGGGCGCCCTCCATAATAGTCCCATCACAGCTATGACATTTCACCTGCTGCCCTGCTTGGGAACACGGTGGACTACATCAGTTATCAGTTGTCAAGACAGTATAGCTCGAGGAGCAGCAAAAAAGCTTAGTACCCAGTCTTTTGCCAAGTATACACCCGTGATGGCGCTCGTCAAGCCCGGCGCCACCTCACCTCTCCTCTGAGACTCCACCCCCATCACAAGGAAATTCATGCACAACAAGCCACCTGGGGCTGCTCATCCGTGGCCCTGTTGATGGAACCGCAAAGATTTGCACCTGTAATGTTGGCAGCCATGCGGCCTTGGCTATGTTTAGTACAAGTATGACCAGGGGCTAAGCAAGTCTCCGCTTCTACTCTCGTTCCGGCCCAGAACAAAAGGGTAGGGATTTCCAAGCCGGTACCTTGGGTGCGTCTGAAAGCCCAGAAATATCCTGCTCTTGGTTCGTGCTCAGCTTGTACTTGCTGCTCGGCCACACTGTGCCCGGACCCTGAGATACTGACAAGCTAACCATAGCGGCATTGCCCTTTTAGCTGTAAAGCTTCATTCAGGTTTTGGGCATTTGGATCAGACAAACAAGTATTTTCCGATCCAACCACAGTGTAATCATTAAACGTCCTTGCCCGGAGAGACATTTCCTCCAGGTACTCTTTGGACTAGTTTGATCTTCCTCGAGGAGATAAATGGGGTAGGACAGCTGTAGCTCCCGAGACCCAAAACGCGATTTCTCCTTCCTCGATTCGCCAGTCCCAGGCATAATCGGGAGCAGCGTCATCGACTATTCGATTCAGCTCTGCAGCGATTGTCCAAGATCTTTGCCATCTTTGGCAACTTGCAGAATTTACCCAAGAGCCACCACACGCCCCCTTCTCCCAAAAGAAAGTCGACGGTGAACTTGCAAGCAAGGCTGCAGATCTAGAACGGCCTCGCCTGCTTACCTACTTACCGAGTGGCCCATAGTTTCCTCTCTACTCAAGCTTTGACACTTGTGAGTATGGCACCTATTGGATCGTGGAGTTTCGGCCGTGGCTTACCGACAAGGTTAACACGATTGATTAACTTGTTTACTGATTTATTATGAAACGTTTTTTTGGCAGGTGTGGGAAACAAAGGGCGTGAAACCAGTAGCTCAGCCATCTTTTTTTTTCCAACTTAATAATTATTACCTCCTACTACCTGCCCTGGGTAGCTGAGCCGCCTGAGAAAATCTTTTGTACCAGGTATGTCGATACGACCCAATCCTCTGCCTCGGTCTGATGTGGCTAGTGGCCGTTGATATCCTTTGGGTCTCGGCCGTCATAGACTCTCTCTTCTTCTCATCAAGCCTGTTCATCCTTTGGAAAGAACCTGTTATACAGGCGTTCCAGAAGGCTCGCTCCCCCCCCCGTCTAGTGTGTAGGAGAACTGCTGCCAGTCATCACCAGATTTCCACCAGAGAAGTGGGCTCTCTGGCGAGGAACTGCCGGCCTTGTAGCTCTCCCGGCCTTGGGGCCTGTCCAGCTTGTGCATTGCCTCGCCAAAAAACTCCTCTCCCCCCCCATAGGGTATTATCACCCCTGCTACGGGCACACTTCTCTATTCCAGCAGCATAGCGCGCCATTATCCGAACACTGTTTTCCCCAGAAAGGGATTGGCTGTTCCTTGTCGCTCCGCTCTGGAGGCAAATAGTAGTGTCTGCTGCACCCCTGAGGGCAAGTACCTTTTTGGCTCACGTCACCTGAATGGTTACCAAGTCCTATTATCATCAAACGGAATACTCTCACTCTGCTATTCGACGAAAATTTGGCATTGCCACCGTCTCGAGGCTCAGAGTAGAGTAAAGTTATAGCAACGTTCCCTAGTGGACGCGTTGCTTCGTGGGCATTTTTGATTTGTGGCAAGCGCCAGGGCGTATCATCCCCAGAGTATGCAAGGATACACTTCGCTGGACGTGGGCGACTCTCAGGCTTTATCAACACTTGCAATCTAACTAGATAATCAGAGGCCAATATCCATTATTCAGCTTTCTCTCTTTTACTTACTACACGATCTTTTCCTTCCAAAAGCCCCCTTGTAGTCGGCTACACATAAGATTCAGTCTGCTCCGGCGGATCAAGGATCTAGCGCATCGACCAGTTTTTATCTATTTCCGCCCTTTTCAATGGGCGACCGGCCTGCCCCTCCCGATTCTGGGACGGAGAGTGTTGGCCTGATCATGCCTGAACCAACTACCAAAGATTCTGTAGTGTCTCAAAAGCAAGATCACGATCAGACGACCTCGGGGCACGATAATCACCACCAAGTTGTTCCAAGTATCCTCGCAACTTCACAGCAAACGCCATCTGTTCAGCCAGCATTGGCTCCCGCTTCCAACTTTGTCAATCGCCATGGCCCCTACAACATGACGACCATGGCCAACGCCCTGCCTCTGGACAACAACTATCATCGCGGTCCGTTCCAGAGAGGGGTTCAACAGAGATATCACAACGGACCGCCACCGCCACCGCCCATGGGCCCTCCCATGCCACAGATGCCTCAGTATACTGGTCCTTCGCCGATGAACATGGTTCCCCAGGGCTACTATGTTCCTCAGACCCATCAGATGGCGCCATATTATGGCGGTAACCACTTGCCCATCAACCAGATCAACACGACGATGCTGCAGAGCCAAAACATGGCATACTACCCGAACCCGATGGACATGGGGCACGCTCATACGCAGTATTACTACCCCCAGGCGGCTCAGTATCCTGTCCAGAACCCGAATATCCAACACGCTGTCGCTCAAAACCAGCCTCCTCGCGCGGGAATCCTTCAGCCCGCAGCGACAGAGGCCCTGGCTCGTAGTCAGCCCCTGGGTGGGCTGCAAGTACCATTTGTTACCCGGAAACCTATCCATGGTGATTCTTTCTACAACCCTTTTCGAATGCTCCCATAATAACCAAAATCTTGACAATTACCTTAGATGAACAAAGAGGTTCCGCTCGAGGTTCTTCACGCAAACCACGACAAACTGGTATGTTTCCTGTTACCCCTTGCCTGTTCCATCATCTCTTTCCTGTATTTTTCTTTCTTTGGAAAAATTTTGTCGTTAACCGCGCTATTGCTCCAGGTAACGCCGTTTGGATCGGAAATCTTCCACCTCAAACCGATTTGATGAGTCTCGTACACCACGTTTCGAAGGAGACAGGAGGACTCGAATCTCTGTTTTTGATTGCCAAAAGCAACTGCGCCTTTGCTAATTTCAAAGATGAGGATTCCTGTATCACTGCTCAACTCAAACTGCATGAATCGAGATTCCAGTCGGTTCGACTCGTCAGTAGACTACGAAAGAACGAAGTAGACGGACCAATCCCAAGTACGACCAACGCTTCTAAACCGATCAGCCAAGCAAGGAGTAAATCCTCGGCAAAAATTGATAACTCGAGCCCACCCAGTGCTCTTGGTAGCGGAGAGTACCCGACAGTTGTTTCGTCAGGGGGGCCGGCAACGAAACACGATAGGTTTTTTATATTAAAAAGTTTAACAGTTGATGACCTTGAACTTAGTTTTCGAACGGGAATCTGGGCAACACAATCTCATAACGAAGAAACGCTGACAAATGCGTTCAAGGTAAGCAAAGCAGACACCTTCAATAATCTGAAGAGGAATTTTGTTTCGTTGGCTAACAGCATCACAGCAATGTAATAATGTGTATCTGATCTTTTCAGCTAATAAATCTGGAGAGTACTTTGGGTATGCACGGATGGCTTCCGAGTTTAGCCCATCTCTAGACTCGACAAAGAAAACTACGCCCGTACCTCGAACGACGACCGAAGTAGATTTACCGAAAACAATCATCATGGAGGCGACTGAATACGTTCCCAAAGGCAGCATCATCGATGATCCAACGAGAGGGACCGTATTCTGGGAAAAATATCAAGAAGAGACTGAAAAAGGTGTCGATGCGGAAAACAATGGCCTGGATGGCCACGATGTTATTTCGAACGAAGAGGAGGACGAAAAGTCATGGGGAAAGCCATTCAGAGTCGAGTGGTTGTCTACATCTCGTCTCCCCTTTCATCGGATTCGTGGGTTACGAAACCCTTGGAATTCGAATCGAGAGGTCAAGATTGCCCGAGATGGAACCGAGATCGAGCCTTCTATCGGCCAGAGACTTATTGGCCTTTTCAACACTGCACAAGGTGCTGGGTCATCGGCAGCCGCAAGGCAATCTATTGGCGCGGGGACCAGGTATCAACAAATAGGGCCTTACAACCAATAGGCCCGGCTTTGTCAACTACATCACATTTGTTGGTCATCTGTTACGACAATCTTCTTCTTTTGATCCTTTTCAGCGACTTTGTGTCTCCCAGGGAGATCCCATGGGAGCCATACTTTGTTCTGTAGATACATATATAAGATTCCTGGACTGGTGATTATATGATCATGGAGGCGATGCTACAAACATCACGGTACAAAATTGGACGGGTAGCTATGATCACATATAGGTGTTTCTCGCACTGCAGTATAGTTGGTTCGACGCTGCGCTTCTAATGGCATTCTATTTTTTTTTATATCTGATGGGCGGTGAATTATACATTTTTGATAACGAGATTGACCAAACTAGTACGAGCGCGAGAGTCGGCAACAAGCCTACAGATGCCTCGGATAGAAACACCGGGTCTCGCTCATCACTACGAGGGTGCCAACGATGATCGCTGCCACTTACGGGGGATGATGTTTGATTTACAGACTCCAATGTCAGTTGAATATTTCCATCAAAGCTAAAAATCGAGTGGATATTTGTAAGGGTAGAGCGGGCATGGTAACTTTAGCACATGTGGCTGTTTTGCGGGAAATAATTTGCTAACTGCAAGCAAAGTGCAGTAGTTGTAGGCGATACACAATCTCGTACGATTCAATGGCTAGAGGTCCGTTGACGACAAAACAAATTACGACAGAGGCTGCATACGAAAAGAGCTTAATCAGCTGACGAATTACTATAAATAGCAAACTCTACAAATCAAGATATGTTATTGGCAACATCTGATAGAAAAGAGCAACAATGAATTCATTTCTTGCCACTTCAGTGCCTAACCTGTAAAGAGCTGTTATTCGATGTGGCTGGTTTCGGTTTGTGGCGTTTGCGCCACTTACGGCCTGCTCAGCAACTTGACCTAAGCTTCACAATTGAGCCACAGTGAGGCTTGAAGAAGTTCGTCATAGATTGGATTACAGTAGCAAGCAATTAGGACTGTGTAATTGGGCTTCATGTGACAGTTGCAATTGTTGACACATTTCCAAACCAAATCATGCTGAAGATTGTGCCTTTTCTTGCTGCCAACGGAAGTTGCGTGATGTGCAGCTCTCAGAGTGATTACGTAGGCTGCTTCGTGGAATCTTCTAGTGCCTGCCAGAAGAACCTCGCAGCCGCCACCAATAGCCTGAAACAGTGACAGGTGCAGCTTGTTCAGCAGCATTAACAAGCAAACGCATTGCGCAACAGAAACAAATGGTAGATGCCAGTAGATTCGCGTGTTCACTTGGAAATAGCTTTCGTCAGCTGCCTGCCTGACCAGTAGTCAATTGAAGGGATGCTATTCACTATAAAGTGCGCTGTGAAGTCATGCAGAAGTGAATTTTGTTTGTCCTCATCAGAACATCACTCAGATACTCAGCAAACGCAAACACTCAAACAACTACCAAACAAAGCAGAGCTCTCCAACAAATCTCCACGCTATCTAGCAATCTCAGTTCATCAACCTGACTATTCTTCAAATTCAACAACAAACCAATTAAACACAATGGCCTTCTTCCCTCGCGCTTTCTGCCAGCCCTCTGAGGCCTCTCTCACTCCTCTCTTCCGCCTCCTCGATGACTTCGACAGCTACAACAGACAGACTGGCAGAAGCAGCAATGTGCGCCGAACTGCTCCCCAGTGGCAGCCCAAGTTTGACATCCGCGAGACTACACACGCCTACGAGCTCTATGGCGAGCTCCCTGGCATAAGCAAGGAGAATGTGTTGATCGAGTTCGCTGATCCTCAGACCCTGGTTGTCCGCGGCAAGACTGAGCGATCATACGCTGCCAGCACATCTCCATCAGCTTCTGTTGTAAACACTCCATCCACCGAGACTGCCACTGAGAAGGAGGAACCTGTGCGCCGAAACTCCAACAGCTCTCACCAGGCCACCGTCGAAGATGAGGACGAGGCCAGCGAGCGCGAATCGGGCTTTGAAGTCGTCACCTCTGAGGAAGAGAAGAAGATTGAGGAGAAGAAGACGACTCCACAGAAGCCCGTCGACAAGGCTAGATACTGGCTCACTGAGCGCAGCATTGGAGAGTTCTCTCGCAGCTTCCACTTCCCGACATTTGTCGATCACGAGGCTGTGAGTGCCGGTTTCCAGGACGGCATTCTGAACATTAGTGTTCCCAAGGCGAAGAAGCTTGAGACTCGCCGCATCACTGTTTTCTAAACCAACAACTTTACAAACAAGGAAAGATAACTATCATCATCCCATAGCTGATAATGTCTGCCTTTCTGCGATTGCATTAGATGGAGTTGGAAAGGGTAATTGGGATTAACGGATCACTTTTTTATTTTTTTTTCGTTTTCGTCTGGACTTTCATTTGGAACTGGCTTGGCCTTTTTTTGGTAGCATATTAGAGCAATACATGCAAATGCGAATAATACACTCTTGTTTTCATGAATACGAAACTCTGTTTTCGCTGTATTACCAATGTGAAATGTGTGATAGATGCCTGTTTCTATGGTGAACGATCCCAGCTTCAATTAGAAATCAAGTAGAGCATCACGTGATCTGGCGTCAAATTATCCTTTGCTAACCTGACTCGACGCGTTGGGTCGCGCCTTGTTCGTCAACATACCAAGCTCGTATCGCCCCGATTCTGCCTAATTTTGGCCACTGAGTCGTTGAAATTCTTCGTGCAGAGTGCATTTTCTTCGTTTTCTTCTTTACATATACAGATTTTTTCGTTTGCGGTGACCTAAAATGGCTGATGAATATGATGGGAGCCAGATGGGCGACGAGAGTGCCACTGGCCCTGGTGCGCCCACACCACTCTCAGCTTTGGAGGTATGTTGGCGATGCTCTTGGTTGAATATTTTTTGCTGATGGATTGATGCTTAGGGAGTAGCTGGAATAACCAAGCGTGAAATCCAAAGCATTGTTGAAGGTGGTTTCAACACCGTCGAGTCTGTGGCTTATACCCCGCGCAGGGTTCTTGAGCAGATCAAGGGCATCTCAGAGCAGAAGGCGACCAAAATTCTTGCTGAAGGTGTGTGAAGTTACCAAAATCTTTGAAGCTGAGACCCTGACCTTTTTTTTCAAGCGTCAAAACTTGTACCTATGGGTTTTACGACGGCCACTGAAATGCACCAGCGGCGCAGTGAACTTATTTCTATCACGACTGGATCTAAGAACTTGGATACGCTTCTGGCTGGAGGCATCGAGACTGGATCCGTTACTGAGTTATTTGGAGAATTCAGAACAGGAAAGAGTCAAATTTGTCACACTCTAGCTGTGACGTGTCAGCTGCCTTTCGACATGGGTGGTGGTGAAGGCAAATGTCTGTATATTGATACAGAGGGCACTTTCCGACCCGTTCGATTATTGGCGGTTGCCAATCGATTTGGCCTTTCTGGAGAAGAAGTGTTGGACAATGTTGCATATGCGAGAGCATACAACTCAGATCACCAGCTTCAGCTTCTGAACCAGGCTGCGGCAATGATGTGCGAGACAAGATTCTCTCTTCTCATTGTCGACAGCGCCACATCACTCTATCGTACAGACTTTACTGGCCGAGGCGAGCTCTCAAATCGTCAGACACATTTGGCCAGATTCATGAGAACGTTGCAACGGCTTGCGGACGAGTTCGGCATTGCAGTAGTCATCACAAACCAGGTGGTCGCGCAAGTCGATGGTGGACCCAGCGCCATGTTCAACCCCGATCCGAAGAAGCCTATTGGCGGCAATATCATTGCCCATGCCAGTACGACGCGGATCAGCTTGAAGAAGGGCCGCGCTGAGACTCGAATTGCCAAGATCTACGACAGCCCTTGCTTGCCAGAGAGCGATACGCTGTTCGCTATTGCTGAGGATGGCATCACTGATCCTGCACCAAAGGACACGGACAAGGACAAGGATTAATAGTTGGTAAAAAGAAACAAAAATATTGCATTGAATGAGGCATGAAAAATATTCGGAGTCATATGGGGGAGGTGTTTCGATTTTTGGCGTTTTATGGTTGCTTGTTTATCTCTTCATGTCTACTTTGCGGAGAGGAGCCAATGGATGAATAGATGCATGAATCATGGGTGCATGGATATACATGATGGATTGAAGCATTAATACTTGAATCTAGACTTAATAAATCTTGTTAAATGTAGATTTTTACATCATATAATTAATTGCTTGAAGAGACAAATGATGCTGTAATTGACTGAATTCGTAGCAAGCAATTGCCCACCAAGCTCGTTTCCAAATCGGGCTAGCGCAGCGCGACGCTCAAGGCGAAACAGAAATTCTGCCCTGCAACGCGACCGACCTTGAGCATCACTAAAACGACCGACTTTGCGCCAACTTCTTCGCCGCCACCGTTTCAATTCCCAAAGAGCAAGACGTATGCGCTTCGGGGAGGCGCGATGGATTCGGGTGAGATTCAGTATCTCTTCAAAGAGACCCGCTTGAACCTCGAACCTCCCTCCCAATCGTCCTTTGTCACCATTCGAGTGCCGTCTGGGTCTGGCAGCCGAGGCCGCTCCAAGCCGTCCCACGATGTCGAGGACGAGACGACGTTTCGATTGAAGAACTTGGCGACTGCGGCTTCAATATACCGACGGAGATGGCACGACTCGCCGCGGAGCTTCCTCTGGAGGGTGCTGGAGGACGGTACGCTGCTGAGCATTCGGGCGGTGGATGTTGGCAAAAAGGACAAGGCTGCGGATGCGTCTCTGATTATCAACTTTCATTTCACCGTGCCTATTCAGCAGGGATGCGTGGTGTTCTCGGACCCGGAAGAGCACGATGCACTGTGTGTACATGTGTTGGACCAGTCATGCTATCTCTACACGTTTACTCTCCGACCGGATCTATTCAAGAGGAAGGGCGCGGTGGATGCTGGGCTGCCCGAGATTTGCAAAGTGCAGGCTCCAGCGGGTCTAAGCTTCAAATACCCTCACCGGATGGTGGCTATATCGGCGAATACCCTTATTGTTACGGTCAATGATGGTGGCATGATACGCTTCGACAAGCAAAAGGGAGATGACGGTAAGTTAGAGAGCGCCTGGAAGGAAGGGCTAAAAGCTCCTTTCTCAATCTTTCTTTGCCTAGGTATCTAATCAATGTCTATCTAGCATCTGCTGCGCTATGGAAAGAAACCTTTTTCAATGTTCAAGGATGGACACAGAGTCTACGAGGTCTCCTTCCATTCCAGGGCAAGAACCTCATCAAATACGGAAACGCCAACATGGAGTATAGCGCCGCAACATCCATTGAGATTTCTGATTTCGGACTCGAGAAGTGTCTATTTGCGGTTACCGTCTGCCTTGACCACCGAATCCGTATCTGGAATGCGAATGATGGGCAGATTCTGCAGTCACTGGACATGTTGAATGTCGAGAGGCCGCCGCAGGAGATGGGCAAGTGGTCGATTGATCCAGCCCAGTCAAATCTTACCCGGATCGTTGGCCGAACCCAAGGACAGAGAATCTGTGCAACTTACTCGCCAATTGGCCCTGGAGAATTCAAGTTTTGGAAGATTGTTGCCAAAGGTAGCCACAATGTTGTTATCGAGGATCTGTTTCCGAAATGCACATTGATTCCCGCTACTCCATCCTCTTCGGACATTTGGACACTGGCGGACTTTGTGCTAGGATCAACCGAGGAAGGACAGATTAACCTGTGGACTTTGTGGAAGAACAACATGACATACCGAGTGCAGCGTCTGGAGCTTGACCGAAAAAATATGGCTCAATCATGGGAGGATGGCTGGGACGGCGTATTTTCCGAACCACGAAGTCTCGCAGTACAGACGTCCGGTCCTTGCGATCCTTCCGATGTGACGGAGAAGTGGCTACAGATGATTTTGCAGCCTGGGAAATTTACCAAGACGACGTTGGAAGCGGCGCTTGCTATATATGAGCGCGGGCTTGGCTCTTCAAAAGAGAACAACAAGGGGCGCGGGTTAGCCGAGTCTATTTGCTCAGTCCTTGGCTCCACTGCTTCTCTGGATCGTGGATCATCAGGAGAAATGGATTATGAGCAGTTTAGGGCATCAAGCGAGACACAATGGAGGAGATTCTACCGACTGTTGAATGAGCTTGACAAGCAGCGAGGAGAGGCCATTGGCATCACTCTTGATGCTGATGCTGACATGGTCTGGGTTGTCTGTGCAGATCTTGTCTCTGTCGTTCGAGAATGCAGCCACTTGGAACGGCTCTACCATAATCTAGCCGCACCAGATCAAGGATCGTCGCGGCAGGCAGATTTAATCAGCGCCGGACTGACTCTTGTAGAAGGTTTCCCAGACAACTTGGTGCAGCTTTGCAATGCTACATTGAGGCCTGAGTTATTTGGAGAATCTTCCAAGACGGATCTCGAACGAATACAGTACTTCTCAGACAAGGCTGGTTTCTGGCGAGGCATCACAGACGACGATGCCCAGCAAGTTGTGGACACACTAGACACTAATTTCTCAGTTGTGACAAATGAACTCTACCGAAAGGTGCTGGGTCTCATGGTTACGCCACTAGACGACAAAGTTCGAAGCCCTAGCCATCCTCTGACAGAGTTTGGCAGAAAACTCGTCATGACAGCGGCGCAGGAGCACATGGCTTTACAGTGGAAAATATGCTTCAGTCAACTCATCCTTCTAGTCCATATGGAGTTTGAGTTTGACAACGAAGAGGATGCTCTACACAACAGAGTAGATGTTGGTACCGTATTCCGGCAACTCATCGCAACGTTGAAGAGACTGGAGCTTCTAAAGTGGCTGTCAACGACCGAACTGGCAATCCCGCTACCAGAACACAGCCTATCCCCCGTATCAAAAAGGGGAGAAGACGTTCAGATTGTGACTGCTTTGGAAGCCAATGTTGGCCATCTGCTGGGCTTTTCGGGGCTTGCGGAAGAGCCGCTTGCCGTTAGCATCACCGACCTTGTTACCAATCTTTGCTCTCCCAATGGAGATATCGAGGTATCACCGTCACTTATCCAGTGCTCCCTTATCAAGCGTGACAGAGCAGACCTAGCACTCGAGCTTGAGCCATTCTGTGACCAAAATCCCTTTTCGATTTATATCCATGGTAGAGTCTTCTTGGCGCTCAAAGATTTCGAATCTGCTTCTCTGAATTTCAGAAAGGCGGCTATTGGAATGGGTAAGATTTGTGAATGGTAGTCTTCGAAAACGAATATGCGCTAACCCCAGTTGCAGGCAGCGAATCAGTTGAGCTCGAACGTCATAGCAGCGGCCTCCTTGACGATACAGAATGGAATCTGTTAAACAGCGGACTAGCTCAGTACTATTCACACCTTGTAGCCTTGTTCGAGAAACAGAAGGCCTACTCATACGTGGTTGAATTTGCTCGGTTATCAATTCAGTTCACCGGCAGCACAGCAGAGAATGTCAATATCAAGACAGATATGCTCAGCCGTCTTTTCAACGCCGCTCTGGCTACATCTCAGTTTGAGCTGGCTCACACCACATTGCTGTCGATGAAGGATCAGGCTTTGAGGCAGTACAACTTGCGAAAGCTCGTGGATAAGATGTGCGAGACGTACCACAACTCTGAGCTAGTGACCTTGACCTTTCCCGGAATGCAGCAAGAGGTCGATGATATTCTGTCGCTAAGATGCAAGTCTATCATGGACGTTATGCACGCATTCCCCTACCACCAGGTTCTTTACTCCTGGAGAATCAAGCACAACAATTTCCGGGGCGCCGCGTCCGTCATTCTCGACAAGATTCAGAAGCTGAGGCTGGCTGGAGAAGGAGACCAGATTTCGGGCGAAGACGTGCTTGATACTCCAGTCACAAAGCAGTACCTGCTGCTCATCAACGCGCTCAGCTGCGTGGATGCCAAGCAGGCGTGGATTTTCGACGAGGGCATTCCAACAGGAGATAAAGATGCGCCTGCGAAGCGGAAAGTCGTTTCGCTGGCCGACATAAGGAAGCAGTACCAGGATGAACTGGACCGGATTGCGGCGATTCAGAATAATCAGTTTGGATTCGAGGCGGGTGATGTAATGGATATTGCATGAGGTGTATACGGCAAATAGCATTGTTTGTTTTAGGTCAAGGAAAGAGAGGAGAAAGGAAGAGGGACTGTGATGGGTGGTGAATGAATTTTGGACGAAAACAAACTGCAGCCAGAAAAAAAAATCTTTTTGTATGTAGATTTTAATGTCTGTATCCTCCCCAGGATTGAAAGGAAGGGATGAAATGGGTTTAGATACCTTTTGGGGAAAATAAGCACGGAATAACTTTTTGGTTTTTTTTTTCTAATATCGGAACTCGAGTCAAATTTATGTGTTTTGCCCTTTTTCTCTCTCTCTTCATCTTCTGTGTTTCGATTCATCTTTTGATCGTTGTTATATACATGTACATATATATATCATCTACGAACAGCACACTTCCGTGAAACAATAACATTACTACTTATCTTCCCGTAACGCCGCTAGTTTTAACAAACCCTTCCCCTATGCTAGAAAATGACACAAGACAAAAAAAACGAATTATAGAATTGAAGCATGTGCTGCCGCTGCGTTGTGAAAAGGCTCAAAGAGAGGAGAAGAGAGGCTCGTATATATCTGCTTTTAGGAGAGTATAAAGCAATGAGCACCTTTTGTTTTCTTTTAATTTTCATCTTCATGCCTGAACTGCAGCAGGGGCAACTCTGTTTTCAGGGGCAGGAGGTAGGCTTTGGAGGGCTGCGCCTTGGACGGCGGGGGCGTCGGGGGCTTGACGGTAGAGGATGATTTCTGACTGCTTGAAATACCGTCGGGCGTCTAATGTAGGGGGGAATCCTAGTTAGCATAGGGTTACTTGCAGAGGTGGTTGAAAACTTGCCTTCGTCAATGAGGACGAGACTGAGGTAGTATCGTGTGGAAAATTTCTTGTTCACGTCGCGAAAGGTGGGTGTCAGGTCAAAGCCTCCGAGGAACAGTCTGATGGGAATCGTTTCTCCTCTTGAGGGAGAGCCATCCATAATCTCAAACCGCACCAGGGTCTCGCTCTCGTTGTATTGGTTCGGAGCCGCACCAGTTGTTTCCCTCCTGATGATGGATAGTTCCATGTGCTTAATCTTGAGCCGGACCAGTAAAAAGTAGATACGCCCAACAATGACATCCTTGAGATGGTACTTGCTCTTGCTGTACTCAAACTCAATGTGCAGGCAGTCCTCGATGCCAACGTCCATCTTGATGCTGCTGTTCATCTCCGGGGGGATGCGGTAGCTGTAGACCCAAATGTCCTTTTCGCGGATCACGTCGGCCATGCGGCGCGAGACGGTGACGCGGACAAAGTAGCGCAGCTTGACGTTGATGCCGTTGTACGACTCGTACTGCTTCTCGACGTTTTTGAAGTTGAAGTCGAACGTCTGCGGGTGCTGCAGCTCCCCCGGCGCGGCGAGCTCCTGGTTCAGCGAGAGGAACTCGTAGTGGTTGCCGCGGTCAAAGAACATTTCTACCAGCCCGTCAGTAACCTGTCGTTGGCGCTGCTGCAGGCCGAGGCGGATGGAGGGCAGGGTCCATTGGGGCGTCAGGAGGCTGAGGGCGCCCGAGACAAGGGAGGAGGAGGAGGATGAGGAGGAGTAGTAGTAGTAGGGAGAAGAAGATGATGATGTAGATGAGCGGCGGCGGCGGAAGATGCTGCTCTGCTGCTGGTCATAGTGGTCTAGCTGCGTACCTATCGTGCCGATGAACTGGACCTTGATGCCCGTGTGCTCGAGGCGTTTGCCGTCCTTGGGCCGCACGGTGACGGCGCCCTTGACCGACTCGCCGTCCATGTACAGGGGCGCCTTTTCGCGGCGGTTCTTGTCGAGCTTGACATCGACCATGGTGCGGTCGTCGGGCTCGTCGAGGACGATGTCGATGTCGACGGGGGTTGAGAAGAAGTACGACATGGTGGAGGGAGATGCAGCGGCTATTCCTCTGTGTATCGGATGTGTTTGTATTCGAGAGGCTCGGCGGTTTATAAAGAGTTTCTCTCCTCTCTGATTTCCTTTTCCTTCTTCGTCTTCGTCTCAAGTCTTGGACTTCTATCTCTCACACCCTATCCTTGTTGTTGTCGATAGACGCCGTATATGTCTCGCAGTTCGGATCCGGGTTCGGGGGGACGGGGCAACAGAATCGCAAGTCGAAGGCCAAGTATCTCGTTTCGGCTCTTGATACGCAATTGGACTCGAGAACAGGCAAAGTCGCAAAAGAACAGAATGCGCCGCTGCGGCAAAGGTTGTCGCGTTGAGGTTACGAGGCGGCGCTGACGTACGTTTATGGCTAGTGGGGGACGATGCTGGCTGGACTCTCGCACGAGGACAGAGCTTTGGTGGAGAGCTCGCTGGGGAAGTCGTTCAGGCGGGGAGGTACAGAGTACGGCGGTGGTCATAGCGTGGTGGGAGGCCGGCGGGTAGCCTGTACCAGCGGAGCGCAGGGAGGCTTGGTCAGAGGTGAAGAAGTGAATCAAGCATATTCAAGGATGAAGCACTGATTTGGTTTGTTTCTTTTTCATCTTCAAATTCAAGGCGACTTGATCTCATTTTTGGCTCTGAATGATTGATTACTTTGGGCCGGGAAGAAATTTGTTTATCAGGTTTGCTGCCTCATTTATGCCGTCCATCTAAAGCACGTCCACCGTATGCCGTGTTATTGGCTGTGGCTGAGACCCGTCAACTTGCCAGCTGGACTGTTGATAAGTCAGCAAATTTCTCAAATTCAACATCACGTGCCGTGTCACGCCTCGTCGAATCTTTCGCCAGACCCCACCTCTGGCACCCACTCCGGCTCAAGCTCGGCTGCACAAGAACTTTGCACTCACGTGGAGCGAGCCCTAGAACTTTTCCTGCCCACACGATTTCGACAAACAATTCGTGACCGCGGACGGACGACTCCAGATACCCTCAACGCCCCGACAACCCCCAAGTCACCGCAGCCATGAGGTACATTCACTCCCAGGAGATTCTGGAAATCCCAGAGGGCGGTAAGTGTTTCTTTTTTTCCCGACTTCATTTGAATTGCAGATCCGATCGATTACGCCGGAGGAATTGTGTCTTTGCTGGGCTGGGAAAAAGAAAGAGGTGGGATATCTTCACGATCTCTTGGAGATGTGCATACGGCAACGGGGAATCAAACGGCCACAATGGGAATGAAAGGGAAACTGGGATGAATCGATCGGAAACGCTGCACTTGGATTCCAAGGATTATGAAGCTGACATGGAATTTTTTTCCTGCGAATAGTCAAGGTCAGCATCAAGACCCGTATCGTCACTGTCGAGGGTCCCCGAGGTACGAACCACCATCCATCCGCCAATCGCTCTTCAAGACGAACTCTTGAACGGCAGATTCGACGACAACTCCATCAAGAAGGCTAGTTTCTAACATGGGAGGCTTATAGGCAAGCTCACCAAGAACCTCGGTCACTTGGCTGTCAACTTCGGTCACCCCAAGAAGAACACCATCTCCATCGAGATCCACCACGGCAACCGTAAAAATGTTGCCACCCTCCGCACCGTCCGCTCCATCATCGAGAACCTGATCACCGGTGTCACCAAGGGCTTCAAGTACAAGATGCGATACGTCTATGCCCATTTCCCCATCAACGTCAACCTGGACAAGAACAAGGAGTCTGGCCTGTTCGAGGTCGAGATCCGAAACTTCATTGGCGAGAAGATTGTCCGACGAGTTACCATGCACGAGGGTGTCGATGTCGAGATCTCCAAGGCCCAGAAGGATGAGCTCATCCTGAGCGGCAACTCACTCGAGAACGTCTCCCAGAGCGCCGCAGATATCCAGCAGATCTGCCGGGTGCGCAACAAGGATATCAGAAAGGTACGGATTTCTACTCACCACGATTCTGGTGCACTCGACAACGAGGAGCTGTTATGGTTGAATGGACAATATTCTCCATTCTCTATTCGCCCTGAATACTGCACTCTCATTTCAAATCACAATTATGAATCAATAATGCTAACTTTTACTCAACTCCAGTTCTTGGACGGTCTGTACGTCTCCGAGAAGGGCAACGTCGTGGAGGAGAACTAAGTGTACCAAACAAGGATCTTTGTTTCTTTTGCGTTTCTGGGTCTCCGGAGTGGCGAAGGTTCATCATTGCATGTCACGTAGCAACGGGGCTACTTTTTAAAACAAAAAAATTAAAAGTAAAGTGAAAGCGATGTGACCACTTCTTTTTTGTTCAATCTCTCTTCACACTAGTGTTTCTACTATAACATGCATAATGCGCCCTATTGCCGCGCGTATGGACTGGGAATGAGATATTGTCGTGGCTGGAGCAGAGGGATACAGTCGTTGAGAAAAGTGATTTTAGCAGATGAACCATGGCACCGGTGTTTCACACTGATGAAGCCTCGAGTTAGCCCTAATGATAGAAATGAAGTCGTATATTTCTGGATCTTACTTGAATGGAGTCACGATAACTTCTGCATCTCGCTTGAAAGAAGCCACAATCAAACCCTGTATAGCTGAGTTTTCATTCCATTCCATTTCATCTTGTATCATTTCATTCCGATTCATTTTATCTATACTGATATTCCTGTGGGCTTCATACATAATCATTACATGCACATCAAAATCAAGCACGCAGCAAGTTTGAGTGTCAGAGTCATCTTATATTCATTTCGTCTTGGTCTTTCATAGTATGTACTTTTCATGCTTCATCATCATCACCACCATTTGCACCAATTCCTTGTTTTTTCTTGTCTCCTTATTTCTCTCATGCCTTCTTCTCAAAGCATACCTATATTCCACGCAGAATAAAAAAGCAAAAACTCGTAAATTAGCAAAAGAAAACGGACAAATATATATGAGCAAAAGGATGCTCATAACATGTCGCCTTCCTGCGCCGCAAACGCCATATATATGACCATTGTAGATAAGGAAATGAGGGAAGAATCAATTAGGGGAGGCCATCAAAAAGGAGCAAGGCCTGATTCCAGACGGTATAGTCGTTTGCCTGATTAATATGTTCACGTCGAACAAGCAACAAGATGAATACAAACAGGCGTCGTAAGGCTCATGTACAAAACGTCGCAGCCAGAAGAGCGGCAAGACTATGGCCGCTTGGCGTATCGCTGTGATTGTGATCGTCCGCCCCGACTAGATCTGCTGCGGCGGCTGCGCGATCTTTGCTGACCGGTGCTGGAGCTGGCAGCTAAGTTAAAATCAATCAGTAAAATGTTCCGTTTTCACAAAAAAAGGGAGGCAATTAACGTACTGTTGCTCTGGGTATAGTCGGAATAGCTGTAGTAAGAATTGCTGTACCGCGAGGGCGACTTGCGAGAGTTTGGCCGCTTATCCTTCTTGAGGTTAAGCAGCGTAAAGAGAGTCGCAGCCACGGCTCCAATTCCAAGCCACTTCCAGCAACCTCCGCTGCTGCTCTTCCGCTTCTCACGACGATCCGTGACGACGGTCGACGTGGCCGGACGGCTGCTGCCGCCAAACCAGCCGCCGTGGCGATCGCGGCGAGAGTAGGCCGAGGCAGAGGCTGCACGGCTGCCGCCCTTGGAGTAGCGCTCCTCGATGATTTCCTCCTCGCGGACGCTGCTGTCGTTGGAGCGTCGCTTGCCGAAGATGGCAGCCCAGAGGCCGCGCGCGATGCAGCAGAAGCAGAGAAGCAGCAGCAGGGCCACGCCGACCAGCGTTCCAATCACAATGCCGGCAATGGCACCGGGGCTGAGGCCGTTGCCGTTGGTGGTCTTGCTGCCGGCGCCAATGGCCTCTCCGTCGCCGGTGGCCGTGGCAGAGGCCCCCGTGTTAGTGCCCGTCTGAACACTAGTAATGGTCGTGGTTCCGGTGACTCGGTAGGGAGCAGAGAACTGCGTCGTGGTGTGGCCGTCGGTGACGATGACGACGGGCGTCGGCTCGGCGTAGCCAGGCTTGGCCGAGCACTGGCCCTGGAAGGCGCACGTCTGCCATCCGGCGCAGCAAATGGGCCCGCAGGCCGCCTGCTGGGAGTCCTGCGGCACGCAATTGACGCCGGCGGTGGGCGTGGGCACGGGCGCCCAGTGAGTGAAGTAGGTGGTGGTGAAGGTCCTCGTCTCGGTCCAGGTGCTCGTGTATGCGCCGTAGCCGCCCAGGCATGTGGCGACGTTTCCGCTCAGCGTGGTGCAGAGCTCGGTGCTGTCGCAGCAGTACTGGCTGTCGGAGCCGCAGGGCGTGCCGTCGCAGCCATCGCGCTGGAAGAGAAAGGCGTAGCCCAGGTCGCTCTGGTCGTCTCTGGGGAATGGGCCGGCAGACACGAGGGCCGCCGCGGCCAGCAGCGCAATGAGGGAGCGCATGGTGAGGCGCGGAGTCGCTCCCCAGAAGCGATTCGAGTGTCTCAGAAAAGGAAAAGAGAAGCAGCTGGAATGTGAAAAAAGGTCGGGACACTCAAAAAGCAGTGTGTAAGATCGGCCCAATGAATTAGCGGTGTTGAGTTCGCTGAGATAGAGGCGTTGATTGATCTGCGCAGCGATGAAGAAGATAGAAAAAAAAAGGCACCGTTACACTGACGATGGCGTTTTTTTTTTTCTATCGACCTTGCATGAGATCAAAGTCAAAAAAAGGGAGACCCGAGAGAAGGAAGAATGGGAGCTGCAGCTGGCGGTCTCGGCGCTGCACGATGACTTTTATCGGCTGTAAAAGTTGTCAATCCCCAACCTCCCACTTACACCCACACACCACGCAGCAAATCCCAGCCCCTCTATTTTGACCGACTCGACAAAGGCCCTCGACTTGGGCCATATCATGGATCCGTCATGCAGACTGGATGAGGTACTTGTCGCACATACCCACCACACCTTCTGCTAGCTATCATCTCTAGTTGCTGTCATGAGCTGGGGACACACGAGTTTTGGCTGCCTTTACAAGCTACGGGCATGTCACTCTCTCACACACATTTTCTGCTTCTGACAGGCACCGTTTGGACGGGCTGCAAGCCGCGGTGAAGCAGAAAGCAAGTGCGGGCAGATTGAGCATTACGTGCTAGCAGTGCTACCTTGAGGTGGGAAGGGTACCTGACACGAGAAAAAGTGCAGGCAAAATGTGTGTTGTGTTGGATTGCGGGAGCGAGGCTAATGCGCTCTACTGGGTACTAAGTTGGTGGCACTTGTGTGTGGGAGGCAAGACAAGTTCCACCCCCAAAAGAAAGAACAAAGGGAAAAGAAGATTTTTGAGCCCCTGACTAGAGCTGGGAAAAGATGCAAGATGCAGCAAGGGCCGCTCGGACCGAAATCTGACTTTTGAGTCTCTGCTGCTGCTAGTGTTGGTGGTGTCTGACTGTCTGCTGCCTCGAGAGCTGATAAGGCGGTCACTAAGAAAATGAAAGAAAAGCCAAGACAAAATCTTAACGAGGTGCCGGGAGTAGCCAAGCCGGACACTCAAATGGCCAAGTTGATACGAGCGAGTCAACATCTCTGTGCCTAGGTAGACAAGGTAATACGCCAATACGCTTAGCTCACAGACAGGTTACACGGAGTGGCAGATGCCCGCCCCGAGGCGATGGATGAGCTGGCAGTCTGTCGGTTTCCATCAAACTGCCTCATTGGGCCGCCGCACAATTTGGCAGCCTCTGATGGGCTGGAGCAGGCGAAGCGAGGGATCTGGGACCAGGGCTGGGCTGACCTTGTTCCGCCTGAGCCGTTGCCGTGACTGAGATGATGGATCGATCACCGTTGGTTTCCCACAATTTGTTTCCATCTTTGATCCATGGCAGCTGCTGCATGTCGACCGCCTCGTCTGCTGGTGCGGTTCTACAGTAGACTGCATAATTACATGACGCATGCGTGTGTGAGAATGTGCGTATGCAGCCTCGATAGAAATACCAGATATACCCTAGTATGCAGATATTTAGTGCTACAATGAGAAGAAGAGCAAACCTGTGTTACAAGATTTTCATGTGAGGTGACCGGAAAAGCTTCTTTCTTGCGCTTCCAAAGAGTGTAGGGTGGCCATTTCCAAAGAGCATCTCGGAGCCTACAAAGTGCTCCGGAGAAGCATATTGGAAAGATGGCAGTCCATCGGGCTCAACTTGCCGTAAGTGGGCTTTTCCAATTAACTGCTATTCATAAATTTTCATTCATCAATTCTTGATGCTTGCCATCAATTGATGAGCAAGTAACTGTACGCGCAAGATAATATCATGGACGGGATCAAGGAAGGCAGTCATCAACAAGACTCTAAATTGTGCCCCTCAGCTGGGAAGACGAAGAGAAAAGTGGCTGGTGGGGTGGCTTGTTTAGCTGAGAAGCTGCGGCTTGGAGCTCTGCGGTCCCTGATCTATGGCCGAACGCCGGATAAACTATGCCCAAGAAAGGTGGGGTGCAAACATCATGGGAGCTTCCACTGCAGAGCAGAGCTGCGCCGTACAGTGACACTCTCCATCTCCAGCTTCACCTAATTCTGCATCTTCAGCCTCGCTCAGCCTGCTGGATGCTGGTGGGCTGCTATCGCCTCTTCAATTGACTTCGCCTTTCTCTCTTCCACCTCTCTTAGCTTCTCTATATCGTTTCATTCATTGTTTAATATTCTCCCTTTGTCGCCCATCCCATATTCCGCGCGTTGCAGCCTTGCTCCATCGTCATCTCGCATCCATACTACCCCCGAGCATACATCGCCGCCATGTCTCTCGATCCACCAACCTACCTGGCCTCGCTGCAGAGCAACATTCGCCAGCGGCCGATTCCCTGGGACGGCGCCGTCCGAGCGGGCAGCCTTACGGAAGACCAGTTATCCAAGATCCGCGCCGTCGACAAGGCGAAGAAGCCCGAGCAGAGGAAGGAGATTGTCACGGCAGACCTCGACGGATATCGACTGCTGTTTGTTGGCGGCAATGGCAGCCCCAGCGTGTTGGAAAAGGCAGGAAAGAATGCCAACCTTGTCCAGTATATATTGGTTCTGCTAGCCGACCTGCTCGATGGTAAGTCAAACTCTCGACTCCACGCGGCATCAAACAGTGTTCGATGGTCGATAAGTAGCATCATCACAGTCGCATGCACCAAACAGAAGTTTTTAATTTTTGATGCACTTCTTATCTTTCATCATTTCTTTTCTTTCCATCTTTAGAGTTTTCGCTGACGGCCTCCGTTGTCGCAAATAGCCGTACCGTCGCTCGCCAAGGCACTCTTAAAATCTCCTGAGCCATACCAGCATTTCTTACCACTGTTCCGCGCCCACTCCAACGAAGACCCAATCCCGCTGCTTACTGCACACGCCTTGTCGAATCTCATGGCTCTCGCGCAGGATGATTCTAGAGCCACCGTCCTCTCGCTTCCCCTGATCTTTACCTACCTGTCCGGCCTGGCTCAGAGCTCCGATGCTGGCTTGCAGGATTTTGCTGTGCAAGAGTATTCGTCCTTGCTGTTCGGTCACGTTCCCCGGGAACACTTTTGGAAGCAGCACACCGAGACCGTTGCGCCACTCGTCAGCATCCTCCGAGCTGCTGCCGGCGTTGGCAATGGAGGCGACTCATCAGCTAGTCTCTGGAGCGGCACTACTAGCATGCGCGGCTTTGAGGGCTCATTGAGTGGAGGCGTTGGTCTGCAGCTTCTATACCACGTTCTCATGGTCTTATGGCAGCTGAGTTTTGAATCCGAGGAGATTGGAGATGAGCTGAATGAGTAAGTATTTGGCGATTTATAAGCCTGAATCTGAGGTGTTCATGTTTTGTCACTTTTTACTGACCATGATGATAGCGAATACGATATTATTCTTTTGTACACTCACCTTCTCCGACTATCGCCCAAGGAAAAGACAACTCGGTTGATTCTGTCCACTCTATACCATCTGCTCGAGAAGAACCAGAAGACCCTTCTCCCCACTGCCGTTCTCGCCCGCCTGCCTGCACTGCTGGAGAATCTCAGTGGCCGTCATCTCACTGACCCTGACTTGCTTGAGGACCTTCAGAGCCTGAAAGAGCTGCTCGATGAATACACCAAGACAAAGACTACCTTTGACGAGTACGTGGCTGAAGTCCAGTCTGGCCACCTCCGCTGGTCACCACCTCACCGCAGCACCGTCTTCTGGGCTGAAAACGCAAGAAAAATTCTCGAGTATCAGAACGGCGAGGTTCCTCGCAAGCTAGCCGAAATCATGCAAAAGCCCTGGGATAACGATAAGCAAGTTCTGGCTATTGCATGCAACGATATCGGCTGCCTTGTGAAGGAGGTCCCCGAGAAGCGATCACAGCTAGAAAAGGTCGGCCTGAAGAGACGGATCATGGAGCTCATGGCATCCGACGATGAGAATATTCGATGGGAAAGTCTGCGTGCGTTGGGAGGATGGCTAAAGTACAGCTTTGAATCGAACTAATGGATGGGCCATCATTATTGACCGGACCCTGCTAATTTTTTATTGAGTCCGTCTTGGCGGCAGAAGCGACTGTATTCACCTAGAACTGGGGAGGAGCTCGACTTGTTCTTTATTCTTGTTATTTGTTATTTTATTTGGATGCCTCTGTAGATGCAGTATCACTTGGGGCATCGCTTGCGTTTGGCATAACTCTGTACCTACCGCCGAGCTTGGGGATTAGTTAGACCCTGGCTCTGACTGTGTATGATGACAATAAAGACGCAAAATTCTTGAATACATCTTGTCCCGGCTACTTTTAATGAGAGCAAGCAATATTGTCACGAAGCGGTGGTCGTTTGCAATCGGTTAAACGTTATAGCGACTATAGAACCCCGGATGGAAGGTTTTTGCTTCGATATCGGAGAGCGGATCTGCATTGGCGCTGCAATCCGCCACTACCCGAATCAGCCCCACCATCACAATCAAAGTTGTTACCCAATTGATCAATACTTATCGACGCTCAACGCTCCGGCTGTTTTAGCATTTGGTTTCTTTTCTCTTCTCCCATCTCCAGTCGTCATTCCAATTTACTATTTCCCTCAATCTCCACTCTTGCTTTCCTTTCTTTCATCTCTTCTTCTACTCATATTCAGTTTTCAGCGGCCAATTGATTCATCATGAAGAGCTTCACCAGACTTGCCCAGGCCACGCCCCGCGTCAAGACCTCACTCTCTGCTGGCCGACTTACGGCTGCTGGAAGCATCCGATGCGCCTCTAATGCTTCCAGCGGAGAGGAGCTCAAGAAGACGCCTCTTTACGACTTCCACGTTGCCAATGGCGCCAAGATGGTGCCTTTTGCGGGATACTCTATGCCTGTGCAGTATTCATCCCTGTCTCTGGCGGACTCTCACCACTTTACACGGAACCACGCCTCCATCTTCGATGTCAGCCACATGGTTCAGCACATCTTCAAGGGCCCTGATGCTGTGGCCTTTTTGGAGAAGGTTACTCCCTCGGCGTGGGGAAATGTTGCCCCCATGAGCGGCAAGCTGACTACTTTCCTGTGGCCTGGCACAGGAGGCATTGTGGATGACACGATTGTGACCAGAATCGGCGAGGATGAGTTTTACGTGGTGACCAATGGAGCATGTCTCGAAAAGGACACCAAGTATATTGATGAGCAGCTGGGCAAGTTTGGCGGCAACGTTCAGTGGACGAGGCTGGATGGATCAGGGCTGATTGCCCTGCAGGGTCCTCAGGCTGCTGAAATTCTGAGCGAGGTTCTTGCTACTGATGTCAACCTGAAGGAGTTTTACTTTGGAAACACTGTCAAGGCGGAGCTCAAGCTTGCGGATGGCAGCAAGACTCACCCTGTCCTGATTAGCCGTGGTGGCTATACCGGAGAGGACGGTTTCGAGATTTCTTTCAACGGCAAGCTGTACCCTGCTTTGGAGAGCACTGTCAAGGCCGTTGAGTCTCTCATGAAGACTGGTGGCCCTGAGCGTCTGCAGATGGCTGGTCTGGGAGCCCGTGATTCGCTTCGTCTCGAGGCGGGCATGTGCCTTTACGGCCACGATCTGGATGACACTACTACCCCCGTTGAAGCTGGTCTCAGCTGGATCATCTCTCCGGAGCGCCGCAAGGCAGGCGGATTCCATGGCGCGGAAGTTATTCTCCCTCAGCTTACACCAAAGTCCAAGGGCGGCTCTGGTGTTAACAGACGACGAGTTGGCTTTGTCGTCCAGGGAGCGCCTGCTCGAGAGGGCGCGGAGATTCAGAAGGATGGAGAGACTATTGGTACGATTACCAGTGGTGTGCCTTCCCCGACGCTCGGAAAGAATATTGCCATGGGATACATCAAGGATGGCCAGCACAAGTCTGGCACAGAGGTGGATATTGTTGTGCGAGGCCGTAAGAGGGCTGGTGTTGTGACCAAGATGCCGTTTACTCCTGCCAAGTACTGGAAGGCTCCTGCTTAAGCTAGTGGTTTCTTTTGTTGTGTGTGGTTTCGTTTTGTTCTATGGGTATGGTGTATTTTCGGAGCGGTTCATTTCGGGCTGGATTACTTAACGTTTGTGCATTGGGAGAAGGGATATGGAAACTTCAACGTGTTTCATGGTCGGATCTATAAAAAAGAAAGTAAAGACATCATTTTAGGGAGAGAAAAAAAAATACCAGACACTGAACTTTTCATATCTGATACTGGATTTTTGTTAAATCTGGTGGGTAATATTGTAAGATTATGAAGAACACATTTCCTTTTTATTTTCTTGAAGAAAGAAAAACCGCTGTTTCCATGCAATTGAGATTTTAGGTTGAGAACCTCTTACTCAATACGTACGTCTTACCTGGTTATGTAACTTCGTTCCGAGGAAGCGTGTAGAATTGTTGCTGGAATCGGCCTCGGCTGGATGGTATGATTCACATTACATGTAGTGCTTTATTGGAAGCTTTGGCGTCGGCAGGGGCTAGTTACACGCCTTTTGTCTGAAGTTATAGCAGCGGATGAAGAAGGCCGTGATGGAAGTACCGCGGACAAAAGCAAACAAGGTCTTGACGCCCAAATAAACAACCTTGGAATATTGAGTCTATGTAGATTAGTGCTTAGATGAGTGGCGTTTTTGTTGGCCTATTATCCAAGGGGGACTATACTTACCTAACTCTTCCCCTTCTTTCTTCCTTTCATTTTTTTCTTTCAATTTTATTTTATTTTTTTTTTTTTTTTAAAAAAAAAGGAGGCCTTACGAAAGGAATAAAAGCTAGCTTTACTGGTTATCTATCGACCTGGATGTCATGTGGTTGACAGATAATACCGGTCTGCTACTATAATTCGTATGTATTATGCGGTGGTGATGCATCGTATCATGTAGAGGGGAGGGGCAGGTTGTGAAAGGGGAAAAAAAAAGGTGACACGCTCAATAGGTAGTAGGTAAGGTAGGTACTAATCTACTCTACATACAAAAGTTGGGCCGCCTGCATAGGTACATACATCAGCGCATCATTTTTGTCGCTGTGATCGCTTCAAGGAGGTGCCATCTAATTTGACAATGTGTGCAAAAAAGCAGGTGGGGAGGGAACTGGGTCTTCATTCCTACATACCTAGGTACCTAGGTAGGTAATTTATCTGCCCTGGGAGAGCCCAAGAACTGTCAGGTACAAAGCGAAAGTACCAAGGTGGATAGAATCAGGAAAAAGCCGGTGAGACGCATTCTGTATGATGAAATATGCCTTAGATATAGGGGGGCAGCAGCAAAAAAAAAAAAAAAAAACCTCCCCCGCGCTGATTGGAGGCGATGGCTGCAGCTGCACAGCCCGGTTTCGATCATGGTGGGTGGTACTCCGTACATCTCTGGGATCCGATCCAACCAAGGCACCGCCGCCTCCACCTACTAGTACTTGCTAACTCACAAGAAATCCATATCTTTTGAGCACCACTCAGCAACCATCTATCAGCGCGCAACCAAAATCGTTCGAATATCTTTGTAAGGTACTAATATAAAGAAGGCGTCTTTGCCGCATCATACCCCTATTGAAACGTCATTTTATTCCAAAAGGACTCTATAAATCCAGATACTTTTTATTTGCTGTGCACTGGATTCATTGTTTTATCTGGTACCTACCTATCTACCTAGGTACCTACGTAGGTAGGTACTAGTAGTTAGGTATGGATGCTGCAGGCACTACAGCTACCAGCATACTTTACGCCACATACCTTTTTCTTGTCCGCGCAAAAAAGTCCAGAGAGTTCGAAGATGAATTCGAACGACATCAACTGAAGCTCGACACTCTCGAAATGCGCCTCGATGCCGTAAGAGCGATCCTCGAAGAAAGGCCTGAAGGACAGACGATATCATTGGCACCGATTTTCGACAGTGCACAGCGCACCCTGCTCAGAGCTCAGCAGGACACTGCAGAAATTGGTGCTCATACAGCCACACCACTCAGCAGAATGCAGTGGGTCATCTACCGGAGAGATCGCTGTGACAGAAGCATCGCAGATATTAGTGCAGTTGTCACTGGTCTGGAAGGTCTAGTCAGCAATAGTCGACGTTGGCAAGGGCTATGAGGTTTCAATTGTTTTAAGAAGCTTATTCTGCTGCATCTATCAACGTCATTATGGATTGGGCATGGGCCAACAGCGAGGCGTTTATAAATGAAGGATTAGGTCTAGGGCATTTTGGGTACAATTAGGATCAAGGGCATGCATAGCGATAAGATGGTTTCTTTTTTATAGAGTTCGAGCTTTTGTTTTCAATGATTTTCTAATGCATCTTAGCATGCCTTATATGTAGAAGCAAAAGCATTCTAGGTACTACTCTATATGATAAATTGCCCTTAACAGTCATTGATATAGTAACTTTATTATTACAAAATGAAAAGCGCTATTGCTTTGCGTGTATGTAGGTCCCTTGATTTCAACTTGCTCTGTTTAAACGCCTTGCTGCTGGTACTGAAAAAAATTTCTAGTTTGCCTTAAGTAAAAAGCCCGGCATAGCTGCCTTTAACTTCGACGACGAGCAGCTCTTGTGAGATTGGTCGAGTTTCTAGTTGACAAATAACCATCCGAGACACTGAAGGAGGCGCGGTAAATGATTCGTCCGCTCCTGGTGCTGGTCCGGGTTCCAGGACGAGTAGACTTCAACGTGTTTTAAGGTCAGATTTATAAAACAAAGAAGGCAAAGACGTCATTTTTGGGAAAGGCAAAGCAAACGGATGCTAAAGTCTTGATACTTAGTATTGACATTTGCTGAGTCTTATGTAGAACTGTGAGAGAAACAAGGGTAAAAGTTATCCAGCGCCTTAGTTCTGTTATTCAGCACTCCAGCTATAGTGGAGTAGACTACTGCTGCTACTGCTGCTACTACATGTCAACTGGTATGTTGGATAAGGTACCTATGGAATCCACTGATACATGTACCACATACCTACCTAAGTACTTACTACTAGTATATACTACAGGTACCTACTGGTAGGTATAGACCAACTGCTTTGTTAAGCTGTAGCTAGAGCGCCGTAATGCACCGGAGGTGCTAGATAATAGAATTGGGATGCTGGATAATATTTTTTTTTAAAAATTGCTATGCAAACATAATTATAACAGAAGCCCCTATTGCTTAAGAAAGAAAAGAAAGAAAAAAATTGCAATAGATACCAGTTCCATCTAGTGTACTTTGTTTCCAATTATGTAACGCCTCGCTACCCTTAATCCGAAATTTCTAGTATGTTGCTGAATGCGGCAGACCAAATCCTTTCAACCACACAGTATCGCTTGTAGCCTTAGCTACTGGCTAACCTCTCCAACTCAACAATCAGCGCAGTAATAGCTGCAAGATTCCTTTCACAGCGTTCTCTCCTGTAAACAGCCCATTGAATTCTGCCAATTGCCCTCGCCTTTTGGGCCCTGCACTTATCAAGGAAAGCTTGGAGGCTGCCATCAACACTAGCTCCCCCAGCGACATTGGCTCTAAGCCTTTCAGCGTCTTGCTGAGCATAGGAAAGGATATGCTGAACATCAGCGAGAATTTCCGCCAGCTGTCTTTGTTGTTCTTGAGATGTCTGCGAATTGTGTTGTATAGCTTCTGTATTGTTGATTGTGCTGAAAGCTTCGACTTGGCGAGAGAGGCGGATTTGGAGAATGTCGAGCTCTAGCCGATGTAATTCGACTTCAAACGCTCCGGCTTTTATGGTGCGGATTAGAGAACGGATTATGGCCGTAGTAGCTGCACTAACTACAGGCTCCATGGATGGATGCGATCAATAAAGTGTCGGAAATATAGAGCTCAGCTTGAGAACAAGAAGACTTGAGAGGACAAAAAGGTATAAGTGTGAGTTTACGTTTTGAAACGCTTTCTTCACTAAGCTGAGGGATTCGCAGTACCGGACCTCATCAATTCAATGATGTTAACGTTTGCATGGAATGTAAATAGATGGTTAGTATTTGTTTTATAGATCGCACCCCGCTAACAGAGAAATTTGGCAGTCAAGAACGAGGCGCCGCCGCCTTGGAGGCGCCGCCGCCCGCTGTAAGCCGCCAAGCCCACGCCAAGCCAGACCACCTCATTCTGGCAGCCAAATTTCTCTGTTAGCTCCAATTTCCCAAACGGTCTGTGACCTTTCTCCTTTTGGAATCTTCACACCATTTTTAACACCACTCTAACGTCTTAAGCACTCACTATGCCCTTAGTTATATGGAAGCGAAAGCATTTTACTTCTTTTCTATAAAGAATCCGCGCTTATCGATTAAGCACAGCAGCTCTATTTGTTACAATTAAAAAACGCCGTTGCTATGCGTGCATGCATATACCTCAATCCAAATCCTATCGCTAAATGCCTTGGTACCCAATTCCTTGTGATACTGATGAACGCCTAAACAAAAGCCCATAGCCCTTCTTACGCTTGCTTTTTGGCTAATTTCTCCAGATCAGCAACTAGCGCAGCGATATCTGCAATGCTTCTATCAAAGCGCTCTCTCTTGTAGATGGCCCATTGCATTCTGCCAATTGCTTTCGCTGTCTGAAGTCTGCGCTTGTCGAGGAATGCCAGGCCTCGGAGCCGCGCCGGTTGTTCGTCTAGTGGGGGGCCGGCGACGAGATCGGTTTTCATCTTGGTAGTGTCTCGCTGAGCTTTAGAGAGGGTATGCTGAACAGCGGCAACAATCTCTGCCAACGACTCTTCTTTTTCTGCGATTTCCAGTGGGCTGGATGGGTTTTCGTCGGCCTTTATGGTTAAAAAGCTGCTGCCGCTTTTCACATTGTCGATATTTCTCAAAGACTCAATCTGACGGGAGAGGCGTACTTGGAGAATGTTGAGTCTCAGCTGGTGTCTTTCGAATTCATCCTCAAACTCTCTGGCTTTTTGTGCATGGACCAGGAATTGGAATATGGCGTGAGATATGTTGGCAGTATTGCTTACCGCCTCCATTATAGAATGTGAACAATGAAGCCCTGAAAATACAGAGCTCAGCTAACGACAAACCGCTCTACTATGCGAATGAACGTAAGTATGAATATACAATTTTATGGGTGCCTTGTGATTTATAGAAGGCTTCAATGTCTTTGGTCACAACATGAACCATTGGCGGCCCTACCCACGCAATTGCCTCCTAGCAGTACATGTACCTGGTAGGTAACTAGATACCGGGTAGGTTGAACAGGATACATGCAGATACGCACCTTTGGTAAATGGCATACTATGACAGCTCTATCACCAACAGCTTCTATGACCGGATGCAAGGAATAAATGAATCTATTACGCAGAAGTCGACCAACGAACGTTGCTCTATTGTAAAATAAGCACAAGTCCATCATGTGGGAGGGGGTGCATTAGAATGTGACAAACACCATGTAACTTACTTTTCACCCTCAAGGGTCGGTGGTGGGGCAGCTTCAGTATTCGCCCCGTAGGTAGCTATTATGTATAGGAATACAGAGCGAGAAGCCAATCAAAATGAAGACGTAGAAAATCGCCCCGTGCTCTATAGGTAGGTAGCGGCTAGTATTAAAGGTAGGCAAGGGCTGGGTCGTGATTTGGACAAGGTCGAATGGGCCACGAGAAGCAATTGCAGTACAAAGGCAAGAGGCGTCAGCAGCACCGGCGAGGAGAGACTGGGGGACCCTTTTACAGGCTCAGACTCAATCTCAAGCAAGAAGCCAGTATGCGGAAACTGTGATTCGAATCTGAACGGCCAAAGACGCAGAACTGATTGCCAAGCAGGGCAAGTTGATCATGTCTACACTCTGTGGTCTGCCATGTGGACAAACGCTTTGCTTTATATCATCAAGGGGACCAGCGCGAAGTTGCCAGAGGGGCGTGTATCGTAGTAGCAGAACTGTTAGTGCCTACAGATCCCTGCTAGTAGTCAACCTGCTCCAGTAGGCACCTACTTGTAGGGGCACGTATATATCCTGGCCAATTGTCTGCTCCTCCCGTTTCGTCATGCAATCTGGGTCTGCCACGCTGCGCAATTGCTAGGGACGGTTCTATACCTATAAGATATCTCGCCATTGGCCATTGGCGATTTCGGCTCCACACCTGTTGCTACCTTGCATGATACTGTACGGCCAGCTGCATCCCCCAGCGCGCGGCCTGGCGTCCTCTTCCTCTATGCCCTTGCACTGCTTCCGAGTGCTGGGGTGTAGCTGGATGCATGTCAGTATTTCTCGAGGCTGTACAACTACTGTGAAGAGTGCAACAGCTAGACAGCCATAGTACCAACCTTGGTCGCTCCGGCGTAACCAATAGAAGGATGATGGTTGTGAGGACATTTCTATGCCAAGAGCAAAGGCGTTGAGCGTCAACGCTAAGAAATAATCAACGAGATTGTAGAAGACCGCTCATGTCAGATAAAATCTTTGAATGAGCATTAAAAACTGTAATTGTTCAACGCAGGAGATGGCTGCTTACAGCGCTGCGAGCGCGTCTTATATGATTGCGCAGCCTGTAAGTTGTTTATCATGAAGCACTTCTCCAAATCGGTCCCTTTTCAGCACACCTTGGTAGTGTTCGGCCTCAATTATGCGGTGCAGCTACATGTACATACCTACATGTAGGCAAAGTTAGTAGTTTCCCAGCGTTGCCCTATGGTCTAGAATGCGTCACATACAATTGATGCCTTCAATTGTAACGCATTATGCCGAACGATTGGCTAGCAACATTGCATCGTCAACGTTTCAAATCCAGGGGCTTGAACTACATGCAGTATACCAATGATAAGTCTAGCACTCGTCGCCTAATCCAGCTGCAAAGTAGTCGGATTTTTCCTCTGGTCTCTTGCGTTTATCATGGCATCTTGGAATTGTGGTACATGAGGGGCTGAGTTACCTATCGTTTCCCTTTGGGTCTGGGCATGCGAGCCTCTACATGTAGGTGCACGTCGGATTCCGGGTTACTTCTAGTTAGCCATAAATTCTGACGCCGCCTCCTTGTTGATACAGCGACTGCCTTCCAACAAAGCGTCCGTGTATGCATACCTGGTAGCCAAGTATAGGTGCTCAAATCGAAATTGCACCAGCAGTTACTACTAGCGGCAAAGGCAGTGGTAGCCGGAGGGCTTGTGCCATGGATCGTGAGCAAGGGGCAACTTGTGCTTTGATGGCGGTGGGCTATCTGGATATGAATCCCCGTACTGCAGCAAGAGCAGCGGCGCCGGACGAAAAGAAGGTCAGCGGGACTGGCACATGAAGAGAGACTAGCCAGGCCGGGATTACATCTCCACAGGGTTCGAAAGGGGGGGTGGGTGCAGGAACGACCACCCTGGCTCAGGCGCTCAGGCAAGTGCCAAAGAGGATGGACCCCCCCTCTTTGCTTCCCAAAATGACGTGCCCCTCTTTAACATTCTTCAGAACATCACAGCCCCGGGCATCAATTTTGGCTGTTACCAATGCCATTGATCATACTGCATGCCAGCTGGATCCTCTTATACTGTAGTAGCAGGATTTCCTCTCTGCGGACCGTCGGGCCATCAGCCCGGCCCCTACTCGGTGAGGAGGGATTTAAGATTTATTGCGCCAAAGACTATGATATGTGATGGTATAATCCCCAAAACCATATTGTTATTCTTTTTGAGGCATGGTCAAAGTATCTACTACGAACTTAATCATGCAGTATGGCTCAAGATGCTGGCCATTGCTCGACAACTCCCCAGCCACTGACCTCTTCTCCCTTCCAAGCAAACCCAGCCCCAAAAGCAGCCTCTCCAAAGTGGCGAGTGGTAACGTCTGGCGATGCAGCCTTGATCACACTATTGTACTCGTCTAGAAATGAGACTTCAAAAGACCCAAACCAGGTGCGGTTCGTGTTGGAAGAAACCCACGGATCGCTGGGCTTTATATCTGGGTTCACGCTAACCACTTCTTGCCGGCCATTTGGATACAAAGCTGTGGCAAATGCTCTGATGGGTGAACCTTTATCGGTTGGAAGAACCCATGCGGAGATGCGAATTCCGTTGTCGAGCTGGATTGGGAACCAGTGCCAGCCTTGCGTTGGAGTTGCATCACCCCATTGGCGATCATACCATGTTGTCGAACGTCTTGAATCAATTTTATGGGTTGTTCCGTTGATAGTGAATGTTCCGGTGGTATAGGCTGCAAGACTAGCCCATCCTTGATTGAAGTCTGAGCCCCAGAAGAAGCTTCCGCTACCACCATTGAACAAGAGAGAGCCCCGAGGTTGAAATGTTGTGTTGAGGTGTTGAGGCTAAAGTTGCTCTCGGTATAATTTGCGACGACGTTGATGGCAGATATGTTATCATCTGTCAAGCCCTACAGCTCGTACTGCTCGCCAAATTGGATTTTGAGGCGCTCCTGGCCAATTGTAGTTGGCGTGTCCGATATATATGACGAGCTGGAACCACCCGTTTCCAACGAGTAAATGAGACAACCATTGGCACCACGACCGCCCACGACATCAGTGAATGTAATCAAAATGAAATGAAGATGCTCAGTAGTGGTAATCCAGTGTCCGACCCAATGTGAGTTGAGGCCTGTAGCCGACTCTAGGCGGACTACTTGGTTTGAGGAAACATCATATGTAGGTCCCGATGCCTGAAAATCGTCAAACACTGTATCTACGAAGAGGGAAAACGGGAACATGGAGAACATCTTCAATACTTACAACGAAAGGGTTGTTTATGGCTGGCTCTGTGGATGGTGTTGAGAGCCAGAGGTCGCCATGTAAAGCAGTTAAAGTGCTCGACAGAGATGCAGCTTGTGCATAAGAACATAGGAACCAGAGGGCCCCCAAGATCTTTGCACTGTACTCAGGCATTGTTAAACGAAGCGGTAAGATATTAATAGGGAGATGTTGCCAGCACCCTAATTTGATTATCCAACATCCCAACTATAGCACAATAGGGCAGCCAGTTTATATATTACATACACAGCTGCCAAATACTTATTACAATAGCAGCAGTAGCAGCAGTAGCAGCAGTAGCAGCAACTGCTCTCTTTATTTGTGGGGTGTTAGATAACAGAACTGAGGTGCTGGATAATAGCTCCCTATTAATATTGGTAAGCCTAAATACTCCCAACACTTGAATCCTATTTTCAATGCCGTCCAGAGGTGATAGCCTTCTCATAGTTTTGGCAATCCCTTTCCAGGGTGTCGATATAACTTGGAAAGGGAATGACACTAACAAAAGAGAGTCCTAATATGGCAATACATGGCTTGATGCTTATGGAGATCCAAAGTGGATCTCCCGTTTTAGGGGCAATCGAGGGCGCGCTCGGCAGCTGCCGGTGAGGGTGAGTTGAGATTCAACTCGGGGATTTCGAAACCGGAACTAAAAGACTTTAGAATAGCCAACATGATGATAGCTAAAAGAGCTCTTCAATCCAACTAAGCGATCCATCTGGAGCTTGAGTAGGAACCTGAGCATGGGTTTGAATGAAAGCGTTCTTCGGCGAAGGAAGGAGTCGGTATCATATCTTCAGACAGAGCTTAGTTTGCCTTCTCTGTTGACATGCACTTCTCGATATGGGCTCGTATCATCAATGCCGCCTCTCTTGGTGCCAAGTTTGTTGTATCGATATGAAACTCTTCATATGGATCCCCAAATTGAAAAAGCTTGCATTTCGTCCTCAAGTCTTTTATTGTGTCCGGGCATGTCAATTTTGTTGTAGTTCCCTGAGCGCGTTCGGCACTAGTGGCTCTCATGATGTTGGCCTCAATCTCGCACGATAAATATACAGGAATAAAAGGCCGACCGGCTTTCTGCGCAGCGTCACGGTATTCTTGTGCTGTATCTGTGCCAAGCTCATTGTCTGACTGGAAATCTATGTAATAGATCAGTCACATGTATACATGGACGAATGAGTTTGAGAGTATACCTGTGAATATAACTGCTGATAATCGAGTAGGTTCCCAGACAAAGTTCTCAAACGCCCATTCTCGCCGGCGTTTTCGCTCTATTTGGTATTGAGGATGGTCTCGAGAGTACCTTGCTGCGACTGGGTCTATCAGTTGATGGTTGTCGATTAGAATGCTCGGTATGTAGATACGAGCCAATTCTCTGGCTATCGTTAGTTTCCCAGTTCCAGGGAATCCGTTGATCCATAGAACAGGGCTGGGACCAGGCTTGGCCATGCTGATGAGTATAGGTGTTATTTTTGTTGATTTGGAGAAAGGCTGGTGCCTTTGCTGCTGCTGGCTACACCTTATAAATGGGAGCGAAAATGACATATGAGTCACAAGCTGGGTAGTTTGACTCATAAAAAGGATTTCAAGAAGGAACATTTAATTTTGGTAGAAAAAAGCTCTCAAGAAGAGAATTGATACCGAATCATCTCTACCCGTATTTGCCTTCACTTTTTTTTTTTAATTCGTTTGCATGAAAAGCCTCATGAAATACTAAGCTTTTCAACACCGTGACAAACGTTAATCTTAGAACATTATTTTAGCCGCCATTTTTGCTCCACGATGAATTACGGATACTTGGTCTTATCTTCTACAAATATTATTAGTTATTTTGCATTTTATAATGTGAGGTATAATGGACATGATAGCTGTCGGCCGTCTTTAACAATGAAATTTAGTGCATGCACCCGGGCGAACTCTAGTGAACCATACTTTTCTCTCCTGAAACTCAGGCATCTACGTAGCGAAGTTCGCTGTCACCCGCAAGAGATTTTCGACATTGTGTTTTACACGCTTTAAAATCATTCGGCTGCTTTTGATGTTGAAGATGGTAAGCTTCCTATCAATCGAACGCATGGACGCTAGTGCAGCGAAGGGCCTTGAGGTGTTCGTACTTTTGCTGACGTTGGCTGTGATGAGAATGCCAGAGTCAATGTAACTGAGTGCTGAGTTGATTTTGCGATCAACTTCATTGCATGAAAAGAACCGCTGCTTCTTAGGTTCGCAAGGTTGCCTTGTGAGATTATAAAGTCTACGATGATATAGTAGACGCTGTAATCGAGAACATGGATTATTAACAGGAATTCCCTGTACAAGACTAGTGCGCGCGTATAGAATAAGCACAGGACTAGCGCGCGCGCAAGATAAAGATAATAATAATAATAGAAGGAGGGTTAGTTTTCCAAAGGTTATAAAGCCGGTTATACTTGGGTTTATATTTAGCGGGCGATCAGGTCGGTTGAAAGGCAATAGGATAACTATCTTATTTGCCTATTATGGAGAGTATTGTAATAAAGTATAGCTAATCGGTAAGATATTAAGTGAAAATACTTAGCGAGGTCAACAAGATTAGCGAAAGATTCCATAGCATGCTTATATGGTCGCCCTTAATCCGCGAATTTAAGTTGATAAAGTTTCTGCAGGAGGAAAGAGGCTATTCCTATTTTAGCCCTGAGACCTCTGAATTTAACAGAACCCAAGGGCATCTGTTTGGCAAGCAACGCTCCTAGGATTTGACCAATTCTATCGTGCACAAGAAATAGGCTACAGAGTTATGCATATTCCAAAAGATGATACATTTTATCTCCCATGATCATTTAGGGCTGAAATACTGCTATATTAATATTTACATTACGCAACCTAGAATCTTACATTAGACTAGTGAATACAAATATAACAAGCATACTAACATGAATCTGCGCTATAGTCCTTTGTAATATATACTCCGCTCAAGTGGTAGTTTTAGCCCATGCTGATTACCCTCTCTGCGTTGTTATGGAAGAGTCGAAATGTGTGTCTACGCTTATTCTGTGTTAGCTTCCCGTATTTACGTTAAGGCTCGGGTATAGGTCCTCATCAGTATCGTATTAGCAGTTACTTGCTCTATACCGAAAGGTGAGACTTCTCATGATTCCATTCACATGAGGGCCAAGGCTAATTTCACAAAATCTCATTCCCTAATCTAGGAATTATAAATATCGTCGAGTGCCGGCCTTTCTCCAAGTCAAGCTGACCGCGTTTACGCATCAATCTCAATCAATCCCAAGCCACTATCAATCTATAACAATCTCTTAAACCATCCACGATGAAGACCACAACTTTCTTCTCCGCCACAGTCGCTGCCCTCTCAGTGCTCATCGCTCCCGCTGTTGCTGATTCGCACGCTGACTTTGTCCTCTTTCGCGGCGAAGGCTGCACCGGAAGCACCCTCACGCTCGATGAATATCTCGGCGATAATAGTGTCTCGTCCCCCTTGGGCGAAGGTTTCTCCTCGGCTAGACTCCAGAATCCGGACAGCGGCCATGCGTTCGGAGTCTGCGGTCAGGGCTTTTCATGCGGCGGAGCTCACGTCATCCTCGACACTACCAACTGCTTCCAGATCGAGCAGTCGAATGGAAACTTAATCCACCTCGACAAGACTTGCGTTGACGCTGGTTGCTTCTCCTAAGCGCATATTGTTAGAATGGCGCTGAGACTTATAGCGCACCGGCACGAGGGGGTCATCTCTTAACCACAAGTTATGGGGAAGATATGAGGGTTTCGCAAAAGTAGATAGAAATCAATGCAATGATCTCTTTGTATGAAGTCACTGGCTCGTCATGTTGAAAAGGTACCTCTGCACGCACACATATGCATAGCATAGGACTGCACTTAGAATCCTGATGCAGCCTTATTCGTTTGACTCTCTAGACTGGTATGCAGCGTGTTGTAATCTTTCGAATTCCGTGATGTAACCGAGACTTGGTAGGGTAGTTTGTAAAAAATACCTTGACTTGCCATTAGAATAGTCGTCGAATTGACGGTGTTCATAACGAGGTCAGCCGTTGCGGTGTCCTGTTCACACTTACCTTTTCTCTTCCTTGCTTAATCACAGACATCGGAAATTGTATTACAGATTCAAATCATTAAATGAATACAGTAGTAACTTTCCACCTAGCGTCAGCATTTCAACTATCATAATGCACAGAAGGGTTAGCCGTTGTGAATAATTTGTAGTAGTATTCTTAAGTCTTGTAATAAATGCCTGCGTCTGTTGCGAAACCGGAAAGCAGAAACCAGTGCTATAATCGATCAAACTTATCGATCTGAGGGTCAGGATCATTAAGATTTGATCAATAAGCTTATTGATCGATATTATGTGAATGTATGTAGGTATAGTGTACCTTATAGCTAAGTCTCTACCTAGCTGCTAAAGCCGTTTCAAACAGCGGCACGCGCCAGCCAAATTAAAAAGAGAGCAGGCAATGTAGTAAATTTAAGGAAAAGTTATTCAGCACTCGATTTCATTATCTAACACTTTAGGTGTAGCTTAAAAAAGCACCTGGTCCACGTATTAGTAGCATCAGTAGCATCAGTAGCACACGCTATAGCTGGAGAGTGCTGGATAATAGAATTGGGGTGTTGGATAATTTTCTTTAAATTTAAAGTAATTTTAATGCAGAACTAGACGGTAAAGTAATGTTATGACCTCCGTCTTTTGCCTGCAGAGATATTGATGTGGAGCATAGCTTTCTAGAACATGGATTAGCTGGATTCATGTGCTCTGATTCTCCGACGCTGGCAGTAATCTAATCGAAAGCTGAAGCGCATAGTCTCTCTGATTCAGAATGAATTTCCAAAGGTGGACTGACTCGAAATATCTAAATCTTATACAGACGCAGTAGCAGAATAGTATATAGCACCGCCGAACCGCCAAGCTGAGTCTATTCAAGGATTGGCGCCACAAGTGCGATTACGGCTTCGGAGTAATATTTAGGTAAGGCTTAGCAGAAGTGAGGGTGCGAAAAAAACGAAAGAAAGCTTATTTCAGCCTGAAGAGGATATGCTGGCCTACGCCACATGGCTGTACTCCCTTCTTTAGAACAGAGATGGTCGAAGTAGGTTGTCCAACTTCTCTTTGGTGCCTGTGAATGAAGGTTTAACAGACTTAGGCCTCTCGAGTCCTTGAGGATCACATATAAATCGACTGTAGCATATGTTGCCGGTGAAATGAACTATTGCAATGGGCGCACGACATGGCATTATGATTCCATCTATATCGCCGAATATTCGGCCATGTCATTATTCATGCTAGATCTCCGGTATGGACTGGCCGACACCGACAACCGAATGTTCTATTCACACGAATGATGTCATGTGAAATGATATCTTCAGCTCTATTAAGAACCCACACCTAACCGCTTGTTCCCAAAGAAATGAGAGTCAAGATGTTCGGACTTCGGCATCTATAAGTATTCCCCGCCCCGCAGTAGAATACGTGTACTCGTCTACATCAATGTTCGCGACTCTTTTCACATGTAGCTCGCAAGGCTTTGTTCTAGTGCATCGAAAGCTAAATTTATTTTCGCGCCATGATTATAATTCATGAAATGCAAAATAAACATTGTCTATGTGTGGCCTTATGAGAATGGCTCGGATTGCGACTAGACAATCTCGCAACTTATCCACAATCCAAGCATTACAATCAATTTCTCTAGATGATCAGATGTTCAAGTTGTGACAGCAAGAGCATTATCTTTCATTTTTTATTTCAAGTATTATACATCCGCCTAAGCTATTCATTAATTCATGAGCAACAATAGGTACATTAATATTTCGTTGTGGTTTAGAAGCGAGCAAAGTCGAGCCTAGAATACGTTAGCAGAGTCGCTAAACCGCGCGAATCTTCAACTCACCATTTGCCTCTCAGCGTGATGACAGCCCACTTGGCACCGGTCTCATCAACCTCTGCCTCAACCTTGGTAGTGAAGTTGACTCCGCTCATGATGCCGTCGCCAAACTTCTCATTGAGGACTGCCTTGAAGGCGTAGCCGTAGTTTTGGATGATTTCATAGAGGCGGTAAATGAGGGGTTCTGTGGGCGGCATGGGTCCCGCCTGGCCACGGTTGGGGAAGCCCAATAGCTGCTGCGCCAGGACTTCGCGGGGAATATCGAGAGCAGCGCTAAGCTTGTCAACGTCCTCGGGCGTGGCCGTTGTCTGTCCGTAGAAGAGCGCAGCAATGGCAACCTCGGTGCGGCCGGTCAGCTGGGCGAGCTTCTCAAAGGTCACGGCCTTGGCTGTCTTGGCCTCGAACAGAAGCTTGCCGTAGGAGGGCAGACGGCCCTCGTTGGCAGTCTTGAGAGCATGTTAGTTTGAGAGCGCTCATAAAGAGGGGTCATGATACTTGCGTCATATGTAGCCAGACGACCAGACATTGTTTCTTTGAGGCTTGGAGTTGGGATGGAAAAAAGGAGGATTTTGATATGATGTTAATATTGGGGAAGAGAGTATAGTTTAGAATGCAGAAGTAATAATTTCACTGGCGATAGGCGAGACTTGATGCTTCTTATATAGAGATGCGATGCCGACTTACCACCAGCGATGCCGATTTACGACCAGTCACATATCTTAGCCTAAGTCATTGTAGAGTATGCATCTAATTGCAATTTGAAATCTTTTGCGGGGTGCGGAATTTTCTATTGATCACTATACCCTCGAGCCTCAGCTTGGAATAGGCAATACTACATTGGACACAGCAGTTCGAGTTCTGCTCATAAGCACTATACGAACACGGCATGGACAATGCACCTCGCAGGAAGCATGAGGGATAATTTGTAAACCAGACTTGAGACACACGATGAGCCGCTGGTTAGTGCCGAGAGCCTATATAAAGCGGAATTATGCATGGTCAAGTTGCAGCACCGAAACCCGTACAAAGTCTGCGGCAATATTGTGATTGGAGTCATCATGGCAGACAGCTCATGCTGTACTGCTCCACTCCTGTGCCCTACGAGTATGAGGTAATTCCGCGTCAGAGGGCCTTTGCCACTAGTTGCGTAGAGACTATACGTTTATAAGCCGTTCTCTATGCAGCACAGAACTTCTATAGCTGAAAGTAAAGTAATGGACTCTAGCGTTCTAAGCGGCTGCGTAGCGGGAAAAGGATCATTACATTTGGAAGTTGTATGCTCGGCCTTTGATTGGTTTAACTAACCAGAGTCGCCCTATAAGGCTTCAAGGCAGTCAAGGGTCCAATTGAGTTTCTCCACGTACAAGCTCTGCACTCTCTCAGCCTCTGCAGCCACAGGATGGCAATTGGCTTGATTGACGCCAAGGCATATCGGGCGTCAAGTTTAGTTTCAAAGTCAGAACTCTTCATGTGAATCAGCTCATTTCCTACACAAGTACGCTTTTGGATAGCGTAGAATGTTTCTGAAAGCGATTGAAGCCCAAGTCTATACCTACCCAATTACGTGTATCGTGCCACAGTATTAAGCATATATACATCGCGCCGCATAGACGCAGATCTTGATGTTTGACAACAACGAATGAAATGGCGTTTTAATTGAAGATTACTCTTCCCTATGTTGCTTTTCATATTGTGTGCTTAACATGCACAGGCGTCTAATTTACCTGACGTCTCAGCGCGCACCCTCTTGACCAAAACTCATTTTAATAATGTGCAGAATGTGGCTTTCAACGACCGATACACCGGTTGGGGCTGATTCTTGGCTGGCTGCGCCATGGCACGCATCAATAGTATGAACGTTAGAATGTAATGTGAAAAGGTGGAAAATTAACTTCATGGCAGCGAGGCAGCGGATATACCGGCAAGGTTTAATCGAAGCATTCCTCCGAACATTACAAGCAATTTGATCCATCCGTGCTGAAAATCTAGAATTTTATTGTAGGTATAAATTAGTTGAAAAGGGATCAAGAGAACAATTACGTGATTGCAACTCCTTTTTTTCCACCTACTCGTTGAGTATTCAACTATCGACCAAGATACCAACATGATTCGGTTCATCAAATTCCTCCTACTTGGCCTCCCAGCCTTTTCATCTGTCGTACAGGCAGCTGACTGCAAGAGTAATGCGATCCAGCACAAGGATGTGCTCGGCTGCACTTGCCAAGATCACAAAGATTTCTGCTCAACCGCCAGCCCCTTGTGTAAAACCTGCAAGTTGGAAATAAAAGAGAGAAAGACTACAAGTCCGTACCCGGCTTGCGTCCCTGGATGTACGGACAATGACGCACCGTGTAAGAGTTGTGGCATCTGGTTTTCTACTCTTTGCATCCATATAAAAGACTGCCTCAATGGGAAAGCATGCGATGCCTCCGGCCCAGTCAAACAAAATGGCCCCATGGTATGGGTATATCTGCCAGGGGGCGATGAGCCACTCATTACGACTACGGACCCCCTTCCTGGAATCTTGGAAATGGCCGAGCATCCGACAATTTACAAGGATGCGTTCAACTTTGCTCAAGACCCAAAGCATTTTGATCCCAACAGCAGAGCTTTGGTGCTGAATTCAGTTCGGTCGAGGACCATGGAGCAGTTTCACATCCACAAGTGTTACAGGCCTACTACTGGAAGCCCCCGAGCTTTGGCGAGACTCGACCATGCAAAACTTGTTACGGGCAACAAACTGCAGGAAATCCTGCCCAGAAAGCCAAGTGAGCCCAGAATTTGGTGCATGGGCGTCGCAAAAAACCAGGGCCCAGTCACAGACTTTGTGCAAGCTATAGAAGAATTATTGCACCGGGGTGGGAAGGATTACATTTGCCCAGGACTTGCTGGCGCAGCTGTCATACAAGACAATAATGGAAGGAGGTGGGGATGTGTTACCAACAACCAGCAGGGGCCATTGCCGTATTTCTGTGCTGGACATAACCACTGAAGATGGAACGAGTTCAGAAGATGAGGTTGATCCAAAGAGGCAGGGGAGAAAGTACAGCAAGTTCTTGGGATTGGCCCGTGGATGCGAACTCTGTCCTTGAACAATGCAGCAATCAATGTCACTTATTTCCCCAAAGGCTTTATAAAAAGGTTGAAATGTCAATCAACTGAGCTATCTAATCAATTATTGAATAAACAAGTCTTGTTCTGGAAAGCGGTTCGCTGAGTCCTTATAGGAGAGTCGTAGACCCAACGTTGCAAAAACACTAATCTTTCGCAACTCTATGGAAATGTTAATGAAGAAAATTTCCATGATAGAGAGCCATAGTTCATCTGCTTAATCTGTTTGTCCAAATTTTCTGCTCCTCAAAAATTGAAGACTACCTCATCATGACAAGGCTCTCAGGGGAGCATTCCAATTGCTTAGGGATCCACCCTACCGGCTTCAAGTTACAAACCAATTGGAAAAGTATACAAGCTTCAAGCTACAAGACCGTAAGGCTGCGAGGCCACTAGAGCGACTGCGAATCTACATTCCAATCTAGAGAACTCCAAGGGATCTATTCATCTGTATCTCTCGCTGCTTTACACGCCATTCCTTTGTGGGGTTGAGACGCCAACAGGGCCCCGCTTCGGAATGGTCGCCCGGAACTCGTCTCCGGGATCGATGGAGTCGCCTAATATCTCCCCGGGCTTGGCATATTGGGGTATTGCACTACTGATGAAGCTAGCATTGGCAGCCGTAGCACATGTATTATCTAGTAATAGGCCCTCGGTCGAATTCAGCATTCTCTTGGACAAGATGTGGCTGTCGTCACTCCGTTTCTTACTTCCCGAGTACGTCTTTGACTACCTAAGAAAGCATCTAGAACTGTCTTGCCCATAAAGGTGCTTCTTGCTTATTTACTGCTGCGTTTGGTAACTACACCTAGCTGAGCCTGTGGATTATACGACGAGACAGTTTGTGTAATAGCGTGCCATCTGCAAATATGGCAGTGGACAACGGTTCAAGAGCTATTGGCTTACCTGACGATGAACTCATACGGAAATATGTCCACGGATGCCACATCTTGCACTACTACAACATCGTGGATGCCTACGGCCACATTTCAGTTCGTCTCAGCGAGTCCGTCTTCATGATGTCGCGGTACATGGCCCCGGCGCTTGTGTCATCTGCGCAAGACATGGTGTTGTACGACGTTGAGAGCGGCGAAGCTCTGAAGAAAGATGCGCCAAAAGGTTTGCCCCCTTGTACCATCGAATTTCTTCGTCTGCGCAATTTTCAGCTGACTAGAAGCCATCTTTAGGCTTCTCAGAACGCTATATCCATTCAGAAGTATACAAGGCATATCCAAACGTCCAAGCGGTCGTGCACTCGCATTCACTCGAAGTGATCCCCTTCTCCATATCGTCGACGCCTTTACGAGCTTGTTTCCACATCGCCGGGTTCCTAGGCACCGGAGTCCCCGTATGGGACGCGGCAACGGTATATAAAGAGAATCCTCAAGCGAGCAACGATATGTTGGTCCGCAGCACGGAGATGGGAGCATCACTGGCCAAAGCACTGGGCCCGGCCGACGATGAAGGACTGCCCAAATATCCAGTGGCGCTGATGCGTGGCCATGGCTTTGTTGCCACTGCAAACAGCTTGGAGATGGTCATCGCCAAGAGCATCTACACCATCCATAATGCACGTGTTCAGAGATCTGCAATGGCGATTTCGGGAGGCATGGAGGGGGTGCATTTCTTCAGCGAGCGAGAGGCCCACGACACGGCGTTGACGGCCATGGCGGGGGCAGCCAAGCCGTGGCCGCTGTGGGTGGCCGAGGTTGAGTGTCACCCGCTGTATAAGAACAATGTGTAGCGAATATTGGATAGATAATCAAGCACGTCCGCGTTTGTGATCTCAAGCGGTACAAGTGAAAAAGACGACCTCGTCTTGGCGTAATACGCAGTGACAGCTCAGCTCGTGTTGGAATTGCTCCGTCGAGGCCAGGGCTTAGCGCTAACCACCGCTGAAGATGCAACTATTACGCCGCTAGCGAGGCACATGTAGCGCATTTCCCCGCATCGGCAGTGGAGCGTGGGGGATCCGTCCAGCGGGTGGCCACTTCTGAACTTCTGATGATTTATAACCGCCGCGATCCCGTAGTCCGAGTTCCCCATCCAGTGTCCGGATCGCTTGTCCGCTCACCATCCGCAGTTGTGTGATACAGCGCAGAGTGGAGAGATTCTCATCAGCTCATTGCCCAATGGCCGCATCACTTGCTGCTGCCTCGTTTCCCACGCCATCCATGTCCGCCAGCTCTGGGGACACTGGACGGGGGTCTCACGTATACACGCAGCCACAGCCATATCAGCCACAGCCGTCCTCGCGCCACGCAGAGCCCCTTTCTTCTTCTACTCACGAGCCTCAACAGAAGCACAAGCAACAACAGTCACAGCAACAGTCTCAGCAACAGTCTCAACAACAGCAACGGCCCGCCAAACGTCGTCGAATTGGCTATGCTTGTAATCTCTGCCGGACCAAGAAGAACCGGTGCGATGGCGAGAGACCGTCTTGCGGGCCGTGCAAGGAGCGGCGTCAGGAGTGCGTCTACAGCCCCCAACGCACAAAGATTTCGGTGACACAAGAGTAAGTCTTCTCTAATAGAGCGAGGATGACAGCATTCTCTTACATGTATGGTGCCAATCACTATTGTTTCATGGCACGCCTTCTTCAGCTCTTCGATATCACCGCAACCCTCTAGTGTGGTCTTACTCACTTTTTTGCTTCTAGATATATTGAGAATCTGAGAGCACGGAATCGTATGCTTGAAGATCACATAGCTGCCAGTCAGCATGGTCAAAACCCCCAGTCACCGTAAGTTGTTTAATCGCCTAGCGTTCCTATTGAAGCACACCATGAAGCTAAGCTACGCTTTACTAGTGGTCATGAAAGCACATACTCCAAGGAATCGCCTCTTGGGACAACCAGACCAGCTTCATATCAGACTTCCAGAGATAGTTTACCATCTCAACAACACGAAAATCCTCCTTCACCTACATTAACAGTGGAAGAACGACCAGAACGGCAGCGTCAGCACCACCAAACCGGCAGCCAACACCGTCCTGATCGGCCGAGGAGCAGCCACTCTGCTTTGCCGGGAGAGTACTTTGGAGAGTCCTCGGCTTTTGATTTTATTACCAAAGTGACATCACCAAATAATAATGACCATACATCGGGCAACTCTAGAGCGACTGCCACAACTCCTACAGCAGGCGTAGGCGGTGGCACTGCAACCGGAAAAGCTTCAGCATCGACAGGAAGAATACCAAAAGCTCTGGCTGCGAGAAGAAGCATCGTAGAGGCATCCGGGGTTGGTGGCGAGTCACTAGCCGAGTCGTCGCCTTCAACAGTCGTATTTGAGGAGCTCCTTGGTATTGGAGCAGGAATAGGGGACGGCAGCGGAAGCAGTGACTTATTCGAACTGCCCCAGCGCTCATTAGCCGACCGTTTGGTAACATCGTACTTTAAGCACCGACATCCACTGAATCCATATCTACACGAGGGGACATTTCGCCAGCGGTATGCACGACTATGGCTTAGCAAGGATGTGGGCGGCGAAGAGGCAGCACCCAACAACTTAGCCTGGCTGGGCCTGGTGAATATGGTGTTTGCATTTGGCAGTGAGCATGCACAGACTCGTCATCCACATCACGGAAGCCCAAGCAATTCAGCATCAGCGAAACCAGACCGCGCCCGCTTCTTCAAACGGGCAAAGATGTTGGCATTCTCGAGCATCCTACAAGCCAAGATTGAGCTCGTACAGGCGTTATTGCTGATGAGCCATTACCTGCATGGTTCTTTGGAGCTCAACCACTGCTGGACCGTCATTGGGTTAGCTATTCGCACAGCTCAAGAGCTGGGCCTTTACCTCGATTCCACTGACTTCACAAACGATATCGTCGAGCAGGAGATCCGTAAGCGCGTGTGGTGGGGTTGCTTCGTCATCGACCGTCTCGTTAGCATCAAAGTTGGCCGTCCGCCTACCATCCACGACATACCTGCCATCCGTGTCGGTCTTCCACTTGCAGTCGACGATGAGTTTCTCGATGAGGCGTCTAATTACACTCAACCTAGCAATATTCCATCCAAAATTGTCTTCTTTAACCATATTGTGACTCAGTGTCGCCTATTGGCCAAGGTGCTGGATACTCTATACGACAACACGCCAAGTAGCAGCGGTAGTGGTGCTGGTAGCAGCAGCTCGTCGTCAGCAGGCCGCGAGGCCAGAGTTCGCATCAAGGTCGACTTACCAGATCTTCTGGCCATGTCGATTCAACTAGATGGTGAGCTGGTTGCATGGCAAAATTTGCTGCCTCCGCACCTCCGCACTGATTCGGACGTGCCGGGCTGGCATTTTGAGCGGCAACGAAGCGTCTTGCTTATGCGGTATGAATATTTCACACAACTGTTTCGGGACCAATTCATAACTTACACTTGCTTTAGATTGCTCCACATCAGGCTCCTTATACATCGACAAACGCTGCTCTACTATATTCTACGCCGCATCCCTGATCCTTTCCAGGCTGATCTGGCCCATTTGTGCATTAGAAGATGTGTCATGGCAGCATATGATGCTATTGCTGAAGTGCATCTCCTCACCCAAAAGAACTTACTTTCTTCGTCTTGGCATAACTCACACTGTAAGCCTCTCTCCATTCAATGCAGCTACTCTGAGCTAATGCGTGATAGATGTTTTCACTGCTCTGAGCGTTTTGTTAGTCTACCAACACCTCGACCCTCATTCTCGCTCAAAAGTCGACATACCACAATCGTCAGATATTGACAACATTATCGGCCACGGGCTGGAACACCTTCAACGAGTTGGTGGCGATATCCATCCCCTGGCCTCTCGCTATGTCCGCTCCTTTCAGCAGCTGCAGACGCGGTTACAAGCGATTGGCACATTATCCGCCAATGCGCCGCTTTTGGCAGTGCGTGGGAAGCAGCAGCTGTCGATGAGGGAGGACGGCGTAGCGAACTTGCGCCAAGCCCACATAACAAACTCTACTACTGACTCGGACCAGAGTAGCAGTGCAGGACACCAAGCGGGCTCAGCAACTAGCGGAAGCTCAGGCAAAGACCCGGTGAATATGCCGGACCAGAGCCAGGAAAACAATGAAGTAAGCTACTACGGAGATGCTTACCAGGAACAATACAATGACCGTAATGTCGAATATGGAGATGATGGTTTCATGTGGGCTGGATTTGATGACGAGTTTGCGGTCATACAGAGCGCTTTGTTGGATAGCAGCGGGTGGGGGTCTGGATTCTTGGATCCTTGGGCACAGTGATGAATGTATTCTTATAGCGCTTTTTGCTTTTTGGTGTCATCTTGGGAGTTTGGATGCATGGTGAATGCGGAATATTGGGTTTGTAGTGTGTAACTGAGCTGAGAGGAGGTTTTCATATAGTCTCAACGCCTCTTCATCTACTTGAACTGGAGTTGTTGAAATAATAATGATAATCAATAATATTGAGTTGTGTAGCATCAGCCTATTGGCTTCAAAAGAGTAGCATGTATTTTGATCTATTTATTATGATGTTATATAACGATGCGTAACAACAGTACACTGAAATGATATCGTATGCATTCGTACAAGACAGTAAAAGAATTCAGCCCAAACCTGCCACTCATCTCTATAGACCAAGGCGAGTCCTCGTAGCATTAAAGTCCGCCTCCAGATCATGCCCCCAAACCCAAGTCATGCGGTCCTTGAACTTGTCATGAATGACCTGCAAACGCTGCTCAAAGACCAGGCCGGCGAACTCGGGGCCCTGCATCTCGTAGACGTCGCCTGCTTGACGGGACGTCAGCTGAGCCCTCTGGGCCCTCGGCAGTCTTGTTTCCTGGTAGAGCTTCATGTATGTTTCTAGGCCGACGGAAGGGTTCTCGAAAAAGGCCTTAATGGCTTGGCCCATGACGAATGAGTCTTCGATTGCGTGGCCGGCGCCCGAGCCTGTAAAGCAAATGTCAGTAAGAACTGCATGTTGTATGAGATTGAGACTGGTTGTGTGTTTGTTATTCACCTTGATGAGGAAGCATGGCGTGAGCAGCATCGCCGCCAAGCACTACCTTTCCTCCTAGATACACCCATTGGTCGAGCAGCTCGCGGTCATTCAGCTTCCACTTGCCAGGCCGGGGCTCCATGGCACGAACCACCTTCTGGACCGTCTCATCCCAGCCGGAAAACTCAGCCTCGACTTCAGAACGGGGCGCGGTACTTGACCAGCTCTCTTTCAAATCACCGAGCTCGGCCTCGGTTTTTGACACAAACGCGACGACATTGAGTGTCTTGTTTTGAGAGATGGGGAAGACGAGAAAGTGTCTGCTGGGGCCGAGCCACGAAACCGCAAAGGAGTCGTATGGCCAGTCTTGTTCGACAGCCGACATGGGAAGAAGACCGCGGTAGCAGACACGGCCTGAATAGCGCGGCATCAAATCGCTGCCTTTGGAAAACTGTCGTCGCACGTTGGAGTGGATGCCATCGCAGGCAATGACGAGATCAGCTGCGACGTGAGTGTCGTCTGCGAAATGAATCACCGCCTTGCCGCCCTTTTGGTCCTCGACGATCTCGACGGCTCTCTTGTCCGTCTCCAACTTGGCGCAGGCAGTGTCTCTGATATGCTCATACAGCACTTGAAGGAACTCGGCGCGATGAACGCTCAGCTGGCGCACGCCGCCGTTGCCCGCCTCCTCGTCCATGGCGCCGACAGACACAATCTCGTCGCCATTGTCCCATCGCCTCAAGCTGCGGTGGATGCCGTTGCGGTCGCCCGAGATGGCATTGGCTGCTTCGTAGACGCCGTAGCGCTTGAGGATGCGGCTCGCGTTGACGCCAATGCCGATGCCTGCTCCGATTTCCTTGTATGCCGGTGCTTGTTCGTAGACGGTGATGTTCTTGAGAGAAGGGACTTGCGTGGCTAGGGATAGGGCCATGGCCAGACCACCGATTCCGCCGCCGAGAATGGCGACTGAAAAAGTGTCTGGCGATGCTGCTGGTCTGCTCCCAATGGCCATGTTGTGTTTTTGTCTTGATCTTTCTGTCTAAGTGGTGAAAGAAGGATAGTGTATGCCAAGAAAGGATGGAAGTAGGAAAGCGCGAGACCTTCCTAGTCTATATAATATTGAAAAAAGAGCTCTAAATTGCTGTAGAAAGAGAGAAAGCAAGAGTGAGAAAGAGATTGGGTGATCCGACGAGGGGAGAAAATGGGAAAGGAGATGAGTTCCGAGAATAGAGGGTCAGACTCTAAGCAAGTCCATCTTCCCGGATCTCGTTATCATCGTTCGATACGACCCAGAATTTCGGCATTAGCGGCAAACGGGTAGTCAGAGATAAGTTTTGGAGTCTTTGAATGTGACTGCATCTTCGATTTACGCCGCCCTCTGTCTCCATGGCGTTTGCTCAGATCGCTGAGGCGTGACATGGGCTGCGGTTCCGGAGATGGTGGGGCGTCTCGGCTTAGACGGGGAACCGCGCCGGAGAAGCTTTCCGGTGCGGGGGAAAAGATGGCGGCGTGTTATTGGCTCGGGAATTATGCCATGCAGGCTCGAGATGAAGTGCCTCGGGGAGATAAAAGTTCAGATTTCGCGCTAGCTGCGGTGACATTCCACTTGTTGCTGCTAGAGAGCTCTTGAGCCTTGTCTGACCACCTGGTCGATTTGGACATGTCGCGGGTTTAATGGCTAGTCCAATGGCTAGCAGAGGCAGACGTCTTTCTTCATAGAAGAGAGAAGGTAGCAAGAGCAGTGGTACGATGGATGGTCTGATTTATTCATCTGTGGCCTGATACATGATATGATCTAAAAAGGCTTTATAGAATATAACACAGCGTGCACCATTATATTAAGCTTGCCCGCAAGGCACATACCTACGTGATAGTATATGTAGAATCATCTGTATACCCAATCCCATCTCAGACAAGAACAACTACAGATCCTGGTGCATCTTGGGCACGCCCTGAGCCTCGCGAATCGCCTGCCCCTTCCAGATTAACAAAAGCAGCGGACACCATGCGCAAAAGTTGATGATGGCAAATACGCCCCACGCAACGCCAAAACCGGCGCTCTGCCCAAACGGCAAAGCGTAGAATCCAATTGTAAAGGCAAACGTTTGCCGGAACAAGTTGATAATCGTCGATACCTCTGCGGCTTGCGGCTTATAACAATCGGCAATGTACGAATAAGTGAGAGTGGTGCCGGCCTGGACGCCGATGGACGCCACGGTCATGCCGACGGCGAGAGCAATCCACGGGGCATGATTGGAGACGGACACGCCGTGGATAATGAGACCCGCAGGCAGGAATAAACAGAGAGGAGCCAGGTGTAGACGCGCCTCGGGCTTGCGGTAACCATCGTGACGACGGGCATATCGGTTGATCAGCCAATCAGAGATCCAACCCGTGCAAGACTCGCCAATCAAACAGCCAAGAGTCAATGGAATACCAAGCAGCAGGCCGTTTTGCTCAGTGTCGAAATGGTACAGCCTCTCCGTGATGCTCGAAGCCGTCAACACAAAGACGATGGAGCCGTACGTGTTGGCCGTCATGTAATACACGCACGGCACCACCACGGCGACGTACCGGAGCATCTTGAAGTTGTGCAGGAAATCGGATGGGCGAAGCTTGCGGTCGATGACCTTGCCGTGGAAGGCGAAGCGTTGCCAGTAGCTGCGGTTCTCGAGCGTGCTGAACTGAGTACGCGAGAAGAGCGTCTCGGGGAAGAAGACTATGAAGCAGCCCAGGACGATGCCCAGCATGATGGCGTTCCACTTGAAGATCCAGCGGAATCCTTGGTTCTGGGCGATGAAGCCGCCGGCAATGGGACCAAAGTGCGGCTGTTGAGCTCTCGAGTCAGCAAGTGCGCGCTTATAATGGATTGTCTGGTGGAGTCTACGAGTTTGGGATTGACAAGACTTACACCGTTAGTAAGGGCGAGTGCGTAGAATCCAATATACTTTCCACGCTCTCCCTGGAAGAACATGTCGGTAATCTAGTACGCACACAAAACTATTAGTTTTCATCTGCACTGACATCTTTCGAACAGAAAGAAAGAAGCGAGACTTACCGTGGCACCACCAATAGCGAGAGCAACACTGGCACCGATACCGACAATGCATCGAGTGAGGATCTGGGTCCCGTACGATGGCGCGTATGCCGAACCAATGTTGGCACCTATGGCAATGGCCGTGAAGATGAGGTACGCCGGGCGTCTACCGTACAAGTTGACAAATGGGGTAACCACCAATGGCGTGACGCCCCCGAAAAGCGTGTACGTCGTCGTGAGATAGCTGGCGGCTTGATGCGAAACTCCATAGGCCAGAGCAATGGGGCCAAATGCAGCGGGAACCATGCCGGCGCCGACTAGAGTTGAAATCAGTTTCGAGTTTCGAGTTGGAGCTGAGTGGGATATACTTACACTGCACGATAAACGCGAGCAGGCAGAGCAAGGCAAGGACAAAGCACTTGTACCAGTACGGCCAATTCTACAAAAGCAGAGAAGAAGCTGTATCAGCACATCGTTGTTCAAGTTCATGAGTAACACAATAACATGGACACAACATACCAACGGATCATCCTTGTGGTCGCTGGGCTGCGGCACCAGAGGCAAACCATGGGAATCGAGCTTGAGATCCGAGACGGGCTCCTTGCTATCCTTGCTGCTTGTCTCAAAGGGAGACGCGCTCTCCACATGCGCTGCATTGGGCACCGCGGGCTTTATCGAGCCACTGGCCTTGGCTTCAGGGTCTTTGTCCATGGAGAGAGACGATACAATATCGTGGAAGTTGTAGTGTATATCTTTTGGAAGATGAGACCCGAAGAGTAGGCGTCGAGATGAGGAAAGAAGACGGGGGGGAAAAGGAGAGATGGTTGAAAATTGAGGTTATAAAGAAATGTTATACATCAACAATCGGTGAAGCTGCTTCGCGCCCATCGCGTTTACTCGGGAGCGGGATGGGCTGCCATACAGGGGAGAGGCGTTTATTATAAGTCCCGGGCTTTATTGCCCCGCGAGCGGCGGGGACTTTGGGATTCCGGGGTAGCAGCAGATTCTATCTTGAGCATCTACTGCTGGGATGGGCATATCTGGAAAATAGCCTAAGAGGAAAAAAGCTGGGGCTTGGTGCAGGAAATGCGATAAGGACGTGCCATCCGAGAGCGTTTCTGGCAATGGAAGAGGGAGGGGAGCCACGTGCGATCTCATGGTTTGTTTCTTCCGCTGGGCTGTGACAGATGACCCCGAGTCTATTGATTGCCTTTTCCTGGGGTAAGAAGTAAGACTAGATTTTGGAATTAATTGAGTCTGGCGGCAAGTTTAGTTGCTAGTCGAGCCCGGATAGAGTCTCCGAGGGGCACTAATTCGAACGATGTCGAAGGGTTCCGGGAATACGGTTTTGGAGGTACGGGAGTACACGTATTTGCCTTTTCAGGCCATGTCTGTTCTGGACTCTGGACCCCCGCAGTTTTTGGAGTCGAAGATTGCGGGGTGCAGTTGTCTAGCTTGAAGGGCGAAGATGGAGTTTGTTGTCCGGAATGAAGATCCGGAGTGAGCAAAGTTGGGGGCTGATGCTGGAACAGAGCTTTTATGGGTTGAGAAGTTTGGATATTTTGGAGTACAAGATTTCACTTTGAACGAGATTTACCGTTTATGAGACGTCGTAAAATAGTTTGTGTTGGATATTATATAGCTTAGTCTACATGTACTTCATAACAGCAGCATCGCAACTCATGTTGAAATTCTCGCTGAACCCATCACAAACAAACAAATTCATCAACATCATCACCTCATTCCCATTATCCAATGCGAAAGTTGATGCGTCTCACAGGAGCAAACAGCTCCTCAATCGGTACCGTCCGCTCAATCATGTTCTGCTCATACAAAAACTGCACCACCGCCTCCAACGTCTTGCGGTTCTCTTCCAAGCCATACGGCCAGCAGTCTCCCCCAAAAGTCTCCTGAATCTCGTCCAAGTCCCGACCCAGCCAAGGCAGCATGTATCTGAGCGCGCCGAGCGACTCCATCCGCTTGCGCGCAATCTCCTTGCTGTCCTCGAGAGCGTTGAACAGCGCCGAGGCGACAAACTTGTTTGCCTCGTAGAACTCGCGGCGAAAAGCAACCAAGTGCATGATGGGGAAGATGCCCGTCCGCTTGTAGTAATCACTCTCGACGTCCTTGAAGTTGGGGAACAATCTCTGTACATGCGGGACCTTGTTGAGGCACGCAGGAATATCAGCGCCAATCGTAGCAGCGACTTCGCCAGACTCCAACATATCCGAAAGCGACTTGTTCGGATCCGTGTTGTTCGTGATCTTCACCGGCTTCAGCAGCGGCAGCACCGACGGCTGGCCATGCGACCCCGGCGTCTCCATCTTGCCCTGCACCCACTCAATCGTCGACAAGTCCACGCCGTACTCGTGCTGCAGGATGCCGCGGATGTACACCGCCGCCGTCATGTGGTACAGCTGCACGCCAATGCGCTTGCCGTTGAGGTCCTCGGGCTTCTTGACGATGTTTGTGTTGACGCAGATGAAGGAGTGGCGGAACACGCGCGACGCAAAGACGGGGATGGCGACGAAGCTGCGGTCGCCGGCGACGTGGCGCGTGATGTACTCGGAGGCGGACAGTTCGGAGACGTCGAATTCCTTGTTGGCGACCATGCGGTCGAAGATGTCGCGCGGGTGCTGCACCTCGACGAAGTTGACGTTGAGGCCGGGCGTGGGCACTTCGCCGGTGGAGAGGGGCACCATGCGGTCGTAGAGGGCGCAGGCGAAGTTGACGTTGAGGGGGGGCATGTTGAAGATTTAGCAAGCTTGCTGTAACTGTCAAATATGTTGCGTATGAAGCTGCAGCTGGAGCTGGAGCCGAGTCTATCTTCAATCTTCTTTACTCTATATAGCTCCGTGGATTGATGTATAAGCAGAGTCGAGCCCATCTACGGTGCAAGATGTCCAAAGCTACAAGACACAAGCTCAGCTACGAGCTGCATCATTCCCGGCATTGGACTCCGGCCATCACAATCTCATTTCAAGCAATCCCATCTGTGAAAATGAAATTCCATCGAAGAGTGCTCCGGATGTCGACTCCGGAGCTAGCTGAAGGCGGGGCCGCCAAAGAGTCCTAAAAGCGGCAGCACTTTGTACAGGAACAGCTAAAGAGTGCATTAGCAGCAAGTCGTTGGTATTAGACAGCAGCAGTTGTGAATAGGGCATTTACAAAGTGTTTGTAGAAAAGTCTAGATGTTGGTAGAAAGAGAAGGAGTCTGATGGAGCGAATATTGACCCGAACATCGACCCGAATACCCCATTTCGCTGTTCTAGACCGCTGAGCGCCCCTCGACAGCGGCTAAATAGGTACCCACACCCTGTATCTTCCACTCACCCAACGATATACCCTCATTCTATGTGATCCAGCGAATGATAATGGACATTGGCCTCGCTCGACGATGGAATGATGCAGTTCGAGGCGAGATGAGATCATGTGATGCCGCACCCTCGGATCAAAACACCAAAGCAGCAACTCGCTGACTTGTATGATGCGCCTGCTTGCCTCTCTGGGCGTCTGAATCCCTGATTTGCTTACTTTACCAACTGCCAGACCCAAGCTGTCATTCGCCTACAAATAACAAGGAGCATCAAGAGGCGAATAGATTGACCATCTGCAAAGTCTGCCAATGTCTTGGTATTTAGCAAAATCTGGCGGTAAACACACCACAAGCGCTGATGTCCTCATTCCATCATTTCTTTCATGCCTCTCCAATCGCACGCAGCCAACCTTCACATTTCATCCCATTTTACCCATCCCAATCTATTTGCATAACACTGCTCCTTTGATAAGGGTTTAGGCCCATGCAGCTCCAAAAAGGAGGGTCGTACCATGCAATCTTGGCCATGACGTCACGAGATTTACAGTAGCTGCTTCAATTGTTTTTTTTTTTTTTTTGATTTCTTTTTTCCCATTTTTTTTTTCTCTTGCAGAAAGAGATCTTCGATCGCATCGAAGCGTACCGTGCGAAAAGGGAAAAAGAAGTCTCCACGTTTGTTTTTTTGCGTAATGCCAAATGCCAGAATGTCGATCAACTGTGTTTTTCGGTCGCAGCCAAGGACCCGACGATTGTTTTGTTCATCCGATCGCATGGGTTCCCGCATCCGTTTTGATTAATTTTTTTTCTTCTCTTTTCCAATGTTTCTTTTCATTCTCCGTTTCAATTTTGAGACATGGGGTGACACAATGTGATTCATGTGCAGCGCCGGGAAGAGATAAGATGCCATCATATGTCTCGCCTTTCCATCTCAATTACTAGCAAGTGCTAATCTTCTCATCTCACCCAGCCTGTTTCAGCTCCGTCATCCCCTTCCAGCGATCTCTGATCCCCAAAAGCCCAGACCACGTTCCCCTCCACCGCCCAATAACCAATCCCCGAATCCTTGCCCGGTGAAGTCACCATTTTTCTTGCTTCCCATCCTTTCTGCCGTTCAATTCTTTTCCCTCTCCGGCAAATGTGCCGTGAGCTGCCTTGCCTAGACCCAATCCAATCCATTTTTTTGCCTTGTACGTCACGCCACACTTTACTTGGCGAAGCTCCCTAACCCGCTTCAACCGCTTAAGCCACAATTTCTCTTCCAATGGATTGACTTTTTCAGCCCGGGCAGATCCTCATGAAACCACCCTATGCCATTAATTGTGGGGTTGCTCTTTTTATTTTCTGAGGGGAAAGAAGGGAAAGGATGATGGATTGGGCATGTAACAAGAGATGGGCCTCGATCAACTCGGGCCTCCTCTCGGATAGAATTTTTTTCTTTTTCTGCTTAGTGCTCGGGATAGATTAGATTTAAACAGAAAAAGGCACCCGTTTTCCTGCCCTTGCATTTAATCATTTTTTTCTCGTTTTAATTGCTGTCTTACCGCCCCTTATCCAACTTCCTGCTTGCTCTTTATCTATTAAGCAATTCCGCTCTTGTTCCGTCTTGCACAAGCTGAACATGCTGTAACACCAACCCATGCTGCAGCTCGTATCCATATAGAAGCCCTGAGATCCTACATGACCAGCAGCCATCCATCCATATTACTCCCATCTCTTCAAACAACATCAAGGCCTCCACAATGAACGCCGCCGTCACTCCAGCCACAACCACAACCTCCACCACCATGCTCTCCGTGCCATCGTCAACCGGCACCGCCTCACATCCAGCCCGTCCCACCTTCAACTCCCAGCGAACCCAAGACCGCCTCCGCGAAGGCGAGGGTCTCTACTCCATGATCTTTCGCACCGACAGCAACCTGCAGCGAGGCCGGAAATCCATCTTCAAAGAGACGGGCTTGGACGACGACAGTGCCAGCGACTTTACCGACGCCTCAATCTCAATCCGGTCGCCGTCCATCACGTCTCCTTCGTCACAGGAGCTGTCGCCCTTTCTATCGCATGAAGGTCATCCTCAGGTTTGACCTCTAACATCATGGTATGTTTAGACTATTTTCTCATGCTTTGGTCCGTGCGATAACTGACAATTTCTAAAGACAATATCACGATTATTTCGATCAACTACACATGACCCTCCACAGTCGCTTTCAAGCCTAAATTGTTTGGCTATGATGCCACGGCGTTCACATGTCTTTCACTAAATACCCAATATATTTACTTCATAATTTCATAATTTATTATACATCTGCTCCACTGAATAAAATTGAATTCAGCTGCAACACCATCGTTTACGTGGCATCTGCGTTTCACGGGTACTCCATCTACAAGGGAAATGAAACAAAAGTGATCGTCAAGACTACGAGGATGAAGATGACGTCACAATATATCGCAAACATTTGAATATGTCTCAAATCATGAATAAATCAATATTGTACATATAATTCTTTCGATAAGAAATGCCATATCCAGAATACATTTCCGTGATACTAGTACACAAACAGGGGTATAAATAATTGTATAGCCTCGTAGGCCCGACGAAAAGAAAGGTACTCCAGTACGATACCACAAAGCTAATGGCGTGATATGTGTGTAAAAACAAGAAGCCGCTTCAAAGCCGTTTCCTAATCCACCACAAAGCCTGTCTGGCAGGCAATGCTAAACTCGTCCACCCGATGATAAAATCCACGTAAATGTCAAACGCCGATGCCGTGCAACTCATCTGCTCTAAATGTCATCGACGATGACGATTAGAGGGAAAGAGTATGTAAAAAGAAAAAAGACAAAGGAAACAGAGCGGTATGTAGAGCTTTCATATCACATCTTCTGCAGCTCCTCTTTTGGAACCGTACCAACAAAAGCACGGCTCAAAAACGTCAGCCAAGTCTTGTTCTTTTCCTTCTTTTCCTTCTTGTTCTTCCCCTTCTCCTTCTTGCCCATCGATTCCAGAGCACCATCTGCAACTTCGTCTGTGCCCGACTCCTCGTCCTCGTCCTCATCATATGCGTCCAATGCTTCGCTTTTGCCGCCGACATCTTTCTGGCCCATCTTATAGGCCAACCTTAGGAAGCTCTTTACTGTCAAATCAGGCAGCTTATAGGCCTTGTCGGTAAACGTGCTGTACTCGACTTCGTACTCAAAGTCGCGAGGGTTCGGCTTTCCATGCTTGGGCTCCTTGTGGTCATGCTTGCCCTTGCGCCACTTGCTGATGCCCAAAAAGCCACCAACATCGTCATCAGGGATGTCGTCGTTGATGTGGGTGAGATTGGCATAGTACTGAGTATATCCAGTCAGGGTAAGCACTTGAGGAGCATAGGCAGGTCCAGGAAGCGAGCTCTTAGGCGGGTCAAGAGGAACTATCAGATCGTGGTCCTTGGGTGGCCTACGAGGGCCCTTGGAATTCTTGCCCTTCTTCTTCTTAACAATCTCGACCAGTATCTCTTCCAAGTCTCCGTAATCGCGTGTGTCTTCTTCTGGCAGACCCAGTGGTGAAGAGGAATTGGCCAAGTCATATGCATCTCGCCACACAGGCGTGTCTTCGATTCCGGTAATATTGTACTCGACAATGCGAAGCGTGGGGAAATAATTCGGCACAACGCTTGGGCTAATCAAAGAAAGCTGAAACCGCTCGGCGTATTTACCGCCAATCTTGCGGAGCTGCTTCTTCTTCCTGTGCTTTTTGCCCTTCTTTTTTCTGTTCTTCTTATCCGACTCTGCTCCTTCATCATCACCAACGCTTGTCTCTTCGTCTAGTTCTCGAGCAACAGACTTGGGCAAGCCTGCCCACACATCTCGCAGTTCCTGGAGATAATCTTCCTTGGACGAGATTGATAGACCCTCATCTGGAGATCCGCGTGGGTTCAACTTGTCCAGACCCAATTCAGGGGTCAACTCCTTGACATCCTGAAGTAGGAAATGGTCGATATTCATGTGCCCGTATAGAGAGCCAACAACCACGTCACGATACTGTTTCAGCCACAGCGTATACTTTTGCCAGCAAGTTTCGTCCCAGTTTTGCTTGCTCTCCGTCCGCGCAGGCGGTACATGGCCCATGAGAATGGCCTTGACGCCCCGCTCTCTCAGGATTTGCAACTGCACGCGCAGCCACTCGAGATGCTTGTATCCAGGTTCCGAGGGATGGGCACAGCCATCAACACCAGCGTTTCGGTCGAAAAAGTACATTGTATTCAAGCTGAAAACAGCCAGGCGATTGGGAATGACCTCGACATAGAACCAGCCGCCAAAGGTAAATGAATGGCGCTGCTCTTCGGGAATGAATCGGGTCCAAATATCACTGTAAGCCGCAAACCACTTGTTGGGTCCTGGCAGCATGATATTGTGGGGGAGGAAGTCATTATTGCCAAATGTGGGCACGATGGGAATGCTCAGCCCATGCTGAGGTGTTGAGAAAGTTTCGATAAACTTGTCGGCAATGATTCGGTTTGTCCGCAGAATCTCAGGCTCGTGGCGCGGGTTCTGCTCGTCGCTGTCGTGCCTGGCCGAGTCGCCGGTCCAGATGACAAAGTCGATGTCGTCCTTGAGGTTCTCTTTGATCCAGGCAAAAGTCGCATTGACGAGCGAAAAGGGTGAGTCGCAGTCGGTTTTTTCGGCGCCGTACGATCCAGCCAGTCCCTTGCCGCGGTGGCAGGCGACGCTCTCCTCGGTGGAGGTGTGCACTCGATAGAGCTCGTCGGGATGGAAATCTGCATCAGGTATCAAAGTCAGCCCAGGATACCGCCAATCATGGCAGACCGATGCGATGTTGCATCTGGTGGATTGCAGAGATAAGGTCGATTGGTGGGCGGCAGAGCTGCAAAGTGCCTGATACAGCAGCGCCGCATAGATAACGCAGACAGAAGCAAAAGAAGCTTTTTGTGTGCCGTGTGTGTGCCAATGACATGCGCAAAAATCCTAGTTAGACGTACCTGAAATATGCAGGAACCGGCCGTTCAATTTCCGTGACGCAGCCTCAGTCCCGATCGGGCTCAAGACTTTTTGGTCGTCCAGGCCAGATGCTGCAGGCAAGGCAAGGACACCCGCATTCCACGATGCGAGGGCCAGCAGCATCAGCCGGCATTTCGTTTGATGGCGAAGGCCGCCGCCGCCGTATTGGCGAGGCATCGTAGGAAAGAAATAGTAGTGCGAAGCCAAAGGAGGATTTTTTTTTTCTTGGCGCAGAATCTAGGTAGGTAGAAATAGGGTATCGTAGGGATGCGGTTTGTGGTTTGTTGAGTGCGCACAGGGTATTGCGAAGCGGAGACGGTAATAATGAAGAATGGGTGGTGGTAAAAAAGTGAAGAAATATACCAGAAAGCAAATAAACAAGGAAAAATAAAACAAGAACTGAGAAACGCCGAGCTTAAAGATGCATGACTCTGGCGAGGCTGCCCAGCCAAATTTTTAAGGGTCCAGGGGCTGAGGAGAGTTTTTGACAGGCGGGAGGCAAGTTGGTGTACAGGCTCAGCCTATGAGGTCATCGGGCAACGCCAGCTGGATGGCCCAAACTTTTTTCTTCGCCTTGGCCGCGTCTGCCCGCTGAGACAGTCCAGGCTCAGATGATTAAATAGTAGGCAGTAACGAGCACAAATTGGAAACAGAGAAAGATGATGAATGAACAGCCGTAACTAGACGTTCACCAGGGAAAGAAGAGGAGGGATAAGAGAGCAGACAAGAGCGAGACTGCGTTCAAGATCGTGTGCGCAACTCTATTAATACCACGAATATCGTATGCCCCTCATCGGCAGTCGTCTATTACACCCCATGTTACCTCTCCAGTTCTTCATTTAAATCGCTCTCGTCTGTGATCCATTCTTCCCGTCTTCTGCAGGAAAAGGGCCTTGATGGCCCAGCCCAGGGTCCTGCTGATCCAATATATTTGTCCGAGATGCGATCCATCCGTCTCCACCGACAGACAGCCTAGCGGTTCAACGCTCGCGGCCATGGACCAACCAGAGAGACGCATCTGCAAAACCTCGTCGCCATCGGCTGGCTGCAAGGGAGGGCAGACGCTCTGGACTGGCGCAGATGAACCGCTCTGGCTGACTGCTTGACTCTTCGTCTCAATCTCACGCTCTCCCCACCAACCGCCATGGCTTGCTGTCTGTGTCTAGCTCCCGCCTAGCATTCCGAACAACCGGACCCGTCGTCGTCGCCCAGAGCCAATGTCGACGCCGGTGCGCCTCCACGTGCGGCGACGAGACGCCCTCAGGCAAAGCCCAGCGTGCCACCAGGCGCAGCGAACAAGCTGCTAGAGCGTGAGCACGCGACTCTGCCTCTGCGTGTGAGGGGATGGAGAAGTGGAAAAAAGCCACCTATATCTCTCCTCATGCAAATGATTTCTGGCTGCCTTTTCTCCACTCTATTCTTGCCGTGTTGCTCGATCTATTTCTCTATTCGAGCTGGGGCTGGTGTGTGTCACTCACCCCATGCTGTGATACAGAAAAAAAAGAGGACTGGACATCGTGGCTGCGCATCCATCTGGGCTCACCTGAGCACTTTTAGAGCAGTGGGCGGATGACGCGCGACATGCGGCGGTTGGATGTACCTCAAGTCTGCGGTCGCGTGCACCAATGGATTTGCATCCAGACCTGCGGAAATGGCATCCAGAGCCATGGGGGTTGCGATGCTGGACGTTGGCTACTGCAGAGCTGATGTCACTTTGCGGGAGCGTGCATGTGCTCTTACCACATAGAAATATCCTGCGGCTCTGATACTGCGTCTACTGAACTGATGCTTGGATCAACAGTCAAAATCCCCAATATCTGCTGGCTTATTTGACCACTTTGCAGATCACAACACCGCCAGATGGTATGACGCTTTTAGTCTCAACCTCCATGCATGTATAAGACTTTTTGGCGTTGATGTCTCACCACTCAGCAGCCACCGCTGCTTTGGTTGGAGTCGTGCAACAAGCACCAGCATGTGTCCTATCATGAGCACGCATCTATATATCTGCTGTCACCCCCACCACCAACCACTCCATTGTCGATCCCCCGGCTCACGGGTTTTGCCACTGTATCACCTCTCAGCTTTCAGCTGTCTCGTACCGACTGCAGTCGGTCCAGTCATAGAGCTTGGCGAGACCCCCAGACGTCCGATAATCCCCAAGACAACTATGGCTGCAGGGCCAAGGTAAATCCCTCTTGGCTGGCGCACAGTGATATCATCTTGCCTAGTGGATGAAGACCGCCATTTTCTATCCAAAACAACATGACGATGCCAGAATAAACCGCCTCTCATGAATTCCCCGGCAATTTGGCTCTGTGCCCCGCTGCAAATACGGCACAATTGCCATCTCAAGATCACCGCCTACGCTAGTCCCAAATTGGATCCCATTCTCAACCCTCCACTTTTCATCAGTTTTTTTTTTCGCTTCCCTTTTCTTTCCTTTCTCATCATCACGCAACACACTCAACATGAGCACCTGATTCAGGTGTGAGGCCTTCTCGTCATAACAGATACGTCGCAGTTTGGGTTTATCGTTGCTAGACGAAATATTTGCCGCTCGTTTGAGGGGAGCCATAGCTTTATTTTCCGTGATGGCTCCCCATGGTTTTTCGTGGCTACATGATTTGTGTTTCCGAGATAGTTTTGCAGCGACTGCGCGTAGCCAAGTGTGCCTAGTGTAAACTTCCCATGCGATTATATTTCTACCATATAATCCTCACTACTCCCCATGCGCTCTTCGTAGCTAAGTTGCACTCTAAAAGGCCCGAGTCTCAAAAGGAACCCGAGCCTCGACAGGAGCCTGAACCTCAGCAGCGATCTATACCCCAGCAAGGACTTGGATCTGGGCAACGACCCGAGTCTCAACAGTAACCAGGATCTGAGCAACGGTTTATATTTCAGCAGCGATCTATATCTCAGCAGTAAATGGGCCCGCAATCTGCAGATGGCCTCCAACCCAACGAATCCTCTGTATATGAGCCGGCCTTTTTGGGGCTTGAGGTCAGAATGTTTACCCTTTTCATGTATATCCATGTCAATATCAGGCTGCCTAATTATGCACTGTACAGTAGACCAAGGGAAATTCTTGTCGAAAATCCACCCACAGGGTGTCGTTTCTCGCAGCATGTCTTTCTGCAACAAAGGCATCTTGAGCTTCTTTGACCAGCCCTGTAGTCACTCCCTTAGTGCAAAAATTGAAAAGTTTCCGGAAATCCAGGGCGCGGCACCAAGTGTTCTTCAGTATGTAAGCATCTTTGCTTGAACAACTGCTTATACAAGACCGAGCTGGGGATTTCTGCAGGGAAACTGCCAACGCTCATGCTCGCGTTCTAAGGGGCATCCCTCTTCGCCATCTTCTTTCATGAAAGATCTTTTGAGAATATCCCTTGAATCTCCAATATTAGACTTGGATTTGGAAGACTTTCCTATCTGTATACAATCCCACGCTATCCGACACTCTGGCCTCCAGAGACCAACAGTAAAACCTTAAATAGTCTCTATTAACTCATAGGCGTCCAAATATTCATGTTGGCACACATCTTCTGATGAGTTTCCCAAGATTTCATTGATTGATACCTCAGTTTTATGAAGAATATCGGCTCCTAGCCTTAGTAGGCATACGAGTATCGCGAAAGCACCAAATAGCGTCTCTCCATCAATACCTGACGCTCCCAAATGGTATGACAAGACTATTGTTAAATGAATGGCCCCAAGTGCCAGTTTGGTGCCACACTTGCCGCAATGCTGGATAAATAATCCACTGGGCTGGTGAATGTGTGGATTATAACTGCCAGGAAGAAAAATGGCCATAAGATTATGACAAACAGCTTGAACAGAGCTATGGCAAAATAGATGCTTTCAACCCATCGGGATACGACAGTTGCCGCTTTGAAAGAGCTGACGAATTATTGGAGAATCTGCATCCCATCGACCACATATGTCTTTTTCTTCTCCGGGAAATTTCTCATATTGACAAAGCCAGAACTGACAATCCTAGGCATGACATTGGTATGAGAGCGCAAGACAGATATTATCAGACAATCGAAGATAGTATGGCCCATGCTATCTTCGTTATTGCTAGAGACGGGGTATTGACCGCCTAGGCGGTTCATGAATGTAGCGAGTATTAGGCAGCATGTATTGCCGCCATCCAAATAGGTAGCCGCAAGATGATAGGAATTAATCTCAGTAAACTGTTCATGAACGCCTCGACCCTCTTTTAGAATTGATTCTACAAGTTCCAAGTTGCCGGCGATTATCGCAAACTTCAAAGGTTCCAGCCGTAGCGATCTTGAGTCTTTGATCAACGATTCGCTGATATATGAGCAGGAAACTAGCAAGCTGTCAAGAGGTAAAGATGTAAAAGTGCTCTCAGCCAGCGACTCTTGCATCAATTTCGTAAAAAGGTGGTCTGCCTGGTGTTCTGGTGGCCACACAGCTGGCAGCAATGGATCCTCACTAAGATGAAGCGGTGATCGAAGACCATCTTGTGGAGAGTTAAATTCCGCCTCCTCATTGCTAATATGGACGACCCATCGACAATATTGTGCGGGCCTGAGAGGTGGCTCATCATGAGAAGCTGAAGCTGAAGGAGTGGGATGTTCTGCAAAGGATTTAAAGATTGAAGTAGGTGCCATCAACGATGTAATTGCCCCCGTGGATATCATGTCTTTCGTCCATAGCCGAGAATTTTGCGTTGTCCAGTGCTTGGCTGTTACAACCGTATGGATCCAAAATTCGTATAAATAATTGACTAACGCTCTACTACGAGTTAGCGCTATCCTAGAGGCAGAAAGAGCACCCAAAGGCCTACATCCGATGATCTCTCTCGCAATTGAGAAAAAGTTCCCCGAAGCGACCTTGTAAAAACAAATTCAATTGATCTTGTATCTATTTTTGCCGAATTAGCTGCATGGACTGTGAGTGTACAGCGGTAGGATCCTCTAAGCTGTTGCCTGTTATGTAGTTTGGTGCAACAGGTCTGTCTTCAAAGGCGAGGGTTCATTTGGCAATCTGGCTATCGATCTAATAAGTGCGGTATAAGGATGACTCCAAGCACTTAGCCTACTGGGTAGAAAACACGTTTAGCGACTGATAACTTTTTGGACCCATTCTGATCTTACACTCCCGGCGCCATTGGTTCCACGATGTGACGACGAATTTTATCTCGCACATGTCTCTTGAGCTGTTTCGCGTCCACAGGTTTACCTTCTTAAAGTGTTACGTCTAAAATGCTTGCTCCCGTGCGGGCTCTTTTACCAAGGGCATTAATAACAGCGTCTTTCTCGCTACTTAGTACGCGCCTACGAACATTCCATTTACGGAGTTTATGCTCGAGTTCGTTCCCACTAAGAACATAGAATTATCGCAGTAGCAAAAAATACGACGCGCCAAGGCTATTGCAGGATAAATGCATAACTAACGCCATATGAAAAGCATATTTATCTTTCATGAACTCGGTAATTTGGCGTAGTGTCATACGCTTACCACCAGAGCCGTAGTTTCCCATGTATAGCTGGATAATGATTGGCTTGAGCTTTTCTAGTCTCTCTAGATTTCTCAAGCCGAGAAATTTCTCGTCGTTTGAGTGAGGAAGCAAATGTATGAGGTCCATGCTGAGTGAAATATCTTTATAATTGTGAGCTAAGAAAATACCCCTTGCGGAAATGATGCTTGGAGAGAAATTGTTCGAATGCCTAGGAATGAAGAGTTCAAAGTGTGCGAGAGTGTAGTCATACATGTTTCATTCACTTCACTTCTAGGAAAAACTGGGCTGATCCAATCCTTTCGAGTCGGGCTCGAGTCGGGCTCGAGTAGTACTAGAAATGAGCGGGCAACCAAGCCTCCAGCCTGATTGCGACACCCATATACAAAACCTCGCGGGTAAATCAACTTGGGCCGTTTTAAAGCAGTACGGCTAGAAATAGATTAATCCGACTAGGTCAACTAGCAGTAGGATACGTTTAGGTGTGTCCGGTAATCGTTCGGTGAGGTGGTGGAGAACCTTCACTTCCTCTTTCGGATATAGTCCCGGGATCTGATAGTATGCGACAAATCTAGGCTCCAGACTTTTGGGTTGATCCTGCGGCAGTTATCAAATACAGAACCTCGTTGAATAACAAGACCTCGTCGAATAACAAACCTCGTTGACCAACCTTAGTCTATCAAATTTTGTATCAAGGTGGATTTGGCAATGCTACAAAACCTCGCCAGCCAATCGGACTAGATTTATAGACAGCGGTGGAGCCTCTGCTCTATGTCCAGCGCATCTCTGAATCGCTCCGACACGTTATTGTCAAGTTTCCCACCCATGGCTCTGATGTGGCAGGTTCGACATTCATTCCAAAGGATGCAAAACGGGGCTGTCTTCTATTCATTTGTCCGCGGTGATTTCTAACTTGCCTTGATTTACCGTTGCCAGCTTAGTCACATTGCCAACCGAACTAGAACAAGAACAGCTTTGTTGCCTTTTCCAACAGACCATGTGCTGCTCTTTATATACTGCCTCTCCTTCTCTATGTATAAATTCCTTGAGCCATCTTCTCATCCAACACTCCATGTTCAATTCCTTTTAAGTTCGACTAAAAGGATTACATTATCTTGAAGAACGTTGGCTTTCTACTACATCTATTCCATTCATCTTATTCCGAATGGAACATCTGAGCCACCATTCTCTGACATCACATTGTAGAATGGCTGACCAGAATTCTGCGACCAAGCCATCTATGTAAGTTATAGAAAACGTTCTGGTGTTTAAATTGCATTCAGTCTCTTTTTCATTCTATACGTCTATATAAATTCTATTGAGAGTTTTTCTCTCAATCAATTTTTTTTTTTACATCCACCTCCACTATCTTCTTCAAGCTACTAGCTGCAGTCTTTCAGCTGAGATATATTAGCCTTACATATATGGCTTTTCATATCTAACTCCAATTCTGTCTTTTTTCAGTACCGCGTCGGACACATGGAGCATCGCAGCAAGGAGCGGTTCTCCTCCCCCCGTTCCCCAAACGAATCACCACATAGCTGCGCAGCGAAATAGTGCCAGAGTTCCACATACATCACAGAATGGCAATAAAGATAAATCTCAGGATCATCTTCTATATGGCGTTGGCTCGCAGTTCTCTATTGCTGGTTTGTCATGCCATCTATGGATCGTTTTCTTATATTCATAATAGGAGCTAATAAACAATTTCTCTCTCAGAAGACAGGCCTAGTATTTCAATTTAGCCTTTGAGACTGCTACGCTCTCCGTCCTGTAAAGTCAGGCATTACATACGGGCGCCTAAGAAGACAAGGTGTCATTATAGCCAATGCTATACCATTAGGAGATTGATGCGTTGTTGTCGTTGTTGATTGAGCGTCACCAGGGTATACACACGTTTTAGGTGGCATCTCGGTACCCCATCCATCAATGATGTATACGATGAGGTTAAACTGTCGGATACCCAAGAGAACATTGTTCAGAGAACAATTATATATTTGATGGCAGTTTGTATTTCTTCTGTTAGTCACCTGAATGAATGAACTCTCTTAAGGAAAGAAATATCCCGCATCCCAATTCTGTTATCTAGGAGCCCAGCTGTAGTAGTGGCAGTAGTAGCAGTACCTAGCAGCAGTAGTAGCCTACCTTATGTTATCCATCACTCCAGCTGGTTAAGAGAACTGGGATGCTGGATAAATTTCCACTTTATTTACACCAATTCTTTTGTGTATAATATTATGTGTAAAGCCGCTTCAAACTTTCAAACCCCTGGAGTTAGAATAAGATTAGTACTAGCACACAAGGGCCGCTCTTAGTGAACTTTTTATCAGCTAACAGGGTGGATGTTCTAGCTGAGTGGGGACAGCAGCAGTCGAGGGAGCCCACGAAAGAAACGTAAAGAGAGTGCATGCAATCGATTCAATAAATCATTTACCAAAAATGTCATATATAGCAAGGAGCCATGATAGATAGCACTTAAAATCGCATCAGCACGCAATTAGAATAAAGGAAGTAAACATGAGAACTGTAAACGAGGCACAAGGTTGTCTTGATAAATGGCGACAGGACGTGACCACTTGGAACCTAGTTCGAGGTACGACTCTCCTTACGATTAAGAGACTGAAATGAAATTGAACATATAATTTTTACCATTAATTCAACCCTAGAATGCCCAAGTAGTTTTTGTTCGTGTTCAGAAATGTGAAATAATTTACACTGTGCAGCCCTGTACGGGTACCCCTCGCTCTCTAATTGGCCCATGCAACTTCACTAGCACCGTCATGCATTCAGCGGACTCCATTAAATCCAACGGCGTGAAGATTCATGCAGAAATCTCATCCAGCCAGCCAGAAGCTTCCCGTTCAAATGCACAGAGCGTAGTCACATATCGGTACAGATCTCCAAGATCAAATCACGATGGTTATTATAGCGATGGATAGAGATATCTTCTCCTTTTCATCTACTTATCGATAAAATCGTCATCCATCACCATCTGCGATGCAGAGGCCGTTAACCGGAGCAGTGCGATGGCTGCTTCTCAGCGACCTCCACTTCAAGCATCACGACCTCGACCGGATCTGGCAGACGGCGCAATGGATTGTTTCCGAAGCGAAGCAAAATCAGGTCAAGCGGGTGGTGATTTGCGGCGACCTGCTCACCAGCCGCACGATGCAGTCAACGCATGTGCTGTCTGCGTGCTACCGCTTCATCAGCCTCCTCAGCGATATCGTGCCGCGGGTGCACGTCTTGCTGGGCAATCATGACCTCGCCTATCGCCGCGATTACCAGACTACAGCTCTTGATGCTCTCAACATCAACCGATTAGCCCCCTTTATATCGCTGCATAGCAGCATTGACCGCCATGAATGGGACGGCCGGAGCGTCTTGCTGCTGCCGTTTCGCGAAGAGCAGGATGAGCTGACTGAGGCTGTGGCCTCTCTTCGCCCCAGTGAGGCGAGCAGTACGGTTGCTTTCGCTCATCTCGCCATCAATAGGGCTATCACGCAGCGACATGTAGTAAATATCGACATCAACAAGCCCCACGCAGCAAGCTCCATCACACATCGCGGCTTGACAGGCCCAGATCGGTTTGCCTCTCTGGCTCGAACATTCACGGGGCATTTTCATAGTCATCAGACCATTGTCCAGAAACAGCCCCGCCACAACAGCCCGGCCGATATGAGAGGAAGCATCACGTATCTCGGCTCACCCTTGCAACTGAGTTGGGCCGATCTCAACGACGAGCAGCGAGGTGTCGTCTTGTTCAATCCAGAAACGCTCGAGCACGAATTGCTCATCAATCCGCATGCGGTCAACTACATAACAGCCGACATACGCCAAATTCTCGATGGCCAGGTCGATAAAGGTGCTGTTGAGGGCAAACATGTCATGCTCCTTGGCGAGCTTACCCATCTCAACTACGTCACGGCTCGCGAAAAGCTTCTTTCCCTAGGAGTAAGAAGCGTACGGGACTGGTCTCCCGTGGCTTTTGCTTTGCGGGCTGGCTTTGGTGCATCGGTGCCAGCGAGTGATGCCGCCGTCCAGCTCTCGGAGGAGCCTGCCAAGGATGAGACGGACCCAGACCTCACAAGTTACGCAGTTTCAGATTCTGGCCTTGAGTCTGAGCCAGGAGCCGAAAAACTCGACTTCTCTAAGGAAATTCGCAAATATATCGACTCATTGAGCCTAGACATGTCTCTCCTCCCGCGGAAAGATGAGTTGGTGCGGGTTGGCCAGCGAATAATCCACGCCTCCCGTGGGATCGATCAAGATAGCAAGGCTGTGGTTAATTACCGTGACTTCCTCGACGGGTCAACTCGAACTACCAATACAAGGACCGCCACTGAGCCATCGACCGACGTCTTTGTAGCCGAGCCGCGTAGGCTCACAATCACCAACTTCCTTGGCGTGCAGACAACCACCACCATCGACTTTGAACAGGATCTTCCACGAGGATTGACCTTCTTGGTCGGAACAAACGGGTCCGGCAAGAGCACACTCGTCGACGCGATAGCATGGTGTCAGTTTGGCTTGTGCGTTCGCAGTGGATTGAAAGTCGACGAGGTCGTCAATGACCGTGTGGGCAAGAACTGCTCTGTTGTGCTCGAGTTCGCCAATGGATACACCATCGCGCGATATCGCAAGCACAAGACTTTTGGCAACCGCATCGTCGTTTCGTTGCACGGTGAACCGCAGCCACAATTCGAGCATCCACTCAACCGTACGACGCAAGAGGCTATCAATGACCTGCTTGGCACCGACTACAAGACATATGTCAAGACGGTTGTTTTGAGCCAGGAGAGCGCAACAAGTTTTCTGAACTCGGGGCCAAAGGATCGGGGCATCTTCATCGAGGCGTCACTCGGACTATCAATATTGGATCAGTGCTTTGAGGTATCCAAGCTGCCCCTTGAGGACATCAACAGCGATGTGAACAAGTTAGAGATGAAGCTAGACGGCTTGATCGAAAAGAAAGGATATATCGAAGAACGGATCAAAAAACTGGGTCAGACACAACAGCATCTCGAAAAAGAGGTCGAGAAGGTAACCACATCTCTAAACACAGCAATCCAAAAACATACAGATGCCATATCAAAATTCAATGAATTAAAGCCCTCTGATGAAGAATGCGTACGGTTTAAACATGAACAATCCGTAGCCGCCACAGACCTCGGAGATCGCAGGCTGCACATGGCGGCCGCCGACAGGAGCGCTCAGAGTTTTCCGAGACTAAGCCAGCCCGCTGAGCTTAACATGAAGTTTGACGGTGAAATTCCACTGTTACAAGATCAAATATATGGTGAACGGGAAATTTTAAATCGAATGGAGAGATCGCTTGCCCGGATACGGGAACAAAACATCGCCAGACCGGCGTCATGGCTTGAACAGCTAAAAGAGCAAACAGTTCATAGACTCAAGACTATGACAGCAACTCACCCCGTAGGTGTGCACAAGATCTTACACGCCGCGAAGATTTACATACTCTACTTTCGATTGATAGCCATTGGGGGACTCTCACGCATAACCCGGATCTCAAGCGCCTCTCAAGTAACCAGCGCCCAACACTACAGCCAAACGGCAGCCATCAACAATCTCCTTGGAGATGTCAAAGACAGCTCATCACGACTGCAAAGCCTGATGCGCAAAACAGACCAAATTATTGCTTTGGAAACCGGCGCCATTAAGTATGCTCTCATGATCAAGGAACAACTCGCGCAAATCATCAAGGATCAAAAGGCATGCGAAGCACTGGAGCAACAAGTGACGCTTAAAAAGAGCGAGATGGACACCTTCAACGGCTTGTTACAAAAAGACCAGTCGGAATTGCACTCACTATGCGCACACTGTGACGCGCTGGGTACCAAACTTGACAAGCTCAAAGCTGATCGCGAGATTTTTGTTTTTTGGTCATCTGCCCTGGCGAAGCGCGCCCGCCGCGCCTCTTCCTCTTCATCTCCATCAACCAATTTCCGCGAATTTATCCTCGCAAAGTCGCTGTCGGAGCTCAACGCGCGTCTTGTACAGGTCCTCACAGTGCTGTATGAGGATACCCAGCGCGGGCGCGTCATGGCAGCGGGAATGCTGCGTTTGCTGTTCGACGCTGATTCTGTCGACACAATGATGGATACATTCGCCTCGTCCCCAAAAGGCGCCCAAGATTCGGTCGCCTACGGCAAACAGTCCGGTGGCGAGCGCAAACGAGTCGACCTGGCGCTCTATTTCGCAGTGTTGCAGCTTACATGGTCCAGGAGCGCGCACCGCGCACACTATGTGTTTATTGACGAGGTATTCGATAACCTGGACGAGGCGGGTCAAGCGGCTGTGGTGAAGTGGTGCGGGCTCATATCGCAGACGGTGGCCGACTGGGTCGTGATGATTACGCACAGCAGGTTCTTGTCGGAGCAAGATCCAGGGGAGTATGCGGGCAAAGTTTCGGTTGTAAAGGCGCAGAAAGGACAGAGGGGGGCGGAACTGTATACTGATGGGCGGAGAATTGGTATTGAAGATGGCGTTTCATAAGTTCAGGGAAGATTGACCTATCGTTGGTTTGAGCCGGGAGGCCCGCATACTCTTCTCAAGTACCTGGATCTGTGCCCCAAGTTAAAGGTGTGGTGCTATCGCTCCTGGTCAGTGCGTTATGTAATGCACACACCATCCATTAAATTCCCAGCCGCATCCACTTCACGGCCTTCTGCTACAAGGGAGAGGAGGAGAGTGAGATAGGAAAGAGCGATAAAGGAGGAGAGCGGAAGAAGACCCCTCGATCTGCTATATTAAAAATAGGTGGATATACTCGAAAACATCTGCAACAATTCAATGAAACAAGCTTCAAGCAAAAGAAGCAATTTCTTACGAGCGTTCTTGTTTAAAAAACTGGTATTGTTTAGTTTTCCTGGTTATTGATCTGGTGGAAGAGGCGTTGCTTAGGAGTGATGCTGGCGCTTTCATGGGCTGAGCCGCTTCGTGATGTTGCTGTCTCTCATCGCAGCATTTTATCAGCTTCTCTCGCATCCGCAGGCAACGCGGTCTGAAGGCATCTGCGGATTGCCCGGGACCTTTGAGGTAAAGGCGCCAAGGGCGTGCCTTTGCCTTCTTTTTCCATTTGTGCACCACCTAATCGTCTACCCCTTCTCCACCCACCTCAACGCTCAATCAGGACATGCATGGACCATTGGACCGTGTGTTCGCTGCGAACAGACTGACTCCCTATCGGCTATCGGGTCGCCCCGTCTCCGACTATGTCGAGAGCCTCATAGCTTGCACGCGTCTCTTGCCACCACGAGGGAAACAAAAAAAAAAAGAGCTTGAAACACAAACAGTGCTCTATACCAGTTGTTAAGCTAAAGTAAGGTAAAGGTATTGAGAACAGCGCATACCTACTACACATGATAGTATACAAAAGCACAAGTACTCGCTACTTGGCAAAACCAGAAGTAGGGTGGTGAGCAAGGGAAAGGCAAATCACAGAATGAAGCTTTGGAGCATTACCATCATGGACGTGTCTGCTGAAGGTTGCCTGTGTACACAACTGCACATTAAGGGGACTCGAAGCCTGGCCTACCTACATGACGCTTCTGCCTGCTAGCTACCTACTGTAGCAAGGACCTCGCTCGTAAGAGCTGTGCCGAATAGGCACGAGCCGGTAAGGCCCACGGAGCTATGTACCGTTATGGTGCAAGCTACTCCCAATCTCGTCCAGTCTAGAAGTTTATCACAACCTGTTTCGCAATGGTCTTGTCGCAGCTAGCCTTACCAGCATCAGCTCCTGAAGAACAATCCCTTTTCCGGCTACAGGCAGTGAAAGCAAATGATTTCTTTGCAAATCAGCGATGGACAGGCTCTTGAAAAGATTAACCATGGCTTAAAAAAACTGACTGTGGGAATAAGGTTTCTTCTTCTTCTTCAAGACTCTTCGCTGCGAAACGCTCATCTGCAGATCTGCGCATCCCCCCCGGCAGAGAGAGGGTGTACAAGCAAGGCCCGCTACGAGCCCGCCATAGCAGACCCTTATAGCAGACCCCCACCCCTCCCGGCACCGGCATCCCCAGTCCAGCTGGCGTTAAGGCGTTTAACACGAGGCGAATCAATTTTCTAGGTGACCATTCAGAAATCAAAACGACCAACAGGAAAGTGGGCTCCCTGCCAGGCCATCTGATGTTTTGATAGCTCGATGGAACTGGCTCCCCCCCGGTAATTTCTTAGCGATTCTCCATCTCTAGCGTAACCCGCCTCGATTTTGACCGGAACTTTGGCCTCTCTTTTTTTTTTTACAAGGTACTTGTAATGCCTTTTTTAAGATCAATCGTCGAAGGAGCGCCGAGCAAGAGGCTCGCATCGTGCAAATATCCGCTATAATGGGATGGCGCAACTGAGCACCAGCCACGAGAGGAAGAAGAAAGGAGAGGGCGTATGTCAGGGCGCGATGGATAAACAGTCCTCGGAATCAACTGAGGTGCAGCCAATTGAGCTAATCTGAATGATGCCCTCGCCTTCAGGGGCTTGGCTTTATCCAGGAACCCGCAGACGTCAGTGTGCGGCTCGAGCTCCCGGCCATGGCTGCTGGATGCTACATGTCCTGCAGAAGACGTGGTTCATTTGCCGGCAGGCATACAACGCCTATGCATGCAGCATCGCGGCCTCGCGCCTAATGGGCCAAACGGCTCCTTTCTTCTTCACGATGTGGTTGTTTCAGACGCAAGTCCCCACAAGTACCGTTTTATTTTTGGGTTTTTGTTTCCCATCCATGTTGTCAAAGCCCGGCAATCTCTTTTATGATCCTGGCACTCGAGATACCCAGACAACGATACCACGTTGACGTATACAAAGTACATGGACTCCCTTATAAATAGCCCATACAAACCTCCTCTTCGCCCAGTCAATCTTTAGAGGATCAGACTCGGTTGTCAAGACTCCTAAACATCGATTTCGCCCTTTGCTCTTCCAGAAGTCTCTGCTGCTTCCATCTCAAACTCGTCTGATCTACCACAAACCACATTCCGTCGATATGGAGGACTCGACCATGACCGCTACGACTTCTACGTAAGCTATGCCCTTTTTCTTTGTTCGCCGTTATTGTCAACTACTCAGCATCCGAGGTTTCGGTTTTCTTCTCTACTGAAAGCCCCGTTTGCGAAAGCTCCATCCCTATTCCACATTCACTACCCAGCCTTGTCTTCATTGTTCATTGAGCCAGGTTTCAAGAGCAAGAGGCGGTTCATCCTCTCTTTACCTTCATTTCACTGCAACTCATCTGACTGAATTCTCTTCTCTTCAATCTAGAGATGTATCGGATACATGGAGCCATAAAGCAACGCGTAGCTCCCCTCCTCCAACACTTCAACCGGAGCAAGGTGAAGCCATCCATAGTGGCAGTCCTCTTCCGACCAAAGAATCACCAAAGAAAAACGATAAAAATGCCCAAGGCAATGCTCTTCGTGGAGTAGGCTCTCAGTTTCCTCCGATTGGTATGAATCTCTGGTACTGCGCTCATACATTCATCAGCCGTAGCAAGTTGGCTAACACTCATTGGCATGTTTCAGATGACCAAGTTATGAACAAGGAACTCGATCCAGACCTTTAATTTTGTTTCCATACTTTTGTTTTAATTTTTTCCCCATCATTTTGTCTATACCATGTGCGTGGAAACTCTTGGATATATACGCAAGAATAAGAAGAAAAAAAGCGAGGGCCATGTAATGAGGAGGATACTTTGGCCGCACAGGGAGGTGATGGGCGTCGACGGATGTATGCAGTATTCCTTTGTAGCGCAGCGATGTATAGCGTAGGGGAGCCGATGCGCGAATGCAAAGCCCCTTTTCTTTTGCAAAAACTCTTCCAATGTGCCCGAAAGGTTTGAAATGCCATCATAGAGAGCCCCAAATGCCACTTGCATGGAGTTGCGGAGTTGCAGTGGAGTTGCGGCTCCGTTGCAGCTGCGCACCCAGTAGTACCTGTAGCAAATTTTTCGTCCCTTGTACGGCGCGACTTTTTGCGTCCCCGTACCTTGCAGGCCTAAGGCGCTGGGCAAGCTAGCGGTGGGTGGGCCAAGGCGGCACGGCCAGGGGACAGGGTTCAGCTCCAAGATCTGCTGTAGCGGCCTTCAACGGATCGGTGACTACTAGGTCGGTAGTAGTATACATGTATACTTAGACGAATTTGAAGCGTGAGAAAACGCCCATCGAAACTCTGCGCAGCCCCTGCATGAGATTGCACTTTAAATGACAGGCACATACAGGCGGCGGAGTCTTTTGTGCTCATGGATATACTGCGGATCAAGAGGCCAACAAGAAGATGACAGGTGAAGCAGCAAGGCATTCCATAGATGACTGTGCTGAGATGGTGAGCCACTCGGAACGACTTACTGTAAAAGACTTTTTATTTCGCTCAGTAGATGTCGCTTTTAGAGAGTCAGTCGTCTACACAGCGTTCACACGACACTTGATTGATCATGGGAGACGTTATCCAGCACCCCAATTTCACTATCCAAACCCCCCCAGCTATAGCGCAACAAGGCGGCCAGTTCACGTGGCAAGATACACAACTGCCGAATACGTGCCCCGTATACAGACACAATAGTAGCAGTAGCACTATCTTAGTAGTGCTTGGTACCTACTTTACACGTACTCGGGTTCAAACGACGCAATCTGCCGGTTACGTTACCCGCCGGGTAGAGGCCTGCAGGCGTGGCGCTATTTTAAGTCAGGCACATCGGTACCTAGGTAGGTAGTTAGTTACCTACAGTATACGAGCATGGAAACCAGTATTTTCTTGCAAGTGCAGGCCACAGTAGAGCGGCTTTCCCGCCTTTTTCTCTTTTGACAGCTCATTTCTAGACCCTGCCTGGTGGCCAAAGAAGATAACCGAGCGCCACAAGAACAACGCCGCACACGCAAGTGCCCGTCCGCGCACCGATGCCGCTACAACCAGCCAATGGAAACTTGAGTTGGTGGCCTGCGGCTCCTAGTTTTTGGCTCTTGGGGAAACGTGTTTGGGGCCGTTGATGCTGTTCACTGTCGACACTCAACGGCTACAAGATTGTAATTCACCCAAAGATCTTGCTTGTCCGACATACACAGATCGTCCCTGGAGCGGCTTCTCGCATATGCTGTGAGAAAGTGTTGCAGCAATCGGTGGGGCGGAATGTTGCGCGGCTGAGCAAGAGGGGCGTGCTGGATATAGGGTAGGTAGGTATGCAAGACAAGGGCTTGATACCGATGGACGGAGACAAAGGTGGCCTGTAAGTAAGAAGGCAAATTATCGGCATGTTGGTGAAAAAAAAAACAGCATCTATTATTATAGCAGATTCTCCAAGTCATAGCTCAGCTACCATCTCATCTGGCCTGACATCTACCTCACACTGACTACCTACATGTATATATAAGCTAAGCAATTCTCACTAGATTGAGATATAAAGCAAAATTAAGACTCTACATATCCAGTCCCTTTTAAACACAGCGATCCTCAGAGCAAATAAGCATCAAATCCAGACATCCGTAGCAATTTTGTACTTCATATAGCTTGAAATGTACCCTCACTCCATCCATACGTCCTCGTCAGACGTCGCGCGAATATGGGGATTAGATAACCCTCAATGCGACATCTATGAGGTCTGTGAATCGTGAAACATTTCTTCACATTCATGCTCTCGGGCGGCGAAAACGTGTAAGCAGAGCCATACTTTGGCGTGACGGAAAATCCCAGCTCGGCCATGGCACCTTCGAACGCGGCCCAGTTGATCGAGCCTCGGGCCTCAGACTTGTTGAAGAGCGTCGAGAATACTTGGCTCACCGGCTGGCTGACCTTGAATACCTGCGTTGACTAGATGGGTTCTTCTTCGGCCGCCTCGGGAGGTTGTAACATGTCAAGTATTGTTGACTGACAAGGACGAGTCTTTTCCTTGACTTTTCGTTGCTCCATTCTTTCATCCGCAGACTGAGGAGCTGCTGCTGGAAGTGGCACGTAGTCGACGTTTTTCAGCTTTGCCTTTGTCGCCTGGTACTGATGTTCAAGATCCGCCAAACAATCTTCCATGAGATCTTGGTACAAGAACCTCATCTTGGAGCCAGTCTTGCCAATCACAAACTGATCAAGCTCGGCCAAAATTTCGCTCGCCATTTCGGGGCCTAGGAGGTCTTGCTTCGGTTTCCATATTACGTTTAAATTGACTTCGTTCCGGAGCTTGTTTAATTCGACGTCTAGCTCCTGAAACCTCAAAACAAACGTCTGTGCTTTTTTCCGAGAGAAAGCTGGCATCGATATGACGGGCGCCAAATCTTGGATAAATGTTGAGACTGCAGTCAAGTACTCGAGCGAATCAACCTCTCTTCCTGCCAATGCTTCCCGTTCAATAGGATGAGACTGATACAGGTTGCTCAGCCTCTTGATCCATTCCACCGCTTTGCTCGCGTTCGTCTGCGACTGACACAATCGTAGAATGTAGTGCAAGTGAGGGTCAGCCCTGGTCAGCTCTTGGGGCTGAATCTTCATCTTGGTCTTTGCATTACCCGCACTGTCATACGAGTTGGCAATTCGCTTAAAGTATTTCGCGCCCACGCCTGTCTGTACGTGCCTGGTGAATTGAGCTTGGGCACGGCTGTACTCTAGATGGCAAAGATTCGAAGTCTCTTGAAGAATAAACGATCGGTACATCTTATCAGTAGTCGAATCTTTCAAGAGGTGAAGGAGACGACACATGTAGTTCCAAACAGTAGCGCCTTTGATCGTGTGGTGAACTGAATCGAATATTGCACCATTTATATTGTTGTTTGAAAAGGCTGGCAGATGACCACATGTATCATCCATGATGGTTTCCGGTCTGCTGACAAACCAGATACTCATAGCGTGAGCGAGCATATCTTGATCAGCAGAAAGGAGCCTCAAAAACTCTTCAAAAGTATCTTTCTGATCTTGAGCACTCGAGACCAAATCCGAGAGTGCAAGTTTCTTCGGTCGCTCTTGGATACTCAGCTTCGAGAGCGCGGCTGATGGTGCTTGTTCGTATCTCTTGGGTCGCTCTATTTCCTGTCTCAATTGCGAACTTGAGTATAAAATATTGTAAAGTAAGATGTTTAGTTTCTGAATGATCAGGAGCTGTCTTTTCAAGATCATTTCTCCAATCGACCGAGGAACACAGAAGCCTGCCAGCATTACAGGTTTGAAAACAGCCAGCTGCTCATTGAAGTTGGATGTAGGTTCAAAATCAATAAAGTGGCCGTACGGCATGTCGCCAAACAGAGCAAGGCTAAGTTTGAGCGGATCGACGTGGCGATCCTGGCTATCGCGTGCCATCTCTATAATCACATTCCGATCTCCAAGTTGCCCATGAGCACCATGGCGATACTGGTGAAAGAGCGATGTTGTGCCACGGTGCTTGAGGTGACCTAATAGAAACTCCGGCTTGTTTGAGATATCCTGCAACTTGAACTCTGGGACAATGTTGTACACAATGCCCAGGGACGCGTCCAAAAACTGCTTGGACGCTTCATCGTCCGTAGCGCCATTCTGAAAGAATGCCACGCGTTGGTCTTTGCTTAAAGATTTCCAAATAGCCTCAATTTCCGACACATGGGTTGTGTACTTGGAGGCGAGGTCGCTATGGAGCGCTTTCAGAGTTGTGACGCTTTGACTAGGATTCATGACGCTGGCCGTGAGGTTTCTGGATATATATCAGTATCTTGCTGACACACAAGCTTTGTGAAGAATGAGAATGGATCCATATTGATGATGGGAAACGCGAAATCGTGGCTAGTGGATTTATAGCAGAATTATCAAGATGGAAGTGTTTTTGTTTGTCGCCAGCTGGTGCCTATTGAGCGCGTTGTGCGCTGATCACGTGGAAGAGTTGTGTGTTATGGCGCCACCAGGGAGATGAACAGATGATGGAAACCCCATGGCCCCGTATATCTAAAGCAGGCTCGATAACTTGCAGTGGTAAAATATCTGCTCATTGCATTTCAGGTGAACTCAAACCTAGAATGATATGCCATCTACATGGAGACCTGATGTTCCAGTCGTGTGGAGACCCCTGTCACTTGCAAACTATGAAACACACACTTCATGGCCAATAGAGCTGTAATGTCATAATTCATCATACCAAATCCATATAACAATCTCATAAACCCAAAAGACATGTCAAATATACATGTAATTGTAATTCTCCCCCATGCTCATAGAAGGAAGACCACCAAAGAACATGGCAATCGTCGACGGATCCATATAAGCAGGCTCCCGCGGTATGTTCTCCCTCTCAGTCTTCAACCTCAACGCCTTCCGCATATCCATATCACTCAAGCTAGGCCCTTCAAGGTGCGCCATGCTAAAAAGCGTCATCCATTCGGGCCCCAGCAAGGCCCCCAGATGCTTCTGCTCAAAGGTGCCCAGCTGCTTGGTTGCTTCGTCCCGCCGTTCTTTCCACGCCGTACGAGCCCGCGCAAGCATCTTTTTTCGGGACTTTGTCAAAACCAACTTCTCTTTCTGAGGCTTTCCCTCAACCTTCTTGTGTTCGGTGTATATATCGGTGTCCTCTTTGGAAGTGATCTTGACTATATGACTGCACCGCTTCTTACTCGCAGTAAAGTGCCCGGTTTTCAGTGAAGCATCGGCCAGGAAAACATTGAGCCCCTTGCAGTCGGCACAATCGCACCCAACCCCTTTCTGCGCGAGACGAGGTCGCCGAGGCCACTTGCCCACATAATTGTCGAGATAGGCTTTGATCAGCGTATAAATGTTTTTGCGCCAAAGCAGCGTGTTGGGATCCTTGGCCCTCTCAAGACTGAGACGCCCCATCTTGGGAGCTATCGCCCTCAAGACAGGGAACCACAAAGTGTGATAATCAGCGCTGGGTATCTGTGGCGCCACCTCGCCCATCTTGAAAAGAGCCAATGAAAATATGTCGTCGTATTTTGAGCTCGTGTTCATGACTTGCTGTAGCCAAAGGCCGAGAGTCGCCGACTGGATTTGACTTTCCACAATCTCAGTCTCCGGTTTGCCGCCGTTCAGTTCGAATTCTTGATATGCTTTGTATGCTTTGTAGTCGCGGTGGTTATGGTTATGGCTATGCGCCTCGTATCCAAACGGATCCAAGTCAGGCTCATCCAGGTCCATGTCAGAGTCTCCATCTGGCATATAATTTCGGGCACCTGGCATGTAATCATCCAACAAGACATTGTCGGAATCCATCATCAACTCATTCACGATTTCATCATCAGAACCACTTTCATCGTGTTCCATTGGGTTATTGGGCCCATTTCCGCCAAAAACAAAGTCGCCAAACCGACTGAAGAAGTCCGCTTCATTACTCTCTTCTTTTCCTTTACCATGCATCTGTGTAAAGGCTGTTGACGTTATAAAGGCTCTTGAAGCCTTCCGGTAGAGCTCCCGTGACTTTTCGTACGAGATGTAGTCGTAGCGGCCGAAAAGGTCTATTTCGTTGATGAACCCAAGGAACGCGTCGGGCTTACTCCCGGGATCGATTTCATCTCCTCTAGATGATCATTCAAGTCAGCTCAAAGCGCGCCAAAGAAGGTAGAAATGGACTAATCAGTAGTCTCACGTACACTTGTGATATAACAGCAATCGGATCGTCAAAGTACAAAGAAAGCTTGACTAATGCTTCCCCATCTTTTCTATCGAGCTTTTTAGATGCGCAAGATTTGATACACTCTTGTAGAACTTGGCGAGCCCAGCGAATGAGGCATTCGGGGGGGCAGGGGACCAGTCGGCCCGTGTCTGCCATGATGATGGGGAAAAGAGTCTCTACCGCCCTGACCTGCTGTTTGGCTCGAGGATATGAGAGAACTGCGGCGGATAACCCCTTCTCAAGAGGCCCAAACCATTTGTCAATTTTGATAGTGCTTTTGTGAAAATACTCTGGCACCCAGCCGAAGAATGATGTTGATAAGGATCCTTGGTGGGCAGCAGCTATCTTCTCAAACCAGGAGTACCATTTCAAGTGAATCGTGGCCTTGAGCACGTCAATGAGGTCATTGTTCTGGAATTCTGGCTTCTGCTTTGCAAAAAGGCTTTGCGTGCCTCCTTCAGATGGATTCCGTGGGGGGTCCCACATAAGCTCGCATAGTTCTTGGAACACGGGGAGCGTATTCTTCGGGCATGGACTCTTTACGGACATTCTGGCATACTCGCCAAGTACTTTTGGGATTCCCTCCATCGCCGAAAGATCATTGTCGCTGCCGCCACGCTGGACGAAAAATGGTACAATCGCATCGCAAGGGACAACGACAAAAAACTAACCAAATTTGTAAACTTATCCATTGGACACGCGGAGAGGAGAGAACCTACTTTCATATGGCCTTTTCGTGTCAACGACGGAGGCTGGAAGGAGAGTTAGCAAACATAGTCTGGTCAAGGATCATTTGACATTGGAGTTTAGGTCTGCAATATGAACATACCCGGCGCCAGTGAGATTCCCAATTAATGCAATTGAAGAAGCCTTCAGGGACGTGAGCCTCATCAAGGCGGAGATTTTCAGTCACCAAGCGCCCATCCAAGTCTAGCAGTTTTGTGATGCGAGTGCTTCCTTTTATGTCTTCATAACCGCCATCACCTTCAAGCTTCTTCTGGTCACGTTCAATATGCCCGAGGTACAATTTGAATCCGAAATTGTCGGATATTCTTTTAAGCATCTGAACTCGGCCAACATCCGCCATCATGAGCTCTTTTAAACAGAGCCTGCGGCTTGTCATATAGTTGCCTTGAATCGGGTGATAGAGTGCAATCCTCTCGCGGGATTTGACATCTTTGGAAAGCCATCGCTTGAGGGTATGGCGGATTGCTCGCGTCTCATTCCGCCAGAAGAGGGCAGATCCATTGATGGTACCCTTTATCGGAAAGAAGGTGAAGAGTACCGCCAGAGCGTAACCTGATTTGACGCGCTGTGGCTTATAATTCGGATACCAAGAAGCCAAATGCTCTTCCGTCTTGTTGGGATTGAAAACAGTCTTTTCTTTGCGGCCAAACCTGTTTACAATCTCGCCGCCCTGGAGGTCTGCGGTGGGCAGGTATACCATGATGTATCCCGTCCCGTCCTGTTGATCACCGCTGATATATCGTCAAGCTTTGGTTACATCAAAATACATTCCTTTTTGGGGGAGTCTACTCACAGACTGAAATTGGGAATGGCTCCCTTTTCCATGAGCAGTACTGCGCTGGGCTCTGCGCGGACCGAGTCTATCCAGTCCTGATCATGGCCAAGGCCTGGAGCAAGGTGCCTGTATAAAGCTTTGAGACGGCCTTCCCACACGCCGTAGTCCAATTTAAACTGTGTGGGATTCAGCTCCCACGGAGTAATGCCATAGTCGGGCCGCTTCGCTTGGCCCATCATCTGGCGCGCTTGAATCTCTCCCAGGGGCAGAGCAATATCGCCGACGTGATATACAGAAAGGCCGCTGTGGGCGTGTTCGGGCAGTGTAAAGTACGACTTGAGGTAGCCGGGCGTCTCGATGGTTTGCAGGGCGTTGCAGAAATCCGAATCCAGCGCGGACGCCTCGCTGCTGCGCCCGTTGACGAGGCTCGCCGCATCGTCGCTGCTGCCGGGCTTCGGCCCCGAGACCGCGTTAAGCGGCTGTGAGAGGCTGCCAGACATTGATCTCGCCGTGTCGCCGCACTCTATTGAAGAGAGGCAGGCGGCATTTGATGCGGCGGACACGAGTTGGACGGCAAAGGACAGCGTTGATCGGGTACAAGACACAAGAGGGGCAGCGTGTTTTATAGGGCAGCCGTGCTCGGTGTATGCATGTTCTTGCAGTAGCATATGCACTGACGGCGTGACTTTTCTGGGATGGGGGCTACGTGCCTACAACAAGTACTAGGTACAATGTGAGGTGGTGTTTGTGTCGGTTTCTGCCCAAGGGCTCAGGTAGCGCCCAGCACCTCTGCCAATTGGCATTGGACGCTGCAGGCACTAATGTGTTGATATAAAAGCGACGCCCAACAGCACCGATGTATGTATGTGTAGGTACTGGCAAAGTGTCTGAAGGACGGTGAAGCGGTGTGGAGCGATTACCCCTGGAAGTACGGATACCTGTCTAGGTTATAACGTGCACTCGCTCTATCAGCTTTGGGGAGGATTTTCTCCTCATGCCCATTTCTACCGAATCACGTCGACAATGCGAAGCTTGAAATAGGCCATGCAGAGGAAAGAAATCGAGTCAACTGTATCCGATGAATAGGCGCAAGGAGTGTAATTAGCATTTCAGCGCCGCTATAAGTCGCAATCAAAGTGACAATCCTAGTATACACAACGTTCTTCCATTCAATCAAATGTCAAGCTCAAGCTACCTTTTCCCCGCGTCTTGTGCACCCAAGTTTGATATATACTTTGAACATGTACCCCGACACAGGCTCATCCACTGTAATATTTGTCTCATTCAAAGCCGGGTATCTGGCGCTCAGTCTTTTGAACCGTCAACCATCGCGTCTCAATCACGCTCTCCACTAATAACCATCCCAAGACAAGTCGCTAAAATGAGCTTAGATCCCACGAGTAGCCGAATCGGTGCTCAGGCCCTTCCGTAACCCAGATCCGGATCCACAAAGACAAGGCGCGATCGTGAAAACGACAAAGTTTAGATGCAAATATGCAGTGCCGTGGCTTACGTTATAAAGCTGTCAAGTTCGACATGAGGCAGTAGGTTTACTAGAAAAGTCGACAGACTAATCATGTGCAATTTGTTAGTACAAACAATTTGGTTGCTTAATACTCATCAACCTGATGTCAAACGAAACAAGTCTTTGGTAGAATTCATCAACTCTCCTTCTCCGTATTCAATTTGATGCCATTCAGATTATTACCCGATTCCCAATCTCAAACTGTCAGAGCCATCAATACCCAGCCTCACACGCAAAACTCCATCAAGGCCACAGCAGCCACAAGCCAGAAAATCAATTCCTCTTTTTCACAACAAGCCACCACGCGTCAGCCCGCCGCTCAAACTAGCAACCGATCGTCAATGACGCCCAAGTCGTGTCATTAAAGGTGGGGAAGTCCCCCGGCCATGTAAAAGGGCACTATATTTCCAGGTTTTTAGTAACTGGCATGCAGCACTAAAGCAACTTGCTATAGCCCATCCAACCAAACGTCTATGCTGTTCAATTCCACGAGCCACAGCGCATCGTCAGCCCCAATGAACAGGAGGCTTAAATTAAAAATTAATTTAAATAAGACGAGACGGAGCACATGCTAATCGATAGAGGCTTAGATCCTTGTTGAAAAGTATTGCAACGTCATTGTTCCATGTTATAGCCGTGACGTCATGAGATGACATCTTGCTGCGTGGAAGCTTCAATAAAGAAGTAATAATCTCGTGATAACCTCTTCTTCTTCTTCTTCTTTGTTTTGTCTCATACATATTTGTCTAATATCCCTTAATCAATAGCAGTAATAGCTTAATCAGTCGCGATCCATCCCTCACCCAAACCAGTGAGTGCTGTACAGTCCTTCTCTTACATCAACAACACCATCAAAGCCTCTAACACAGACTCAATCTCAGCTCATCAGACCCAACCACCACCACCCATCATGCCTGCTATGAACGACTGGCTCCGCGACGACCTCTTCGGCAAGGAGCGCGACCTCTGCACCGCCATCACCTCCGCTAACTCCGCCCCTGCCGTCCTCAAGCTCTGCGCCCCCGACGCCGCCCTCATGTTCCCCAAGACGGAGATCCTCTCGCCCGAGGACGAGGACGCCCTCAAGGACGCCATGCGCCCGCCCTTTCACCGCTTCGACGACTTCGAGACCGAGGACATGAAGGCCCACTTCATCGGCCTCATGGGCGGCGTCGTCACCTACAAGATCAAGGCGTCCAAGGGCAAGGAAAAGTACAATGCGACGGCCTCGTCGACTTGGAACCAGGGCGCGGATGGAGAGTGGCTGCTTGTTGCTCATTCTGAGACGCAGCTGTGAGGGAATTTCTAGTTGAAACCAGTCCTTTGGTCGTTTGGTGGCGCAATTGTGTATCTAACTGAATTAATATGACATTTACGACTTTAATGCTCTTTTCATCTCATTCTAATAACCCGACTTTGTATACCTAGGAGATGGCTTCAATAAGTAGCCTGCAATCTCATTCGTATATACTCCATCGCATTCACCGGCTCATACTTCTTCGGCCTCCCCGGCCCCCAGCAACCAGGCACACAACCCACCGTCTTTTCCAAGTCCGCACCAACAAAGTACACCACCGAGTGTCTTGCCTTGGCCATTCTATTCTTCGTCATCACAGCCTCGTCCCCTTCTGCCGCCAGAGATGGCGGGGCCTTGACCCGGTGCATCGTCGACTTCAGCTCGTCGTTGCTCCAGCGCATCAAGAAATCTGCAATATTCACCACGGCCGTGTTGGGTATATACGGCGCAGGGATGAATCTCCCCTTCTCGTTGACACTCTCCACCTCCAGCCCTCCCACATCGTCCTGGAACAGCATCGTGATGGTGCCGTAATCCGTGTGTGCAGCGATTCTCTCTGCTTTACCTTGTCGAAGAATGCTTTCCTCAATGGGGGGATAATGAAGCAGTCGAATCTGGTTATCCCTATTCTTGTGAAAGCGAATGAAATACTCCTCTTCAAGCCCCATTCCCAGCGCAACAAGTCTCAGAATCTCCAGCTCAGCGGCATAGCACACTTCATAAAATTTGTTGAAAAACTCGCGAAATCCCGGGAGAATATCTTGAGGCGGCCAAATATTCGGCAGAGATGCCTCCTCATCGTCGCGACCAATCTCATACGACTCCTTCACATCAGGAACGCTTCGCGCGGCTGAAATGGACGCTTCATCAAAAATCATCTGAGACACTTTCTCGCGGCCAACGCTCGAGTAGCCGCGGTGGTGCCACGACGCTGATGGGCGAGGTGCCTTGTCTTTGTCAGTCCGCGGCATGCTGAAGAATTTATGGTTCTTTAAATTACCAGAATCAGCAAGTTTCTCATCTCCCATTCAATACACACCCCAGCCAGAAATTCCGAGAAGCAGGCCATTCAATGGATAAGGGTCGCGACATACCCATGCGAAGGCCTCATCAACAACTTCCTGAGGCACGCCATGATTCTTCACATACGCAAACCCAACATTCTTGAAAGCCTCGTACAGCTCCTTTGCAACCCTTCGCCTATTCTCTTCAGAGTCCGTGCGAGCAAGGGCAAAGTTAACTACCGGGATATTCAAATGCTGATAAACGCTAATCGCCATGTCGTGCTCGTTACAATAGATGGATGTTGGGCTTTTGGAAGAAGAGGTCCAAAAAAGCTCTTTTGATTTGTTTAAAGTTCGCTCCCTTGTATGTGAAAAGTGGAAACGCTGAGACAGAGAGGGGGGGGGGGGGAACCCTGAAACTCAAAAGGTCCGACCATATTGCCGTGAGGTAACACTTGTGCCGCCTTGGTCGAGGAGAACAACATGTCAGCTTGACACTTCAGCCTCAAATTCAACACAATCTTCGGTCAGGCTGAATAAAGAAAGTGGCGTCAACACTCCAGTAGATTGACATGTGGCCTTTTATTTGTTAAACCAGCCAATTCTATTGACGCCTTTGGTAAGCTTTTCCTTGGTATCTAAAACACAAAATCAAGTAAATCTAGCAAATTCAAGACACACCCTACTGCCGTTCTAGCAACAGCTTTCATGGAAACGGCGATTCTGTCTGTAGGCATTTCGGCTAAAGAATCAGATAATGCGCCGTGCTACAACCCTCCATGCTCTCCAAAGGGTATCCGTGCCTCCTGCGGCAGAGTCAATTTAGTCGAGTAGGTATTCAGCCCCTGTCGTACTCCTAATTCTCGGCCTATGTAGAAGAGGTATTCCTCTGCGGCAAGTTTCTGTTCCGATCGACAAATGTCTATGACATATACGCATATGAGAGGCCATAATGTCCTCACGGCATCGAACACAGTCTTGGGAGACTTGTCTTTTCCTTTTGCCGCGAGGGGTCCAAGAATACGCGGAACGCTCTCTAGAATTCCCTGTGCTGCTGTCTGAGCAATCTCGATGCAATAGTCTCGATCAGCCATGAGCTGTTGGAGAGGAATTGGGCACGGGGGGTAGTGTGTGAGGAAGTTGATGAGAAGCTTTACGGCGTTAAATCCTTTGACAATAGCCGACTGGTAAAGGCTTATCACGTAAATTTCCAACATGTGGTTGTCCATAGGATTCGATTCCATCCAATCTTCAAGCTCATGTGTGGCTGTCTTCATCTGGGCAAAGAGATCTTTATAATCCCGGGACGCGCCGCTAAAGTCTCGCCGCCGAAAGAAGCTGAAGATTTTAGCCTGAACACTGCAGACCTTGGTTATGAATAGAGACACTTGTAGCCCGAGGCCCTCTCCTGGAAATAGTGATTGTGCTATAATATCGAACCATTCTCGTGATTCCGGAGGACACTCTGTATTATTAATTAGAGACTGAATTTGCTGCACACATTCCAAGTCAGCAAAAATTGACAGTCATTCGTATTCAAAGTATCACTAATACCCACCACCATACTATAGGCAGGCCAGAATGACATGCGCCCTTTCGCCGTATATAGCGGCGCGACTCCTCTTATTTTTAGGATACTGTATAACCCTCGAGCGTGCAAATGCCATGGACTTAGAGTTTCTGTGCGGTTGAGAGAGCCAATAAGAAGCTATCTACTAGTGAGCACTTGATCCAGGGATTCTCCAACTCACATCGCGCTGCCTTGGGAAAACCTCACCTCATAGTTGCTGAGGAGCCATATAGTAGCAAGAACGTCGTCTCTAAAAGCCCCGTCGGGCGTATTGAGGGCCTTATTGACCGAGTTCAGGGTCTTGCCCAGGTAAGTACCCAGCTCGCGCTCAGTTTCTGCGTGGGCGTCCCTGGTTATGGCAGTCGGGTAACGGAGGTTGGTCACATAGGTGCGGGAAAAGAGATGAGCTGCCCAAATGAGAGGTCCATCAACGTTGCAGCTGCTGTATATATCCTGGATGAAATCGAAATTGGAATAGACATTGAGGACGATGGGAACCGAGTGTGATGTCCAGTGTTGAAACACCGGCCGCGTGAGAGGAGCAACGGCGTTGCAATTGACGCCGTTGGCCAAGACGACGTCTTTCGAAGATGTAAACATAAAGTCTCCATTTGGGCTGAGAGCCGGCGTCGAAAAGCCCGTATCCGATGCTGAAGACGGCGACTCATCAACCCCAGGAGATTGCGCCGTGCGCTTCTTGCGCTTCTTGACGGCAGTGGGATCTGCGTTACGGAAGACCAGCTCTTGCTGATCCCGGTATCCCGGGCACTCGGCGCCGTATTTGATACATCTCTGGCAGGCGGGACGGGCGAGATCACACTATTTCATGGAAGCATGTAAGTACAGGTACTGGGACATGAAGCAGGTCAAGAGTGGGGAATGAGTCTTGTAAGAAAGGAAAGACACGAGCAACTGTTAAGACATGGCACGTATAGACAGCTGTAGACCCACCCCCGGATGAGATGGGTAGCAGATGCATCATCCCGCGTATTCAGATGCCAAGGATGCTGTGTAATAGGTAGGTTGTGTATATAAATAGGCAAGGGAGGTGGCATAAGACGGGAGCAATTAGTAACTGCAATTGAATGTCACCAACCTTGACACGCCGTTTGCGGCACAGATGACAATCCCGACTAGGTCTGCCTATGTTGGGCATGGCGGGAGAGTCCAAACAACACGAATGATAAAAAAAAAGCGGCACCAATGCAAGCTGCGAATAGCCGTGTTTTGCCTCCCAAATCGCGTGCAAGTCTCACAGATCAAGGCCAAGGCGGGAGCGTTTTAGGCATCTTGGCCGGGAGGCCTCGTCTGGAGTTTTTGGGGTGGCAGAAGCGATGATGGGAGAGGAAATGCCATTCGAGGTGGGGGCGGGTCGCGGCGCTGACGAAATAGCGAGCCGCTGGGCCAATGGGCGCTGGGCGGACACGTGCAGTGAGCTGCCTGGTGGCTGAGCCTCTGGGACACGCAGCCTCGGGTACGCCATCCTCGATTTTGGTATAAGAAGCTCCAGGCCCCCGTAGGGAGATGGAAATAAGAACGTTGAACCCAAAGCAAAGCCACAGTGGTGATGTTTGATGCTCTGTATACACAGCCTCATGGGTCAATCTCCCTAGTTGTAGCGAGAGTCCATGTCACTCACGGCGCCGGCCTCGGCAAGGTGGCTCCTCATTCTGGCCCTCGGCAGAATAAACGTAGGCAGTGCACTGTCTTCTAATCAAGTCAACGTTAACCCCGCCACTGAACTCCGGGAGGCTTAAATGCTAAAGCCAAGTGTACAAAGGCTTTTTTATCCATCACCCAAAACCCCCAAAAGTAAAGAGTATATCCCCGCATTTCAAAACACACAACAGAAACAAATAAAAGCCACAAATAGCCAAAATCAATATACTATTCCCCTGTCCAGCCAAAAAGCCCTCAGTAAGCCAACAACCTGAGGCCACAAAAAAGAGGTCCTCACCTTTCCTGATTCCACAGTCAATTGCCCGTTTAGGCCATCAAGTCGCATCTGAATGGCTGCGAGTCAACATCCCCACACCTCGTTGGGTTTTCACTTACAAAGCCTTTGGGCAGAGAAAAACATCTCCTCCTTCTCCTCTTTCTTGCACTTACACGCTTACACTTTTTTTTTTGTGATTCTTTGTATTGTACCGCGCAATATTCTCATCCCCTCGCTGTGATTTGTGAGAACCATCGTTCTTCATCCTTCATCATCCCTCATCATCAATAACCATCATCATCATCACCATCACCATGTCCCACTACGCCGAGAGAAAAAACCTCTTCCCCCTACAAGGCGGCTGCCCCTGCGGCCACATCCGCTACCAAATCAACCTCCCTCCCCTCCTCGTCCAAACCTGCCACTGCACCCTCTGCCAGCGCCAAATGGGCAGCGCCTTTGCCATCAACGCCATCATCGAATCCTCCGCCGTCTCTCTCCTCCCCTCTGCTCCGCTCACCGCGCCGCTCAGCAAAGCCGAACAGCAATCATCTCCATCATCAAGCTCAGTGTGCAGCGTTCTCCCCGCCTTCGCCGACCTCACAAACGCCGCCACCACCGCAACAGTCACTCTTCCCACAGACAACGATGCTGCCAACAACAACAAGATAAACAACCCCATCCTCGTCGCCCTCCCTACTCAGTCCAAAGTCGGCCAAACTGTCGCCCAGTGCCCCCTCTGCCGCGGCAACCTCTGGAGCTACTACGCCGACGCCGGCACGCTGGTCACGTACCTCATCGCCAGCACTCTCGACCGCCCGTGGGAGCTCGAGCCCGACGTGCACATTTACACCCGCAGCCGCAGGGAGTTTGTCTCGCTCAACGACGGGAAGCCCCAGTTTGAAGAAAACTATCCCGACAGAGCAGTGTTTTACAGGCCTGAGACGAAGGAGAGGGTTGATGCGTTGACGAAACTGCAGGGGATGTGGAGGAAGCAGATCAGAGCTGCTTACAAGGCTCAATTTGCCAAGATTTGAAAGGCCAGTCATTGGATGATGCATTTTGTCATGCGTCTCATTTCATATCAAGTGGCATACGGGGTATAGTTTTACGAAATTCACGCTGCAATTCATGCTCCTACGCTGCAATATCTTTTTTTGGTGATTGTTTTATTAACTTTGAATTGCGCTGCTTCACCGCGCTCGGCTTCGAATCAAGGGTATTTATCCATCTCCTCCACTTTTCCTCCAAACCACCTCCTCGAATAGAGGTCCCACAAGCGAAATGAACATGAAATAGATCTTGCTCGCAAGATGAAAGGAACAAACAATAAGACTTAAGAAAGCCATGACATAAAAAAGAAACAAGTACCACGTACCCACGGCACCGGTACCATATCTCGCAATAGAAGGGTATTAGCCAGTGCCTTTGTCTTCATCCAAACCGACATTTCATAATTATCCATTAATCTGGCCTCTCGCTATCCAGTCAACAAGACTTTCCCCTGCAGAAGAGAATGTGCATCCGCAAAACATCGCATCCAATCGAAACGCCTGGTTACTCTTGCCAAAAGACCAATGACTTAATTAGTCGAACCACCGTAGTTGTTTGAGAAGTTGGGGTACCGAATGACTAGACGCTAACGAGTGTGTTTTGTTGGTTGTTTATTTTGCTGTGAAGCCAGTTGGTATAATATAAAGTGTGCCAAAAATAACTGCTGCTACCTTTCTTCTTTTTCTGATTCATATGCCATCTCGAAATTCGACCATTTGGACCAGTGCCAGAGTATCATATCCAAAAATATCATGCTAATTAACCCCAAGAATGTATAGAACAAAAATATGCTGTATCGGGAAAAAAAAAAAAAAAAAAAAAAAAGACTGAATATCGCCAACGCCAGCTGAAATAAGGCCATAGAGAGCATATGTAACACGCCATGTATATCGCTCGTGATGATCCAAGAAGAAAAAAGCTAAATGACTGAAAAAGAAATGAAAAAATTGCGGATGAAATCCAAGTGTGTTGTGTTTTGCTGTAGCGTAACTGCAAATCAAGTTACGCATATTTTTATAGGCCGTACCACGTTGATGATATCATGTAATTAGCCAGCCATTTTGCGGAATCCCTCGACGCCGAGCAGTGGTACTTCAATCTCGCTGAGGGCGATGATGCCTTCATCGCGGCGCCTCTCGATAAAATTATTGCACTCCGCCACGATGAGGCTCCACTCCGACAACGCACGCCCCGAATAAGACAAATTCTTGAGGAATGCTCCGGCAGGTTTGACGGGTCCTATTCTGCCCTCACTAGGCCGTTGCTGACTCGAGCTGGGCTGAATGGTGGGAGAAGACGGGGAAATGGTTTCGTTGGGGGTCGTATCGCCACTGCTCGTCTCAGACCCAGTCGTGGTAGGCTCTTCCGGAATTCCTTCGGTGGCTATGGCAAGCGACAACTTTCGACGAGGTTCTGCAACTGGTGAATCAAGAGGGCTTGCGTTCTTTGCAGCTTGCACCAGACCACCTTGAGAGCTTCCAGAAAACCTTCTCGTCGGAATCATCAGCGGAGGGAGAACTGGACCACCTCCACGCTTCGCTTGAAAGCCAAGTTTTGCTTGAGCCGGTGTAGGTAGCTTCGGGCTCACGAGCATTCGTTCCAACGGAGGCAACTGCTGGTGCGGTTGTGGCCAGCCAAGGACAAATTTGAAGTTGAATTTGGGCTCTTCGAAGACCGGGTTTGATCCATCAGAGTCGTCGCTCTTGTCAGATTTGGCTGTCTTGGGAGGGGTGGCTGAAGTGTTTTGCCGCGATCGGGAGTTTGCAACCTCTCGGCGCGCATTCTGAAGTCCAGCGTCCGAAGATTTGACAGGCGACGTATCTGGAGTTTCCTGAGTTGGAGAACTAGCCGCACTGAAGGATAATAGCTTTAGAAAAGACCACTTCTTCTTGGGGTCATTCTTGGCGAGCAGCCCGGTTTCAGCGCCCTTCTCGCTCGAGGGCAAATCTATTATACTTGATGCCTTGGTAAAAGTATCAAACGTCACAAAGAGACCTGGCTGCGGAACATTGATCTCCTGTCGAATGATGATGAATCGCTTTCCCAAGGTAGGTGACATTGGCGCCGTGGCAGGACCCATCCGGCCGGCTTCGTCTGCAGCCTGCTTAAGGTAGAGATAGTGCGACCAGACAGACTTGAGTCTCTTGGAAGCCAGAGCAAAAATCTCCCTATTATCAATGATTAGAATTTCCTTCTCATCACAATAACCATTTTCAGTGGGGTTTGTGAACTTACATATCTACCTCATCCTGGCTGCCCACTTCGCGACAGACTCGCCAGCAGAGCAGACGCATATAGTAGGCTCGCACCATTGGGCACCAGTTGTTGAAAAAGGCGTTGAACGTCTCTTCCGACAACAGCCAGTCGCGGCACACCATTAATTTTTGCTTGGGGTCTTTGGCAATAGCATCCCACATCGTGTAAATGAAGGAGATTATTCGAATTTCTGACAGCGTATTCAGCGAGGTCAAGGCAAGTTTACAGACATCAGTCCAAAAGGCCCAATCGATATAGCTTGTCGGGTTTTCAACCGTCTCAGCCCGGTGGTAAACGAATAGAACCTCTTCCAATAGGTCGCACAGCGTTGAGCATGCGGTGCTGTTATACCTGGATGTCCTGCTTGCGGCGGCTTTTAACAGCGCCGAGAAAGATTCGGCAAACGTGTGTCTTGCTCCCGCAAATGTTGGTGTATCATCAGCGAGAATGTCCTTGAGCAAAATTACAAGTCTATTCTCTGACATGCTCTTCATCAAGTTGCTTGGCGGCATAGGCATTTGTAGAGCCGCCGCTTCAGCTCCTCGAGCCGAGGTTGCTAACTGTGAAGGCTCAAGCGCAGCCTGGCGATGAACGGTGCTATCGAGAATCGACAAAAGCTGTGCATGAACAAGAACAAACGCCGGTGACGTTGCTTTTTCGGTTAAAGAAAGGCTCGCTGGCATAAACTCGTTGGATAAAAGGTGAAAGTATTTGGCAAAGATGAAAATGAGATCGGTATCGCGGCCTTTCCAACGCATAACCCACGGGCCAGTCCATGGTACCCTCGCCACAAGCAGAGGCATCTTTGGGATCCGCTTCAGAGTGTTCCACAAAGCTCGGGGCGAGGACCAGGCCAGGTTGCTCAGCTTCGGAGGGAATGACGCCGCTGTTTCCATATCAACTTCGCCGTTGTTCTTGCGAGTGAGGCCCATGCTCTCAGAGACGCGACGGATCAAGTCTGGGGTTAGACCCCAAAGTCGTACCAAGATATCAGCTACACCGGGCGCAAAGAAGAAGGCGTATGCGCAAGTCTTGCCAGCAAACTCAATCAAGCTCGGAGGCACGTGGCGGAGAGACATTTTTTCGACCACAAACGCCATCTGCCTCACCAAGTTGGACACAAACATGGTTCTGATGTTGTGCTCAGCCGACTCTGCCAACAGCGCAGATTGATCCGAGCTCGATGAGTCAGATGAGCTGGTGGATGACCTCGCGCGAGCACGATCCTGGGGAGACCGGTCTGCCAACGGCAAGAAATAAGGCGTCGTCTGGCGCCACTCGAGGCGCATCATGATAACGGTCGCCGCCTCGAAGAGCAGTTGGCGATCCAGTCCCGGCACGGGCTGTTGGTGCTGAGCCTCGAGCATTTCCAGGACAGCGCCCCACCACTTGTTTAAGACACCGGCCCTGCAGTCAACATCCTCAGGTCGCAAGCCGCTAAGAGATGCCTGGCTGGTGGCACTCTTGAGGAAAGGCAAAAGTAGCGTCTGGATCAGCGCGCATTTCTGGGCCACAGGCTTGGAGGCGAGCCCACGGAACTCTAGATCCAAGTTCTTGAACTGCGACCAGAGGGGATCGGGCATGCGCGGTGGCATTTCGATCGACGACTCATCTGTGGTGAGCGCCGTGGAGTTTGTCTCGCCGGAAGTGGTGGATTGCGAGACATGCGAGTCGATGCTATTGGAGCCTGGGTGAGCCAAACTGGCGGCAGAGGAGGCGCAACTAAAATCGGAGTCGATGCTGTCAGTTGTTTTAGACAACGAGGACGCGGGCTTTTGTTTGATCCTGGAGAAATAGCTAGTTGCACGAGCGAATCCCTTTGTCGCGGGTTTAGCAGCTGGGTCAACTGGACGGTTTTGGCCCGTCTGATTGGTCGTAATTTCCTGGATACTGGCTGCGACAGCCCGTTTCAGCTTGTCGCCGCGGCTGGGCTTGGCTTCGGGCTTGTCGCTCGTCTCGGCCGGGGTCTCTGGCTGCATCTTGAGCAGCGAGCGCGACGACGGCTTCCACGACCTCTTGGTGAAGTTGGCGATGCTTGCAGATGTCGAGTGGGAGCGATCCCGGGATGGTCGAGGAGGCACCGCCTCGACCTCGACGTTGCTCAGGGGGCTTTCAGTTGCTGTGGCGGGCCGTTTTTCTTCGCTAAGCGGAGGAAGGGGGGCGATGGGCTCAGCATCAGCGTCGTCGTACTGGGCATCTCGAATGGTTGTCAAGCTGCGCAGCCATTGTCGGGGCCCATCGCTAAGCGAGGCTGCTGATTTAGTCCGCAGGTGGTCGTAGAGTTTTGATGGTGGAGGAGGGGGTTCCAGGTCGACATAATCGGTATTGGGGGATGATGATTCGCTCTCAGGAACGCTTGGAAGAGAGATGTCGAGTTTAAGGTCTATGTCAGTGTTGAACGAGGGTATTTCAAAGGCCGATACCTCAGCCGAGTCCTTTGTAGAGCGGCCAAAGGGCGACTTGGTCCGCGATGGTAACGAGGGTAAGTTTGGAGATGAGTGGGATCGTTGGGAGAAGGAGGATGTCGAGGGCAGTTCCACAGCCGAGGCCATGATTGCTGTTCCGCTCATTGCATGGCCAGCAGCGGCGGTTTCTGGCTGATTGGTAGATATGCTGGCTGTTCCGGCAGGGTCCGGGAGATGCTATGGCCGTCGTCGAAATGCGCCTGTGTCAACCCGTCACGCCGTCCAAACTAATTCAACATGGCCTGCTGGTAACGACAGTGTGTGCTCGGTCTGTGATGGCCTGGAGGTGAGTGAGTGAGCGAGTGAGTGAGTGCCAGACTCAATGCAATGCCGCACAAGAGTAGAGAGTATGGCGATGTGATAGGCTCGCGAGAGAGAAAAAGCTTTCCCGGCCACGATAACGATAGTGATCAGAGGCAGAAACGCAGGGCTTTCCGGGAACGGTGAAGCAGCCTCCGCATCGAGAGAGAGAATCGCCACGGCAGCCCGGCTGCTAGAGACTGGCAATCGTCGCTACAGCGCTACATGCACAGGCTCAGTCAGGCACAGGAGGCTGCTCTGCACAAAAATGGCCTGCCGATTGCGCCCAGGAGAGCGGAATGACGGAGATGGGCAAATTGGATGCGGTTGCTGGTGGCGTAGGCTAGTGCAGATGAGGGCCAGCAAATCCCTACAAGCCTCCGTGCGCGCTGCCAATTGGTGTGGCAGCCTGGCCAGGGAGCTTTGCTTCTTCAGGGCTCCTGTGATTTTTACTCTCCGGCATAGAATTGCATGTAATTAATTACAGGCGACTCCGTCCCGGTGCATGCGCGAGGCACCGCTACTCCATTCAGGGGCTGTTCGTTGCCTTGCACTAGAGCCCTTCGGTCTCTGTTCAGCGTCAGCGCCAGCGCTAACAGGCCAGCATCGACGAGATTTACAGCACGTTCACATATAAACTGCCATTGACGCCACAGCTAAAAGAGCTTTGGATGCGGTTGCGTTGCTCTGGAAGTGCCGCTGCAGTGCTACAACCGTTCGCGCTCAGCCTCGCTTCCAAAGATAGATAGACGACGAATCCGGACGCACGACGTAGTGCGGGACAAGGCCTCCCCCTCTTCTTGTTCCCTTTTTTACTTTGCACAATTCGAAGAACAAAAGGGCAAAGGAAAAGAAAGAAGGGACTGCAGTGCAAGGGCTTTCTCCATTTTCTTTCGGGACTTTCCCAAACGGTACCTTCAGCAGTTCCTAGCGCTTCCTAGCTGCCGCCCGCCATGTCCAGTCCTCTACGCCATCAAATTTAAGGTCGCATCACGGCGTGGCCAATGGACGGGCTGTGGCGCGGTGGCTGCCCTATCCACGCATTTACAGCTGCAGCACGCGGTCTTGGTGGGAAACGCCCTTTCCGCGGGCCCTTCCGATAAGCGCCAACATGTCCATGGAGGTTTTGGCTTGGGGGCACAGAATGCGCGACAATGTCTCTGGCCAATTTTCCGCCTCATGCTGAGACAGACATCAAAGGCCGTTCTGTCAAGGAACATCGCACAACAAGACGCCCGTCCCCGCAAAAAAGTGGCGCAACTCTACGCATCACCGCAGTTTCGTCTGCAGTACAGAAGACATCATCCAGTCGGTAGATGTGCAGGACGTGCTCGGACGGAAACGCCTCCAACAGCTTAGGACTGCAGCCGTCCAGTCAGTCAATGCAGATCTTGACCCCGTGTCTCTCCGCAGCTTCAGTCGCCACTACCATCAGCGGAGGCGCAGATCGGCTCCAGCGCTTTTGTTGTTTGCTAGTCCTAGTCACCTGGTTGAGTTGTTCTTTGGGAGGCCTATGATGAAAGTGATTGCCGCTGCGGCTTGTATGCTTGTACCTTGAGGCGAACAATCAGACTTCCGTCGCCACGACAAAGTGCTTACCGGCCTGCCTTCTTTATATGAGACGTCGGGAAATACTTGGCAGGTGAGTCGAAAGAAGGGAAGATTGGAAAAAAGGGTTCCACAGCCGTCGTGCCATAGCTACGGATTATTGGATGCAATTTAAATGCCCCATTAAAGGTACAGGTGGTGAGATGTACATGTGTGTGTGTGTGTGTGCATGTGCCGCCCTGCAGTCGTCATTATGCCGGATGATTTGTCGATGTAACCAAGCAATGGCGAAAGTGATTTTGGTAGAGTACAACTAAGTATGTACCGTTGTCACGTACCTAATAACTCCAAAAACAGAAAAACGTGCTGTAAGCATGAATTGAATTTTGCGGCACGTGTGGAAAGCTCGGTGCAATCTTCAAAGGATCACACCGTAGTCCGGGCTCAGCAGCCAAATTCATGCAGCGAGAGGCATGAGCCCTTACATGTAAATCAACCGCTTATGTTTTGCTCTTTGAGCGGTGTGTGCTCTGTGGAACTCTGGTACTCCCTGTATCAGTCACAATTGAGCTGCATGCAAGCCCAGTTTCAGATCTCTGTTGTCTCACAGCTTCCTAGAAGCGTCTCCCTTTTACCAGCCATGATGCACGGGCAAAGCAGTTCATCAGCCAACGCAAACAAGGGCAGGCGAGCAGACAAGAAGCCCATACTTCAGAGTCATATTATGGGGTTCAGAACAAGTCTAACAAGCTGAATCATACGAGGAGGCTTGGCCACAATAGCTGGCTCTCTTGGCGAGGCACGGGCGCGCCGTCGAAGAGGATCTAGCTGTAGTAGCGATGGAGTAATGCAAACACCGCGGCGCCGCTACGTCGTGGCTTTCGGCTTGTCATCATAGCCCCAGTCTTGGGACCAGCTGAAGTTCGATGGCGGCTCGCTGTCCCGCAATAAGTTCCATTATTATGGCTTCTAGAGAAATTCGGCCTTGTTCCTTTCTCGATGAGGGCCAGCAATATTGCTACTGCTAACAATAGTCCAGTAGGTGAAACCCGAGCGGAATATGGATAACTACATCATCGAATTGCACAAAATATGCATTGAGCAACGCGAAAGGGGTCGTCAGCCAAGACTCAAAGAGGCGAAAGGGCGAAAGGGCGACAGGGGAACAGCGATCTCCCTTCTTGGCAGCCCTCGCACAAATGAATCACCGGTGTATGAAATCTGCAGACACCAACTCTAGCACTACAGCATAAATGGGGCAAGAATGATTTTCTTTGAAAAGAAAAGAAGCAAAGAAAAAAAAAAAAAAAAAAAAAAAAAAAAAAAAAAGAAAAAAGAAATGCATGCATGGAGGTGTTTCCCTATCTTCATGCACCATGTCCTTGGGATTATCAAGACATCAGTGTTTGGTAATAGTAGGGAAAGATTTGATCTTGGCACGTAGAAAAATCCTTCAGCAATCGAGCACTGGAAAAGCTCGGTGCTGTACACACATATGCCGTTCAACAAAAAGACTTCACATTGTTCGTTTTCACCTACCGGTTGGAGGCCTGTTGCTTTGCGCATCTGCGTCAGGAGTCTTCCTCCCTGAGCAAAAGCTAAGACAGCAGAGATCTGTGACGGATGCGCAAGGGTGATTTGCATTACGCACCACAGTCCTCTGGTGCCCCTGAGAATGATATTGTCATCGTCGGCTACGACGGTAGGCCACCGCTGTTCTCAGCTTCATCTCAACTGGATTCGCCTGCGGGATGCATGTCGAGCTGAAAACAAGACGAGGTTTGAGCCGGCGAGAAAAAAATTTCTCCTCGAGAATAGAATATAGAGGGGCATGGATTACATAATCCAGATATGCCGAGCTAGTGGACCTGAGCCATTGGGTAGGTAAAAACCCCAGCACTCTATCATTATTGAAAGAATACGCAGAATATTTCTCTGAGCTTATAAAATTGACAGCGGTGTCTGTATTTGAGTCCAAGAACTATTCTATGACGGCCTTTACAAAAACGAACCCACTAATATATACCTGCGACGCTATATACGCATCTGAACATCATCCAGTCTTTTCACGATGGCGCTGATCGGCTCTACGTAGTTCCGATTACCTCAGCAGATCAGCTTCTGCAACTCGATCTGCAAACCATGGCGCCCCACCGCAATCTCACTAGAGCTTGTCCACTGTCTTAATTTCCAGCTCGCTGCGCAACGCCGTCTTCGTCGCGACAGCTGGGATGCCTCTTACAGCGCAACACGACTGCATGCATCCATCGGGTTTCACGAATGCGTTCAATCAACAGCCCAGATTCCCGCAAAAGTGCAGGGCGGACTCCAGGCCGGCTCGCCGAGTCCCGACAGTTGCGCCCATCCAATCAGCTCCCCACGACTCGGGGCGTTTTCTTTGTCTGTCTTACCCCTGATCACCTGTTCAACTCACGGCCGTTTGCTCCGTCCAAGCGGTGCCGGCATGCGTGCGTGCGTGACTTGAGTGCGTGAGAGGCTTGAGGGGTCGCTCTGGCAACCTTGGAGGACCTTGGCGGCTCTCTTGGCATAATCGTATCATCCCATCCCACTGCAATATCTGACGCTCCCTGCTGTGGAGTGGTCCGTACTGCGCCAACGGCATTGGAGTGGTAGTGCTGTCAAGAGAGTTCTTACGCGTAGAGAGAGGCACTGCTAGTAGATGATACCAACAGCAATCGCAAGAAACAGCAGCCAGCCACGCAGTCATCTCGGCCGTCATCCGTGCCAGATTCACGCTGCACGCCTTCATGTACAGCATCCCACGATCAGCGAGAAATCTTTGAGCGGCCAGTGGCCCTGTCGTCATTGGCGAGGACCCGGCCCACACTAGCTGCCCCTTTAGCTCCCTTCCAGGCCTGTTTGTGTCTCTGGCGCTGCTGCGATCCCTGTAAGCAGGTCGCCAGATCCTGGTCCCAGCACGCGCCACAGCGATAGAGTAGCTCCCCAAGCTCCCGTAGTGCTCCACTGGGCGATTATTCTCAGTTCGAAGCCCTCTTGTCTGTCGTAACGCCAAAGCTTGTTGGGAGCCCAATTCTCCCAGACAAAGGCGAACTTGCATCTGTCAAAGGAAAAGTCGGAAATCTCGTCTGCGGCCCGTTCATCGCATTGGAGCCGCCAAAGTGCGCGACGGGAGAATCTATAAAATCATCGTGGGTAAGCTGATCGCAGAGGCCGCCAACTGGGGGGAATCTCGGAGTCGCATCTGCACTGCATCCGAACAGCATCTTTCGCCGACTGCCGACAATTGCTCAGCCAAAAGTTGTATTTAAACGGTCAAAGTTACCGGCACAAGAGTCGCCGTAGAATCTCGCCATGGATTCACACGTCAACGGCGAGCGAGTCGCAGAGATCGACCCCCAAAACCCATACGCGTCCAGCAGCAAATGGCGCCATCAAGAGTCGACTAAATATGCCCGCCACGAGGCGCAGTTCCAGGCGCGCGATCCCACGACTGCCGGCACAACCGACGAGCTGGCGAACTATCTCAACCAAACTCGAATTGAACCCCAGGTGAACGGACACGGACACGGACAAGCAGCGGGAAACTACCAGCCCATCTCGCTGGCTCATGGCCAAGGACAGCCTGCCGAAGATGTTGTCGCTAGCCATTCAGACGAGGAGGGGACGGATGGCAAAGACATCGTGTGTGGTCCTCTTCTCAACTATCGCCGCATGGAACAGGGCTACTGGTACGGAAGTGTCCTTGTCGTCACAAAGGGCGGCGGCAAAGATGCGCTCTTTGAGCCGCTGCTGGTCTTGCGACGGGCTATGGGACAGGGTGACGAGAAGACGAGGCACGTCCAGGACGCGCAGGTCTACGGCGAACGCCTCTATTCAGACAAACGAAACACATTCTGGGCCTTTGGCCTCAGCGTGCCGCTCGAAGCTGGGGAGACTCGATACGACTATGAAGTCCTGGGTCTGCGATATTCCACCACTCATAAGCCGCGAGTCAACAGCTTCTACATCCCTGCCGCAAACGAATCCATGCGCATGATGTTCTACTCTTGCAACGGCTTCAGCGTCGGCACCGACGAAGATGCATGGAGCGGCCCGTGTCTGTGGAAGGACGTTATGCGGAAACATGCGGCGGCGCCAATCCACGTCATGATTGGTGGTGGTGACCAAATCTACAACGATGGCATCAGGGTCAACGGCCCTTTGCGTACCTGGACTGACATCGGCAACCCCAAGAAGCGACAGGATTATCCCTTCCCCGAGAAGCTTCGCGCCGAGTGCGACGACTACTATCTGAAGAACTATATCCGATGGTATAATACGGAGCCTTTCTCAACAGCAAACGGCCAAATCCCACAAATCAATATCTGGGATGACCATGATGTCAGTATAGTCTTATGATATCTGAGCACAGAACTCCATGCTGATATTTGCACAGATCATTGACGGCTTTGGATCATATGTCGATAAATTCATGCAGTGTGACGTTTTCCGTGGCATCGGTGGTACCGCCCACAAGTACTACATGCTCTTCCAGCACCATCTCCCTCCGCCACCGTCTACATACACATCCGGTAGGATTCCACTCATAGTATCAAGGACACATTTGAGGGGAATATATGGGTGCTGATGCGTTATTAGATTTTGCCACTCACGACGTTGATGGCACTCAGGGCATTGACCCCAATCAACTGATTGATACCTACGTTGCACCGGGGAAAACGGAGCCGCAGTATATCGTTGGCCAGAAACCTGGACCTTATGTTGCGGAGCACTCGTTTAACATCTACACGCGATTGGGTGCTCGTATTGCTCTGCTTGGTATCGATGCCAGGACTGAGGTAAGCCACTGCATGATTTCTATGCCCATTAGTTCAATATCTAAGATGACAGCGCACTCGACACCAAGTCAACTATCCTGAGACCTATGAACTCATCTTCCAGAGACTACGGAATGAGCTACAGGCCGCCGCCAGGTCCGGCCAGCCCATCAAGCACTTGATCCTGTTACTCGGCATTCCCATTGCTTACCCAGTACGTTTGTTATTTCTCACGCTGGTCCGTTCCCGGGAGTAAAAGTACTAATGAAAAATCATCACAGCGCTTGACTTGGTTAGAGAATATCCTTCGAAGCCCTCTTATCGGCCCCGTCAAACTCCTGAACCGACGATTTGGCGTTGGCGGTGGCTTCTTCAACCACTTCGATGGAAGTGTAGATCTTCTCGACGATCTTGATGATCACTACACGGCCAAGACCCATAAAATCGAGCGCGCGCAAATGATTGTAGAACTACAAAAGATTTCCGCCGAGTTTTCAGTACGAACCACGATTCTCGGAGGCGATGTCCACTTGGCAGCTCTAGGCCGCTTCTACTCCAACCCCAACCTCAAGATTCCCACCGAAGAGGATAGCAGATACATGGTCAACGTAGTCTCGTCAGCCATCGTCAACAAGCCTCCGCCACAGGCTGTCGCCAACCTCTTGGCACGGCGAAACAAGATCCACCATCTCAACTCCAAGACGGATGAAACTCTGCTGGATCTGTTTGACAAGGACCCCGGCAACTCCACCAGGACGGCCAACCACAATAGCTGCACGATGCCCAGCCGCAACTTTGCTCTCCTAACTGAGAATTCTCCCACAAGAAGTCCCGATGGCTTTGTGCCAGGGCACGGCGCCGATGCACCTTCGCATTCATTCTTGGGTTCTGATGGCCACTCACCCCTGCATCATGGCGAGGTTGGGGCTGGCACGAAGCACAAGGCAGCTGCAGACGCAGAACATGGCCAAGGCCACGACGGCAGCTTGGATATTCGCATCAACGTCGAGGTTGACCAGCACGATCCAGAGGGCCTGACAGAGAGCTACGGCTTGACCGTACCGACGTTGACATATCGTCCAAGGACTCAAGCGTCCTCAAGGGCCATATCCACTGCCACTAGCCAGTCGGAGCGGCAGCAACGATGAATGTCTGGTTTTTGGTGAACGGTCCGACGATTGTGGAATGAGTCTCGATCTTCATGATCAGATACCCCAAGGATGTTTGCAGAGGAGCAGGGCTGATGCGTTGGACGTTGTGGCAACTGACCAAATGCCAGCATAGTTAAGAGATGGGAGATACCAATGATGCGAGGCAGGGGACGGAGCACGTCTGGAGTGTTGTAATAGATACCTAATAACTTTCCTTCTTCGGAGTGTATAGTCATTCGCTAGAATTGGACGGCTTGGTGTGCAGTGTATTCAGTGTATTTCTAGTACGCAACTAAAAGAATCAAAATCGTTTGAACCATGATTAAGCGCAGCTGAGGAAAAAAAAAAAAAAGAAGGAAAAATATCCATTCTCCTTCTCCCATGTGGCGTGCGATGTTCTTAGTGCCAGGTACACATTCGCCATACAAACTCCACCATTCTACAAGCCTCCAACCACCGGCGCCCGATATCTCCATTGCTTCACGGCTCTCGACGGAGCCGCTGGCCGACGTCGGTGCCCCAATTGGCCAATCCCCAGACGCTTAATCGCCTCGCATCTGGGGATTTCTAGGGTCGAGGCCTGCTAACGTCATGGTGGTGGCCCCCACTGCCCCTCATCTCCAATCGCCTTTAACCCGCGATAAGCCGAGACAGCTTTTGGCAACACACGATGATGGCAGGATAAAAAGATAAGAAATTGGGGTAAGAGCCTCTCTTTTCCAGGTTTTCTTCTCTCTTCTCTTCTCTGTAGATCTTTTCTTGCTTGTGATACCACATTTGACGAATTAGGAGAAGAAGAAGCAGAGCGTTTTCCATTTCACATTCCATACACAATGCAGTCTGCTATGCTGAGAAGAGCTGGCGCAAAGGGCCTGCGCAACTGCGGGTGCAGAACCGCAAGAGCTTCCGTGGCGACACTCGCGGCGTTTAGGCCTCCGACCATCACAAACGAGCCTAACGTGAGTAAAGATCAAAGAGAAGCAAGCAATCATGGCATTGATGCTAACGTCGAGTCCGTGTAACAGCAACACTATGCCAAGGGCAGCCAGCAGCGAGAGGGCTTGACGGCGGCCGTGGAGAAGCTCCAGCAGAAGCTTCCTCTGGAAGTCCCCGTTGTCGTGGGAGGCCAACAGGTGCGTTGAATCTTAATGACGAGATAGTAATGTCTTGTACAAGGACATATGGAACTCTCAGTACCAAGACGTGGGAACCAAAGCTGACAACTGCCCTCTAGGTCAAAACCTCTTCTCTCTCCAAACAGCTCAACCCTTCAGACCACTCCAAAACCGTCGCCTCCTACCACACTGCCACTCCCGCCGACGTCTCCAAGGCTATCGACGCCGCCCTCGCCGCAAAGCCGGCCTGGGAATCGCTCTCCTTTGCCGACCGCGCCGCCGTCTTCCTCAAGGCCGCCGACCTCATCTCCGGCAAGTACCGCTACGACATCATGGCCGCCACGATGCTCGGCCAGGGCAAGAACGCCTGGCAGGCCGAGATCGACGCCGCCGCCGAGCTGGCCGACTTCTTCCGCTTCAACGTAAAGTACGCCGAGGAGCTGTACAGCCAGCAGCCCGAGCACCACTCGCCGGGCGTGTGGAACAGGCTCGAGTACCGCCCGCTTGAGGGCTTCGTCTACGCCGTCAGCCCCTTCAACTTCACGGCCATTGCTGGCAACCTGCCTGGAGCCCCTGCGCTGATGGGCAACGTGGTTGTCTGGAAGCCCAGCGACTATGCCATTGCGTCCAACTGGCTTGTCTACAACATCCTGCTGGAGGCTGGTCTCCCCAAGGACGTCATCCAGTTTGTGCCTGGCAACCCCGTGGAGATTACCAAGACGGTCTTGGAGCACAAGCAGTTTGCGGCCCTGCACTACACTGGCAGCACGGCTGTGTTCCGAAAGCTGTACGGCGCCATTGGCCAGGGTGTTGCCGAGGGCAGATATGGATCGTACCCCAGGATCGTGGGCGAGACGGGCGGCAAGAACTTCCACTTGATCCACCCATCAGCCGACGTCGAGAACGCCGCTGTGCAGACCGTCCGCGGTGCCTTTGAGTACCAGGGACAAAAGTGCAGTGCCACATCTCGTGCTTACATCCCCAAGTCTCTCTGGCCCGAGTTCAAGGAGCGCCTCGTCGCTGAGACCAAGAGCCTCAAGCAGGGCGTCCCCTGGGATCACGCCAACTTTGTCGGCCCCGTCATCCACGAGGCATCCTTCAAGAAGCTCTCTGGCGCCATCGATGAGGCCAAGAGCGACAAGGACCTCGAGCTCGTCGTCGGCGGTACCTACGACTCGTCCAAGGGCTACTTCGTCCAGCCCACAATCTACCGCGCCTCCAGCCCTTCCCACAAGTTCCTCTCCACCGAGTTCTTTGGCCCCGTCCTCACCACATACGTCTACGATGACGCCGCGCCCGACGCCTTCTCCAAGGCCTGCGAGCTCGTCGACTCTACCTCCGAGTACGGCCTGACGGGATCCGTCTTCGCCAGCGACCGGGAGGCACTGCGCTTCGCAGAGGAGAAGCTACGCAACGCCGCGGGCAACTTTTACATCAACTGCAAGAGCACCGGCGCGGTGGTTGGCCAGCAGCCCTTTGGCGGAGCCCGAGCCAGCGGCACCGACGACAAGGCCGGTAGCGCGAACCTATTGACGAGATTTGTCAACATCCGGTCGATCAAGGAGGAGTTTGCGACTACGACAAAGGTACTGTATCCTAGCAATGAGGTCTAAGTAGGGGTTACCCAAACTCTACTTGATATATACTGTATATAATAGGGGTTAAACTTGATGGATGGCGTTGTCTCTTTTTAGTATTGTTACTTATGTTATTGGCATTAGATGAAAGGGAGGATGTTTAGCATCAAGTATGGACTTGAATTTCACTGCTTTATTCAGCCAAGCGTATGCTGAGATGGAGGTCATACTTTCTCCCTTTCATTTACCCCAATTGGGCCACATAAAACCTCCAGTAGATGGAGAGTGCACCTTACGTAGCCTTTTGAAAAAAAAGCCAATTGAATATGGCTTGGTTGTATTCGAGCTGCGCCTTGTTGTGAAAATCTTATTTCGTGTATAATGCTCAGCCGCGTGGCTGCCGATATCACACGAGTAATTACTAGGCCTAGCAGGTGGTGGTTTTGTAAATTTCAATAGTACGGCGTATGACTCAAAGAAGCTAAACAAGATTGTGTAAGAATAATACGGTTCATAAGATTAAAACAACTTAGAATCTTAGTAAAAAGCTTGGCATTGCGGATCGGCCACAAGGCAAAATCATAAAAATAAGGTACGCGTCTCGTCTCCTCCAAAGTGTGCCATCCTCTTCGTATAAACGAGGCTTGCTCCGAGCTGGACAGACCCATCCAGACAAGGGCCTCACAGCAGAGTACGGGCGCCATGTTGGCTATTCCAAACGTCCGGATGATCCGAGCTGCTGCTACAGCAGATAAATCCGAGACGAGAAGAGCCATTTAGCCATGAATTACATGTTACTGACGATTCGTTTGAGGCGCAGCTCTCAGGGAGAAGTATAAGTCAACGCTGAGTGGACGGTGCTCCTCGTCTTCTTCTCCTCCTCCCCAAAATCATCCCACTTAATATTTCGCACAGTCCGGGGGAATCTAGGCTTGCCGAGTTGCCGTTGTGGAGAGGGTTGCACCTTATATGCCGGTACCTTGACAGTACCGACTTTAATTCACGGCGGTGTTGGGGGCGAGAGCAAATGCTGAGCTTTGATGCAGCTTTTCTTTCTGTTCAACCAAGTCATGACAGGCTGTGAGACTTCAACGTGAGACAGACACAACACACTAAGCGATGGTGTTAAAAAAAAGATTGTTCAAACTGTGACGTGACATTCCTGCAAGCCACAACTCCCAGCTCAATGGGCTGCTCTGGCTTAGTAGCTGGAATCCCACGCAGATTTCTAGAACTCGCTTGCTTATCTCCCTTGTCTTCTCTAGCGCAAACGCCGGTACTGAGTGGCGCGAACCCACCGCCCTCCCATTTACATACAGAGGGGACCTGACGATGCAGCCGAAATAGCGGCCCCTTGGAGAGAACAAGTTTTTTTGCCACTGGACACGCGAGCTCGTCCAACGTGGGTTGCCCAAACCCCGGAGAAGCTGTGGGAAAAAAGTGGATGGCAACAGAGAGGGTCTGTTGGTCTGTGCAGATGTCATCAAAGCCTTGCTCTGTGAGGCTTTTGGCGAAGAGACAAAGAAGGTACACGATACGAAAAGACACACAAGCATGTGCCATGTAATGTAAACTGCCAGGACTGGACGCAAACAGCCACGGAGAGCGCCATGGCGTTGGGGACACCAGTCAATGCTACGCCCAGCACGGGCAATGGCCAGCCATGGCAAACGGCTTTTTGTGTACGAGCACATGTAATTTGGCTCCCCCATGGTCCCTTAGCCGCTTATACATGGTCGGAAGGGCACGAGGGCACGAGACTCACCGGCGAGGTCTAACAGGATGAAACGGCCCCAGCGAGGGATAAAAGGCAGTAAAACAGGCTGGAGACGGAGAAGGAGACAGACAAGAGGCCAAGATTTGCGGCACAGAGAGCTTGCATTGGCGTCTGCTCCAAGGGTCGAGGCTCACCACATGGGCCCGTCCGCGCCGCTGATTCGTCGGCTCGGCGGCGACACCATGGGGAGCACGCGACCATTTTCTCGATGATGCTTGGTCAATTGGCAGAGGCACGTTTTCGTCGACTTTGTTGTCTTGGGAGCCCTTGAGCGCGGGTTTGCCTGGGGGGAAATGGCGTCTGCTCGCTTCTCTGGTTCTCAGTGATTTCTGTAGTGTAGCGCTTCGGGTAGGGGACATGGCCTTATCAGGAGAGAGAAAGGCCGCCTTAGTGAAATAGTGAGAGGCTGCCATGAGCAAAGCGGATTTCCCATCCTCCCTTTTCTTACGCTCGCCTGTTTCTCTCTTCCTTCTTTTCCATCTCTCTTGCTTGGAGTCTTCTTCTTCCCATCTTCCGTATCCCGCGGACAATTGCTTCTGGCCCTTGCTGTCGCTCTTCCAGGGTGCGTAAGTGGTCTCGTGCCGCCGACTTTGCCTTGTGAATCGACCGTGATACAAGCCAAAATCGACCACCAAATATCCAACCCCTATACATAATAAAACGGGCTTTCCTTTTACACAGCATCCTCGATCGGGAAAAGGAGATAGACGCACACAAAAAACCTTTCTTAATTCTCACACGACCGCAGTCCCGCTAGAAAAAAAAAATACGCCCGCGAGACAAGCAGACGCAGCCAAGGCCGGTCTGCAACACCACCAAAGGCTCCAGCCATAGCTTATCTTGCCAAACCACCCAGCTGCATCAAACCCTTGCATCGACCGCACCCCGAATTCTCGGTCTTAGCTGCCGTTCCCTCCTGTCCACGCACACGGCGCCCGCGGACTCGGTGCGCTGTTTCTAAACCCATCTTGTTTTTTTTTCTTCTCCATATTGGTGGGTAGTGTGCCGCTGTCGTCACCATCTAGGCTTCGACTTACAGCAAAAGACTTAGTGCCGGAAAAAAGGCCTTCTGGCTGCGCCTCACCAGGTGCCGCGTACCACTCCGGCAAAGCAGCTTGCCATACGGCCCTGCCGTGGGCTTCAGGTTCGCGTGTTAGTGGGTTGCGAGCAAATCAGCCTGAGACCACTACGGAACCGTGCGATTGCGGATCGCGGAGTGTGGCCGATAGCCTGAGGACTAATCCCAGATACCGATTGTGCATGCAAGCTTGGCTTTCCCAGGCCCGGCATTGTTGGTAGTCTGCATCAAAGCAGGTCCTGCTTACACAGAGCACTTGTCGTTGAGGGCAGGCAGTACCTCGAGGGTACTTAATCCCAAGTGGTTGCCATGCCTCGTCCAACACTTCCCCCTACTCCTGGCTCGTCGTCCGATATCAGGGGCAAGGATGGCATCCAGCAGCTCTCCTCTCTCCAACTAGCCTTTGAGCTGCCCCCGCCGGCCATTCACGATGCCGATGCCTCACGCATCTCACCAGTCGACTCCAAGCGCTCGCCCACAAGCCTAGGCCTGGACACTGCCACATCGCCCAAGACGCGTTATCCCATGCAGGCGGCCGAGACGGTCAAGTCCCGAAGACGCTCGTCCGCCGCAACAAATAAAGAGGCCAAGGAGACCACGTTTGCCCTGCCCCCTCCCCCCACGCGCTCCAGGAAGATTATCCAGATGAAGCCCCGAAGCCAGGAATCCAGCGGGAGCTCGGCTTCCACAAAGGAAACGGCCAAGGCGGGCGGCAAGGCGGCGGCCAGCAGCGCCAAGAACTCGGCTCCCGGCTCCGAATCCGGGGCCGGCGCCGGGAGTGCCTCGGCCAGGAGCGAATCGAAGAAGAAGCAGCCCAGCGCAACCAGCGCTGCCGGGCGCAAAATCGCAAGAAAGACTGCCCATAGCCTGATTGAGAGGCGAAGACGGAGCAAGATGAATGAGGAGTTTGCACTGCTGAAGAGCATGATCCCGGCGTGCACCGGCGAGATGCACAAGCTGGCCATTTTACAGGTTCGCTATTCCCATGCCCGCCCCCCAATATATATCGGCAGTCCGCAAAACTTGCCCACGAATAGCGAGTCGTACGATACGCAGCGTAATTGGGTACATCCAACTGACAAATTATCAGGCTTCGATCGAGTATGTCCGCTACCTAGAGGACTGCGTCGCCAAGTTAAAGGCCCAGCAAGAACAGTCTCTGCAGAACCAGCCAGAGGCTTCACATAGCCCCCTACCTCCTATTCGCGAATTCCACCCAACCTTCCGGGAAGATCCGTCCGCAGATGTCGAAATGACTGATTCCGAGGCTCCATCTCCCATCTTTGCTCCCCAACGGCCTTCAGTCTCACCTGCGCTCTACGCTCAGGACTCTCGGCATCGCCAGCACTCATACTCGTCGGTTTCCACCGACCAGAGACACTACAGCTACAGTGGGTCAACCACAACATCTCCCGCCTTTGGGCCTCAGACGTTTGTCAACAACAACATTGCGTCTTACACGCACAGCAGCACTTCTGCTTCTGGGTCAACGTTGACGAGTCCCGCGTTACTTCCGCAGAGTGACCTCGACCAAGAGGCTACTGCGGCGTTGTTGATGCTCAATAGCGACAGGCGGGGGACGACGAGTAGCAACAATAACGGACGAGCACTGTCTGTGCGAGATTTGTTAAGCTCATAGTTGCTTGCCGTCCCTCAGCTGTCATGAGCGATGACACTATTAATCTCTTTTCTTCTTTACTCCTTGATTTCCCTTGATTTCTTCTTATACCTTATCAATTTTCATGTCAGAAGCAAACCCCTGTACGGGTAAACTTAAAAAATGGAGTCTGTGATGGGTTTGTGGAGTTTAGAGGCTTATAATTCAGGCAAATGATGACAATTTAGAGGAATTTCATCATTGATTGTTTCATCTTTTATTGCATTTCATTATTTTATTTATACATGGACTGGATATACGAATAACAAAACGTGCGACGGGAACACAAACGCACTGGATTTTCGGCTCTGGGAAGAGATACCACTCAGGGAAGCTATTGTAGGGTATATTGCTATTTTAATTTTCAAGCAAGTGTGAAGTAAAAGTTACAATTCAAATTATGATTCTCCCGAAATTGAACGCCTCTGAAAAGTTTTTTTATGTATTGTCCTCTTTATACTGTATGCGTTAGTATTGGATTTTTCGTCTCTTTCTCTTTCTTCGGCATGCCTACCTATTAAGCTTTTAATCTCTCGCTTCCGGCAAGATCATCGTTTGCATCCTTGACGAGGAAACTGTTGGGTGAATTGAGTTAGCAACGTATTTCGTACTACAGAATAAAGAGTGCACTGCTACGTAGCTCAAAACTTACTTGTACCACAGAACAGTCGGCCCAATCGTCATTAGGTGCCACAAGCTGTGGGCATCGATGCAGCCCAACCAGGGCGGGAAATCAAACAGTTCCATGCTCATGGAAAACATGACCCATGCCACTGCGATGCTTGGCCACATGGCCCAAGTGCGGCCCAGCTTGCGGTAGCGGTGGAAACTGAACCAGCTCCAGAGGGCATTGTGGATGATGCCGACGACGACGTTTGCGGCCATGTTGTAGGTGTAGTCCCAGCGGAAGAGCTTCAAGTATCCGACATGGCAGGCGTACAGCAAGACGCAGAGCAGCGTCCACACGCGCAGCACCGAGCGCCGGCGCGGCGTCTTGCGGTCGAGCCGGAAGATGCGCACGACGGTGTAGTACGTCCCGTACAGGACGCTGGCGCCGGCGGCGAAGTAGTCGAGCTGCTCGGTGGCGGCAAAGTCGCGGGTGTGGAAGATGGAGCTGAAGGTCCAGGCGGCGAGGCCAAAGTAGGAGAAGACCTCGTAGTAGGGGCGCATGGAGTAGTGGGCCGGGATCTGGTCGCGGATCTTCTTGAGGCCCTGCCAGTGCGCCCAGAAGTTGCCGAGGGAGAAGAGCACGGAGAAGGGCTCCTGCATGCCGATGAAGCGGTAAAAGGGCCATTTGCCGTGGAACTGGACGACGTTGAGGTCGGAGGCGACGCGCGAGGTGGTGATGATGTGTTGGCAGGTGTAGTCGCATTCGGCGGGGCAGTCCCAGAGGAGGAGGCGGCGGGAGAGGGCTATTGGTCGTCTAATTAGCTGAGGGTTCTTGTTTTGGCTTTCCTTTTCGTTGTTTGGCGAATATCGAGCTCGAGAGAGGAGGGAGAGTTACGAATTGGGGTTTCAGCCTTGCCAGGGCCGCAGTTTTCGATCTTGCAGACCTGTTATTCAGAGACTGGTTAGCAAAAGACTCGTCGCCAATTGCGCGGAATGTGGACATACGTCAAGACATCGTTTGAAGTCCTCCAGCTGATCACCGACAGACGCAAGGCTGACGCCAGCAAAGAATGCCACGAGAAGCAAGATTAGGGAGATGGCGCGAGAGCTTGGTCTCCCGCCTCGTAGAGCCGCCATGTCGCCAGCATTGACGGATGAAAGTATTCTGGAAGAAGTAAGAAGAAAAAGTAAGAAAGAGCAAAAAATATAGACACGTTAAGAAGAGGATCAGCAAGATGTTTGCGCAATGTGCGCCAAGAAGGAGGGGACGTGGATCAAAAAAAGGCCACGGTATAATTAGTGGAGGTTGAATCCAGGATACGGAGAGATGCCACAGCGACTTGGAGGTTTGTAAGGAAGTGCACAGAGAACGGCGGAGTTTGGGACCCAATTGGGTGCGGGTACTCGGAGGCGCTCGGAGCGGCGCTGGTAATCAAAGTACAGGTACGAACGTACACATTACGGCTTACACGGGCAAGTAGGTATATAAGATGTGAATCGCTTTCGAATCAGCTTGGAATTTCTCTTACCGAGATGCAAAAAGATGTGATTGTCTGATTGAGGAGCAGCGCATAATACGTCAATGTCCTTGGCACTCTTCTGCCTCAAATGCCAACAAATACCTACCATGAACAGCTCATAGCTGCATTTAGGCTCAAATACCAAGCAGCGCGTACCGGTACATGCTGGCTCCACGTCACATGCGGCATCGCCACAACCACACATAAATCTGCAAAGACGGGCAAAAATCCCATCTCGCAGCTTCATCATCACTGCCAACTATTTATTGATGCACAGCCGGCCCAACATCACCATGAACCAGCGCCATTTCAACTTGTCGCACTTAAAAGCCACCCTTGCAGACTAGCGCGGGTGCCGCCGCCGGCGCCGTTCCTGGAATTGCACGTTGCCCACAGCAACCGGGCGGGCGCTGATTGGCCAGCGTTGTTTCGCAAACATCACCCAGGCAAAAATAAATCTTTTGGCTCTAGTTAGCTCTCTCCGCTCTCTTCATCCTTGAACATGCACCCCTACGCAATAGAGCTTCCAGTTTCTTGATTGCTTTTTTGTCCTCCGGACAATGAGGAAGCGGCACACATAAAGTATACTTAATCTAGTTTGCGAGCAGCCTACTGTGAATTGCGCACCGAATACCATTTTTTTCTATCCCCGCTTGACCGCCGGCACGCATATCCCGACCATGGCGACGGCTGCATCGCCGACCCCAATGGCCGCCGGCCCTGTCCGGAGGGTCTCGCAGCGACAACAGGCTCTACGCCAGCCTCCCCTACGATCAGCCATGACCAGGAGCGAGAGCCAGCAGGCTCAAGCGATGCAATCCCAAAGCAACGCCAACCAGTACAACGATGACAGCTCCGAGGATGAGATTCCTGTGCCTATGAAGCTGAGCGCTCTCACCAAAGCGCTTCTCAACGATGGCCGATCTGAGTCTGCCGCCCAGGCTATGGAACGTCCACCTTCACCACCACGAACTCGGAGACGGACCAGCCAATTGGGGGCGTCAATATCATCCACGTCTGAGCGCGGAAGACACCGAGCCTCCATTGGCGGGCAAGCTCCCGAGGGCAAAACGTCGAGGACCTCGAGTCCTGCCAGAGAACATGGCACAAGTCCCGTGCAAAGGAAAAGAGTAGTAAGGCTCAGCAACACGCCACAGACCCTGAGTCAGATCCAGCCTTCGAAACGGCGCTCAAGCTCCTTCTCTCGATCAACACAGCGACACCAGCAGGCTAGCCGGCCAGCCAGTAGGGATAAGTCTTCCGACGATAAGCCAGAGCCGCCAGCAGACATCAACACACCTGCAAATGGGAATCGTGTCGTGAGGATCTCCACCAACTCTTCCGGCAGCCGTAGTAAACCAGGCTCAGCCGGTGTATCATCGGGGCGATCATTTGATCGCTCTGCCGTTGATAGGTCTGCTATAGAGGTGGATGATTACGAGCACTACGACGTTCCTGAGACTGTCGCACGTAACACGGCGGCATCTGCAGCTTACGGTAGTGTCTCACGACTTGCTTCAGCCAAAGGTCGGCTGGATGATAACGGCAACCCGCAGAGTTCGATGCGCATCAAGCGTGCCGGCAAGATCGCCGGAACATTTCTGAGCGGCCCTGCACGACGTGGAAGGCGGCGACAGAGCGAAGAGGATGCTGAGGGCGAAGGAGAAATGGATCAGTACAACCCTCACCAGGAGCAAGATCAAGACCAAGACCAACCGATGGAGGATGTCCCAGAAGTTAATTACTACCCAGATGGGAACCGAGATTTCAACTCTGGAAGTCCTGTTAGTGCAAGTGCTTCGGCTAGAGCGCTTCACAGGAGGCATTACTCGAGCATGGAGTCCCGTCCGGGATCCGGGCGGCCCTCGCCGCGTGGATTTGACCCTGAACCAGAGCCGCAGCGATATCCACCCCTAGAAAGAGAGAGAGAGGATGCAGAAGAGGAGGAAATACCATACAGAAAATCGGTGCTTTATCATAATATACCCTCCAATATACCCTCGACAAGCGAAAAGGAAAACGACATCCGCTCCGCTTACAAGCGCTCGAAATCTTCCTTTGATGATCCGATGGACAAGGCCCCAGCGCGACCAATGAGCATTGATCCCGTTTTCGCCAGGCCAGCTTCACCAGAACGGAAACCACTGGCGCCAGTCGCAAACAATACTCCGCAACGACCTGCTCCCCCTCCTCCTCCCAAGATGTCTGTTATGGAAGCGGCTACTTCAGCTACTGGCGCAGCAGCAACATCAACATCAACCAAACAGCGGAGAAACGTGCTAAGAGTCAATGGAAAAACTTACACAAGACTGGACTGCCTGGGCCGTGGCGGCAGTGCCAAGGTGTATCGAGTAACTGCAGAGAATGGGCAAATGTTTGCTTTGAAGCGCGTGGCTTTGGAAAATGCCGATGAAATGACCATCAAGGGATACAAGGGTGAAATTGATCTCCTCGGGAGGCTCGAGGGAGTAGATCGGGTTATTAACCTCTTCGCCTACGAGATGAACTTGGAGAAGCAGGTACTCAGCTTGGTGAGTAATTCCTATCATTGCTATATTATAACACATGTGGATTTACTAACGCATTGGCATTCATGTAGGTTATGGAAATGGGAGAGCGAGACTTGAACGCTCTTTTGGCAAGTCGTCAGAACCCTGAAGCTTCCAGATTTGACCCCGTATTCGTGCGGTTTTACTGGAAAGAGATGCTGGAGTGCCTGCACGCCGTTCATCAATATGACATTGTTCACTCAGATCTGAAGCCCGCCAATTTTGTCCTTGTCAAAGGCAGGCTCAAGCTTATCGATTTCGGCATCGCCAATGCCATTCAGACCGACGAGACAGTCAATGTCCATCGCGAAACTCAGATAGGCACACCCAATTACATGTCTCCCGAGTCACTGCTAGACTCCAACAACCCGCGCGGAGGTCGCTTCCCTGGTCGCCCTAAGCTCATGAAGCTCGGCAAGCCCAGCGATGTGTGGTCTCTGGGCTGCATCCTCTACCAGATGGTCTATGGTTTACCACCCTTTGGCCATATTGCCAACCAGATGGCGAGATGTCAGGCCATCATTAACTGGGATCACCACGTCGAATTTCCCTCTCGTGGCATGGGCGGCGCCCCCGTTCCCCCTTCGCTTATTAGAACTCTGAAGCGCTGCCTCAACCGAGACCAGCATATGCGCCCGACATGCGAAGAACTCCTTCACGACACTGACCCATTCCTGTATCCTGCAGAACTTAGCGACAAGGCTCTCCCCATCGACGAAGAGCTGCTAGGAAGAATCATTCAAAGCGTTGTCACGAGATGCCGAGAACGCATGCCTACAGAGTCAGAAGGGGCAAGCGTCTGGCCACAAGCATATTGGAGCAGTCTGAGAAAAGCAGTAGGGAATAGGCCTCATTAATATTAATAATCTGGATCAGAGCGCCAATGAAAAGGATACGAGCAGCTACGAACAAGAAGATCAAAGTCTATGAACTTTTAGGTCATCCTTATTTCAGGAAAAAACTTATGACAAGGGGAAGGAAAGGTGTCGGCCAAGTTCAAAAGGAACACATTTTCTATTACGACGTTCACGATGGCATCACCAGCTTGGTGTTGAGGAGTTTTACATCTTTTTTTGCAACTCTTTTGTCTTTCTTTCTTTGGTGTACATACACGCTACTTTGAACTAGAGCGGGCTTTTTATTATGAATTGGATGGGCTTGGATGACAGAAGGCTCTGCCTGTATAGAGTACTTTGTATTGGAGACGCTGCTTTGCGATATGGCGTGGAATTGAATGTCACATATCATGACTGTTTTGGCTTTTTATTTTTGGTACCTGGTTCTTGATTGGTATTGTGTTGTAATATTTTGTTTCCTTCTCTCTTATCTTTGCGCCCTCTTGTTATTGTACAGCCAGCAATATCCATATATGCTGAACGCTAGATGATACACATTTGCCTTGCAACGTCGTGACATCGTTTATCAAATTTCCACATCAATCTTTTCCTCTTTGCCACTTTTTCACCCAATTCACACCATTATTTTTTTCTCTCGCGAGCTCATCAACAATCTTCATGATGAAGCGTCTTCAACCTCTTCCACATTCTTAATGTTCAGCTCTGAGATCCGCAGGATGGTATATCGATGTTTGCTCTTGGCCTGGCGCTTTCTCCTCTGCCTCCTCTTCGTCTTGACCTTGATTCGCAGCGGCTCTGACTCTGTACCCAAGACCGTAGCACGGCACTCAAACGCCCTCTCGTCGATGTGGGGTGCACCCTTCATGGTATAATCTCTGCTGCCGATGACACTGGCCCGGTTCAGGCGGAGGACATCCCCAGGAACGACGCCGGGCATCTTGAACGGCAGGCGAATCTGGTCGCCCTCTTGGACAAGGTAGGGGAAGCCATGGATGTGGACAGTGATGTAGTGGCCTGGCTGAGCGGCGAGGAGGGGCAGAAGAGTCTTGACAGAGTCGTCAATTGGCTTGGGAGGCTCGGCGGGGTGGCTCTTCTTGAAGGCCAAGGGACGGACTTGGTCTTCGGTAGGATTTGGGGCATTGTTGACGTGCGGCTGGGCAACGGGCTCGACGATTGGCGCAGTGGTGTTGAAGCTTCGAGGCAGCATGTGACGGATTGGCTGTGCGAATAGAGGGGCGAGGCGAGAGCTCGGGGCCCTAAGCTCCAGCACGGAGCGAAGGAGTGCTCTGCTCATTGTTTTTGCTTTGAGCGACCGGCTGTAAGACTCTCTCTTTGTTTTTTCGGTCCCTCTGCAGCTTTCACGGCCTTTCCCCGGTCTGGTGTTTTCAATCGCACGATTGGATATGAAGCTTTGCGCTTTGCGACTTTCTGCGGCCGGCCCGGATTAGTGTGGCGCCGGGACCCGATGAAATCTTGGCGCCAACATTTTTTTTCCTCTTTTCGAGCTGGGAATTTTGCACCGTACCTGGCTCTTAGTCTCCACTACTGCATAGAAGCAAAGTCCAGGACAAAGGACAAACAACACCGCCAACATGGTATGTTTTGAGAGCAGAAGACAGTTATAGAATGACGATAGAAATGGCAATTCTAACTCCCTGCAGCCTCAGAACGAGTATATGGAGAGATGGCGCAAGCTGCACGGCCGCCGTCTCGACCACGAAGAGCGAACCCGAAAGCGCATCGCCCGTGAAGGCCACAAGGCCTCGCAAGACGCCCAGAACCTGCGCGGCCTCAAGGCCAAGCTGTACCAGAAGAAGCGCCACAATGAAAAGATCCAGATGAAGAAGGCCATCAAGGCCCACGAGGAGCGCAACGTCAAGACCGCGGACGAGAAGGAGCCCACGCAGCCTCTGCCCTCGTACCTGCTCGACCGATCGAACCCGTCCACGGCAAAGGCCCTCAGCAGCGCCATCAAGAACAAGCGTGCGGAGAAGGCTGCCAAGTTTAGCGTGCCGCTGCCCAAGGTGCGAGGCATCAGCGAGGAGGAGATGTTCAAGGTTGTCAAGACGGGCAAGAAGACGCACAAGAGGGCATGGAAGCGTGTCATTACGAAGCCTACCTTTGTTGGGCCCGACTTCACCAGACGGAATCCCAAGTACGAGCGCTTCATTCGCCCCATGGGTCTGCGTTACAAGAAGGCCAATGTTACACACCCGGAGCTTGGCGTTACTGTGCAGCTGCCCATTATCAGCGTTAAGAAGAACCCGCAGAACCCGCTGTACACTCAGCTGGGTGTTTTGACCAAGGGTACCATTCTCGAAGTCAATGTTAGCGAGTTGGGTCTGGTTACTGCTGGAGGAAAGGTTGTCTGGGGCCGATACGCTCAGGTGACAAACAACCCTGAGAACGAGGGATGCATCAACAGTGTGCTGCTGGTCTAAGTCATTGGGAAATCGTGTGGTTTCAGTATTGTTTGTTGAGAGCCACGGCTGTCAAGTGCATGTATTGGCGTTTTGGCGTTGGGTACTACCTTGGGAGGTATGGGTGCTTGATGTAGGAGGAAAGAGAAAAAAGACATATAAAAGAAGCAAGGGCTAGATGAGATCTATTAGGGAGATGTTAGACTTCCGAGGATATCAGGGTCCTCGTCCTCGATGCTCAAAGAAATCAAGGTCTACGAGTAATACAAGAAAGATGAAAGATGTTTGTCAATCTAATATTGTAATATCCCTCTATACAATCCATATGCTTCGATGCATAAAAGGAATACCAATGTATTCAACCACGTCCAATCTTCTATATCTTGTATTTAGAGCTTAATAATGGTCTGCTATTAAGCATATGTCAAATTCAGCGATTTATCAAAGTCTGCTAGCTCTATCAGTCCCTCTATCGCCTCTATCAACGCCTCCATCGCAATTTTTTTTTTCTTTTAGCACCAACAGCCACCGACCGCCAGACTAGCAAAACTCGGTCGTCCAAAAGTGGATAGCGGGGACCCTGCCAAAGGCGGTGACAAGGATAATTTAATTTTCTGCCCAACCAAGCCTGCCTTTCTTGTCTTTGTTTTGCCGCCGCAACGATTCAAGTCTTTCCAGCCGCAGGCCAAAAGAGCATAAACCAGAACAGAGAAAAAAGGCGTCTTGTTTTTTTTTCTTCTTCCCTTTGCAAAACGAATTTTTCTCTGCATCGATTTGTGCCGCCTCGAAGAAAGGATCGATAATAGACTTTTCTTTTTTTGTTGAATAGACGAGCCGGGTTTCTTTTTCTTTTTCATTTCCCCTCCATTTCTAATTCGAAAATGTCTGGCGATAAGATGGAAGTTGAGCTCGCTGAGCAGAAGCTCAAGACTATGGAGCACAGCGAGCAGCATTACTTTAAGAGGTACGTTTTTCCAATCAGCTGAGAGTGGTTCCCTGCAAAAGGAAAGCCTTGCGCGGAGACTTTTGAAGGCGACTATTACGGCTTTGAAGACGGCGACGCTGACTTATGCTTGCGTCTAGTTACGATCATCATGGTACGAATACACGAGAAAGAAAAAATGAGCCCTCCTTGGAGAATTGTTATCTAACTTTGAGTGTTACAATGCGCAGGCATCCACGAGGAAATGCTGGTGAGCACATCCCCTCTTATTTCATGCAGCTGCTGCCCCTCCTTCAGCCTCGCGTCGCGAAATCTGATGCGACAGCGCTACTGTTGGCTGCATCTGGCTGCGCAGCATCAGTGGATATGCAAAGGGAAAAAGAAGATGAAAGAGTACACAACTGACAGTTGGTGAAACTACAGAAAGATGAGGTGCGCACGAGGTCGTACATGAACGCCATTGTCCAGAACAAGCACATTTTTAAGGACAAGGTTGTTCTCGATGTTGGATGCGGTACCGCCATCCTTTCCATGTATGTGCTTCCGAATTTTCTCCTTTAGCGATTCCGCTCCGTCGAGCTTTTTTCTTTGCGACATGTCGTCGAAACGAATAGAAGACCGGTGAAAAGAGAGCAATGGGGAAAAAACACATATTCACATGATTTCTTTGCTAGGTTTGCCGCCAAGGCCGGCGCCAAGCATGTCATTGGTGTGGACATGTCCACCATCATCTTCAAGGCCCGAGAGATCGTCAAGACCAACGGCCTGTCAGACAAGATCACCCTGATCCAGGGCAAGATGGAGGAGATCGAGCTCCCTTTCCCCCAGGTCGACATCATCATCTCCGAGTGGATGGGCTACTTCCTCCTCTACGAAAGCATGCTGGACACCGTCCTGTACGCCCGTGACAAGTACCTGGTCAAGGACGGTCTCATCTTCCCCGACAAGGCCACCATCTTCTTCGCCGGTATTGAGGATGGCGACTACAAGGAGGAGAAGATTGGATGTAAGTTGCTCCTTATTCTATGGCCATATTTCACTAGTCTAACAGCTATATAAGTCTGGGATAACGTGTACGGCTTTGACTACACTCCCCTGAAGGAGACCGCTCTCTCAGAACCCTTGGTCGATACTGTCGATCTCAAGGCTGTCGTTACCGACCCCGTCCCCGTTCTGACCCTCGATCTCTACACCTGCACCACCGCCGACCTCGCCTTCAACACAAGCTTTACTCTGACCGCCAAGCGAGACGACTTCGTCCACGCTCTCGTTTCTTGGTTCGATATTGACTTCACTGCCTGCCACAAGCCCATCCGCTTCTCTACCGGCCCTCACACCAAGTACACCCACTGGAAACAGACCGTTTTCTACATCAAGGATGTCCTGACCACACAAGACGGAGAGGAGATTCACTGCAAACTTGATGTCAAGCCCAACAACAAGAACCGCCGTGATTTGGACATTGAGATTGAGTACAACTTCCAGACCTCCGATGCAAACAGAGTTGCTTCCGGCGGCAGCGAGTACAAGATGTGCTAAGCGTATGTTATTCTGTTCTTGATCGGAGTATTTTTGGAGGATTCAAAACAAAGACCTGTGTGAGGGGTTAATCAGAGGTCTGGGAAGACGACAGCGGACAATGGAGTATGGAAGAATGATGAGACAAGGCTATTCTAGTGGCGTACATATGTGATATTTTTTTATGTGTGCAGATGGGTTTAAAAGTAGGTAGATAGACCAACGCAGCGAGTGCTAAGACTCGAAAAGAAAGAAGCATTAAAAGATGATTCTCTTGCGGAGTGTAGCCCATGGTTTTTTTTTTTTTTTGAGTCTACATCTTTATCTCCATGTAAATGAACACGCCAATGTGTTGAAACATGCAGAAATGCTGCGCAAAAGTCACTACTCTCAGTAATGTGCAACGGCCTACTCTTTGTAGACGATGATGGAAGTATTTCATATGACAGCCCCAGTACAGCTAATTTTGCACTACACTATCTCTTTCTCCTTTGTTTTGTGCTGGACTACACCTTGTGTTCATAACCGTATACTAATGGCGCGGCTTTGACTGTAAATTACACAGGATATTTCTTTGTTGGGAAGTCATCCTCTTGAGAGTTTTGCGGGCAGTCTTTGTGTAGGAAAGTTTCTCAACCATTTAAAGTGACTGAGTGACCGTAAATCACGAAATCTTCAAGAAAATAGCCAACCAGATGATTCTTCAAAAATTGCATTCGTTAGAATACATGTACAAGTATCACAAGTCTACAAACATCCCCAAAGAAGCCACGGCAGAATATTCAGCTCAAGCATTACTAGAATAAATCCCGGTTTCTTTTATATTCGAAATTGCCCAGTCAAATATAGCAGGCGTAATCAGATCAGTCTTATACAGAGCAAAAAGGTCCAGGTCCAGCGATTTTCGATATGCCACCCAAATCTAATAGGAAAGACGATCTGGAAGAGATTCTGGTTTACATTGAAGAGTGCTTGGAGGCCTGCAAAAGAGGCCTGTATGAACACCCATGGAACTTCAAAAAAGCCTTGTCCGAAGCCAATGAAGCCAGTAATTTTGCAATGGCATACGGCATGAAGGATATCGAACGCAGCATCCGATACTACCAAGCCGAGTGCTGCAGGAAACTAAAGTGGTGGGAGGAGGCTTATGAGTTATACGAAAGGTGTACTGTTGTCACAGAGGAGGATAAGCAGTGGGTTCGGGAGATGCAATTACATTGCAGAGCTGAGGCCGAGAGGCTACGCGGAGATGATACCGAGGGACTAAGCAGAGATAATGCTGGGACCTCGAAGCCACGCAAGAGATTGCGGCCCAGCCATCAAGAAGGTCGTGGAAATGTGAAGGAGCATAGGGGGGCGGAAATAGAGATAGTCGTCACGTTCTAGTCATCTGATGTAGCCTGTGGTATTTTTAAGTCTACATCTTTATCTTTATGTAACTGAACGCGCCAATATGTTTGAACATGGGGAAATTGGTTGAAATGCTGCGCAAAAATGGGCGAAACGGCCTCTCTTACGTAGACGGCTATGGGGTTCTGTTTTGTGGAGGAACGTTTACTGTTCAACACGCATGACAGCACCAGTACAGCTGGATTTGTACTACATTAATCTTTCTCCTTTAATTTTTCCTGGATTACACCTTGTGTTCATAATCGTATACTGGTGGCGAGTCTGTGGCTGTGAATTGAACAGGATATGTCGTTGGGAAGTGACCCGCTGGTCTTTGCGTAACTACCCAGTGAAAAAAGGTTTCTAGACACTTTAAAACGACTGAGTAGCCACAAATCTCAAAGGTTTTCAGGAAATAGCCAAAAGGATTCTAAAATTTGCATTTCATGAAGAACGCGTATACGAGCCCCATAAACCCATAAACACCTCGAAGAAGTCGCAGTGGTGGATTCAGCTCAGGGGCTCTTAAACAAAATCGCGGTCTTCTTTTCTAATCAAAAGTATCCAGCCAAATATAGGAGGCGTAATCAGACCATCCTCCTTCAGAGCAGACAGATCCAGCTCCAGGGATTTCCGATATGCCACCCAAATCTGATGAAGACGATCTGAAAGGGATTCCGAGTCCCATCAAAGAGCATTTGGAAGACTGCAAACGGAATCTGAATGCATACCCTTGTAGGGTCAATGAAGCCTTGAAACACGCCAAAATAGCCAGTGAACTTGCGATGGATATCGAACGCAGGATCAGGTTTTACAAGGCGGAGTGCTACAGGATACTACGCATGTGGGAGCAGGCTTATGGGCTGTACAAACGGTGCAATGTCGTTACAAAGAAGGATGAGAAGTGGCTTTTAGAAATGGAAAGATTATGCGAAGGCAAGGTCTCGAAGTTATGTAAAGATCAGGTCGAGGCCTGGAGGCTACGCAGGAATTTGCGGCTCAGCCATTAAGAAGGTTGTGAAATGATGAATGAGCATAGGGGGGGAAAGAAGAGGGATAGTATCATGTTGCGCTGATGCAGCCTGTGGTGTTTTTGAGTTTATATCTTCCTAACAATACATGACGAGTGTTTGAGAGTTGATTGAGCCATGAAGTCTATTTCCATTTATACATATAATCACAGTAGAGGCTCTTGGCACGCCCCTCCCTCAGAAATGCAGAGGTTTGTCACGCCCAGAACTTGTGCCCGAATAAATGTTGAGATACGACGCAGAAAATACTGCTCACGTTCAATGCGAAACAGCCTATGCAAACAATGATAGACGTTCTCCATAACAACGTTGGTCGGTCAAAGAAAATGACAGCTCCAGCGCTGCTATTTTCGTACCATCTCTTCCTTGTTTGCTTTGTACTGTGCTACACTAATAATTCGTGATTGTCTGCTGCTGGCGATACTGTGGCTATAAATTGAACAGGATAGTTCTTTGAGGAAAAATTCCCTTGAGAGCTTTGCGGACGGTCTTTGTTTGGTAAAGTTTGTAAATCCATCACTCAAAGAGTTTAGGAGTTGCCATAAATAACAAATTATCAAAACAAATTGCAGACAAGGTAATTATTCAAAGACTGCATTCTTTACCAGGTAGGAGTACATATACGAGACTTATAAGCTTACAAACATACATAAACAAGCGGCAGCAAAGGATTCAGCTCAAGAGCTGCTAGAAGAAACAGCGATTTTTCTCTTCTCATCGAATTTGCCCAGTCAAATACAGAAGGCATATCACACTAGCCGATGAATCCATCTCCGGAGATTTTCGATAGGCTATTCAAGCCTGGTGAAGACGACATCGAATGGATTCGTGCTCGCATCGAAAAGCACTTGAACGCTTGCAAGAGATACTTGAACATGCATCCGTCCAAGGTAGAAAAGGCTTTAGATGAAGCTAATGACGCCAGTTCGCTTGCAGTGGCAGAAGGAATGGTGAAAATTGACCGCAAGATTAAATTCTACCGGGCCGAATGTCACAGGAGACTAGAAGAGTGGAGAGAGGCGGGCAAACTGTATGAGGAATGTGTTGTTGATGCACGGGATGAGAAGTACCTTGCGGGGATGCGAAGATTGTGTAGGGATAAGTTGTCGGGGCCACGCAACGATTCACGGCTTAGACATAAAGAAGGCTGTGGGAACTTGAGACAGATGTCGAGGTCGCACAATGATAAGGTTGAGGTCTAGGGGCCTCACACAGAGTCGCGGCTTAGACATAAAGAAGGTTGTGGAAATTTGAGAGAGTACTATAGGAAATAGAAGTAATAGACGACAAGGTTCTGTTTAGGCTTGATTGATGAAGATTTGAAACTTCAACATGTCCTTTGGATAAAGCTAAGACATTCCCTAACACCAATCTCGTCACGTTTAGTGGGATTGAGTTCTACGTAGTCTTGAGAGGTCAACAAACGGTGCAATGGAGATGTTTCTCCATGGTGCAATTAAAAATTTGGAGAAATAGTTTCTGTAGTTCAGTAGGAGATTTTCGTTTTCAGGAGATTGAAAGGAGACTGAACAGTTAAAAATAGATTCGGAGTTGACCGTTCACCAGCCTAGTAAGCGATTGCATAGATACTCCCGGATTGGGGGATTATGTTGGAAGAGTGGATATATACAAGCACATGGACAAATTGACAACTATAATGGAAAAGATATTCCTCCGTATGATTATATAAACAATTTGTAAATCATCATGCGCCGCACAAATGGCATCAGAGGATGAGCACTTACTAGTATTTATAGGGTAGCTGAATAATACCTTTAAGCTTTTAAAGACTTGTGCATATGCGAGCGGCTGCGCTCCACCAGGCGGGAAAGATAACACCTTCCACATGCAAACAAGGGAAAAATATAAATAAATTGATGCTAATCGAACACGGTTATCTCTCGCGACCTCATGCCCACTCGCCTTACATTCTGCGTGGTTACACACGACATATGCAGCAGGAGAAAGGGGATGGATCCTTGCACATGGAACCGTCAGTTCGGAGCAGAGTGGAAAAGGGTCAAGGAGATGTTTACAGCTGCGCGTTGTTATCTTGTCTGCACTACGTAGCATCGATGTATACCAACCTTGGGTACTAGGTAAGAAGAGAGCAAGTGTTTGGTTGCAGAACGGAATGACTCGACGGAAAATTATCTTCTTCCTAATGAGAAAGGAGCCCTGGAAATGGGTAACGAATAGTAAGCTGGCTCAGCTTAACAAGACCACCGCATTTCAGCTAGATAGCAGCCGAATCACTTGGCGAAACACAAGAAACCGAGGAAAATGAGAACATCATTTCCTCATCAAGGCAATAGGATCAATAAGCGCCCGTTGTAGGTAGTAGTAAAACTAACAACAATGGGGTAAAAAACGGCCCCTGCCGGACTCGAACCAACATTAGAAGTTTTAGACACGTTCTCGCACAGCAACTTGTTAGTGATCTCGCTGACACAAAGCCCCCGTGGCCTAAGGGCTAAGGCGCAAGACTTCTAATCTTGAGATTGCGGGTTCGATCCCCGCCGGGGGTTTTTCTTTTTTTTGCCCTTTTTGTCCTGCTGTGCGTTCAGCGCGTTTCTCTCTACTGTCCTTTTCCTTTTCCTTTTCCTTCCTCTGAAGGGCAAATGGCAGCAACATTACTTTTTCTCTGCTGTGGGGTCTTATCCTGATAGCTGCTGAAGAGCCCTCAACAGTCGCATCATGAAACCAGACGATTGGAATCAAAGATGGTAGTAGTGAGGCAGCTTGGCGTCCATCACCAAAGAGAGCACGCCCTGGAGCACATAGTCAGACCCGAATTGTTCCAAATATAAGGTATATTCGAACCACGAAGATTACCACCTGTCTAGGACTTGATATACTGGTACCTTGGCGGTACCACTATTTCGTCGCAATGTAACCCTCTTTGCCTCTATGCATTGCCCAGATGCAGTAAGCGCGATTGATAAGGCGCAAGTAGCTGGCCGGTACTGCGCGAGTTCTGGCAAGACACTGCGAGAAACGCTGGTGATTGGTAGAACTGGCGACAAGAGTGGGAGGCAAGAAGGGCAGGCCTGCACCTGCAATTCTGATTCTAGCGGGACTGCGTTGTATTACTACTATTTATTACTATTTCGCCACGGATGGAGCAGCATGTGGGATATTGCTGGTCAAGAAGTCCCAACTGACTGCTATACTGTAAGCCCAGTCAGCAGCACCCATCAGGCCTATTAGGCATCTACGTGTACTCAGCACTCACTTGTCTCGTGCACGGGACATGGATACCTGTTTCGAAGTAATTCTCCGTTGTATACGTGTATACGGCCGTGCTCGCACTCTTCTCGCTGTAAAACACCTGCACTTATGCAGCACCGCCCACCCATTTCTCGACAGGGCCGAATCCAATGCAACCCACGGCGGCGGACGAGGCCTTGATTGGCGAGGCGCTCCGCCTGTCAAACGCTCGTGAGTCTTGGCTCGGGCATTCACTTTTACCCGTTGCGCAGAGGGTGGCCGACGACATCATCGAGCAGCAAGTCTGGGGAAGAATACGCGGGGAGAAGAGGGAGAAGAGCCGATGCCCCGAGACAGCAGGACTCGAGCGCTGCTGGCTTCGCGGCATGTCGCTCAGTCGAAAGCAGTCGTATTGCTGGCCTGAGCAGGTGCCAACGGGGCGTATCGCCAGTCACGGAATATTTCGCTGCGCTTACGACTTGGCCATCCAGGGATGTTCGCACGTGTTGATGCTACCTGGGCAGAGATCGCGTGCTAGGACCAAAACCGCCGCGAGATACGATGCGATACTACGCCGACACCACGTCCCAACGTCTACCATCTGCGGAGCACGGCGCAAGTATGTCGCCTAAGCTGCGTCAAGGCCGTGTCATGAGCGTCTCGGTAGGGCTGCGGCACAGTTGTCCCGACCACCACAGGCCGTGCCGGTGAGACACAACGTCCAATCTCGATTCGCAGCTGCTTGGTTCTCGACGCTGCCGAACAGCCTATATTTGGGTACAACGCCTGGGGACTAGCCCTGTTCCTGTCAGATCTGCATCTACTGCCGACGGGCCTCTTACTCAGTTGGGCTGCTGCAGTGCCGTTGATTCTGCCGGGATGCCCACGCAGTCAGCGCCAAGTGGTCGCATGGACCGGCGACTGCGAGCATCAGTTCATCCGACGAATGGCAGGCCGTCCTCTGTGGACTATCGTGGCAGTGGTGGTATTTGAAATCTTCGCCGCATTGCTGGGGGCCGGTACGTACATCCCTTGCCTGTATCATGTATGCCGAGGCTATACTGTACTACTGAGATGCTTATCTGATTCATGAGCCAACTAACCATGTAGTCCATGGACTAGTCAAGTACACACAGTTCCAAGAAGAGACACAAGGTCGGGCCCCCCGGTCAAGAGGGCGTTTGGTATAAGTCATCGGCACGTTAGTTTCAGCCGACGCCGCACACACGGTAAAAGCCGACGTGAGATACCAACAAGTGTACCTCTAGCTCTAGGCTTCACATACGCAATATTAGCCAGTGCCAGCTTTGCACGGCAGATTTCGACATGGCAGCTCGCCAAGCTTTTCCGTCAAAATAGGTGCCGGCCCGAGGCTAAATTCGAATCATGACGCCTCGCGGGAGCTTGTTCTCGGGTACACGGATGGCTTTAGACCAATGAGACTCGGACCATCAACAAAGTTAATTTATGTCGAGAGTCATAACTGACAAAACAACTGAACAATACATCCTCTTAATGTTTTGGAAACTTGCAAAGTTGGTGGCAGCATTTCGTTTCCATCAGTATTGCGAGCTAGCAAGATGGGGCTTCTGGCCTGCCTCTTTAGGCATAAGAGATGAGCAAGTTAATGCGGCGTCTAAAATTTCTTTCTTCTTCTCTTCTTTTCACGTTGGGGCAAACCTTGTCACAATCTTTGCGATAGGCAGAGCAAGCTAATGACGGCTCTTGACCAAAAGGGGGGGTAAGGATTGTCGTGCAGCGTCTCGACTTTCTTCCCAACCCTGCCCACTTTGCCGTTTTGGCTGGATGAACTGATTCGGCGCACGCATTACATAAAAAACCCTCCGAACGGCCTTATTCTGGTCGTTTTGTATTAGTCGGCCCGTTCCCCAGGTCCTCAATAGACGACTCAACGATGCATCGCAATAAAAATGATTGAGTCAACATTTCCCCCGCATTCCTCTTCATCGACATGCAGTTCTGTGGCTGTGGAGTACTGTCGATGGAGGCTGGTGTCCGTGGAACAAAAATAGAGAAATTCCATGGAAGGTGGAAGTAAGCAGGGCATGTTACACGTATTATACCAAGTTTCAGTCGTCTTACTAATAGACGGGTACTGTGGGATATGGTCTATTATTGTGTAACCTCTTGCCTCTTTCTCGCAAGAGATGACATTACACTGAACTAAAGGCCACAGAGATCTTGTGATTATCAGTAAGTGACATTGGAAGTGGCTTCGCCGGACCTTGATACTAGTAAGGGCAGAGGAGATTAAACTTATCTGGGAGGATTGTTGGACGGTTTGTCGTGGATGCCTGACGACAGGAGTGGAGGGATTTTCGATGTCGACATTCTCCATGGTATCATTTTATCCAAAAAAGCGGAGGGAGGCCATCCGTTTGTAGTCGTAGTGGCATCAAACTTGCTTAGAACTACCGGGGCTCTGGACCCAACGTCTCGATGTATTCGAGCCAAAGGATCTTCGGATGGCCGTCCCTGTTTGGGTCGTCTTCACACGCGACTTGCATGGATTTGTCCCCGAGGCTTCCCAACGTCTTGTCGAAGAAGAAGGTGGGTGTATGAGAAAGCCTAAAACTAAAACACAGGGGGGGAAAGACGAGGAGAAAAATGGTTACTCGACGAAGGAGAAACATAAAGGCGGAATATGCCCTCACTCCCCCTATGCTTTCTCCTGGTTTCCCCCTGATCAAAGGCTTTATGAAATCTCAGTTTCAAACGTTGAGAAAAGTATAAATTATACTTGTCTCCCAGAAAAAGGAAAGGAAAAAAACAGTAGGTAATCAACTTATTTGCCCGCGCCGTCGGGGCCGGGGTAACACATGTCTGACAGGCATTATCAAAGCAGGAACCACCAGGGCATCAGAAAGTCGTCGAAAAAATAACACGACGTCGACGGCGGAACGAATGACAAATTACCTTCCCGTTTGAAACGGCTGATATTACCATCCAAAGTCGCAATCTCTATCCCCCAAGATTCTGCCTCAGCCTTGGAACCGTGCTTTTTCTTGTCTTCTTGTTTGCATGGGTGGGCGATCTTTTTCGATATCTTTTTGCAAGGCTAAGAACAAGAACAAGGCTTGCATGGTCTGATTTTTTTGCGAATTATCCACACCTCGGAGGGTAAAAATAGAAAATCTAGAATTTCGGGAAGATCCTTATTCACCTGCATGCTTGGTGTAGATAAGACGTTTGGACGGTAAGCGGGCTGATGCCTCTTCTTGGGTTCCCTGTTGCTGATAAGATTGTCTTGTTGTTTGTCAGAAAGGACATATAGAAGACGTCCCCTGGACTGTTCCATCGAAAACTCTTTTGCATCTGCACTCACCCACTTATTCACAGCAAGATTCCAATCTTTGCTTGCCTCATCACTAGTCATCCATCATCTTCATCTTTTCTCTTCTTCCTTCTCTCTTCTTCCTTCTCTCTTCTCATCACATCCTTGCCGTTAATCACTGTCGGTTTCAAGTGATTTATAGAAGCAAAGACATTGTCTTCGATCTTGCGGCAATACCCTGAACTGTCTTCGACTCTATCCTTTAGCCGAATCGATTTTGCTTCACATCAACAAAACCGTCGAAAAAATGTCCAGCCACGCCGCAGCTCTCATGCGGAGCGAGGACATCAACCATGAGCGGATGTACACATTTGTCGGTGCTGTGGGAGGCCTCGCCTTGATACCCATCGTCTTTCATCTTGGACGACGACTTGCGCAGAAGACCAATATTGGGAAGAAAGGAGTATCGGCACTTGCTGCATTGTCTCGGTAAGAAGAAATTTCATCAAACCTTTGGGGTGGTATCGACTCACTTCGTAGTAAAAAGAGGCTAAGACAAGAGGATAGGAAACCGCGACATGTTCTTCTTCACACAGCACCCGGCTTGCCTTCTCGAGGACACGCCATCCTAGTTTCGCTTTATGTTGTCATCAACATTGCCCTCGCCTTTACAAACATTAACAATCCCGTCATTGGCCTCACCGGTACCATGGGTGGGCGAGCCGCATGGTAAGATAGAAATGCCTCCTCGAAGCCCTTTAGAGGACTTGCCGTCTTGTGTTCTTCGTTCAACAAGCTGACGATGTATATCAACAAAAAATAGGATGGCCCTTGCGAATTTAACCTTGCTCATCTTTCTCGCCTTGAAAAACACCCCCCTGGCATTCCTCACAGCCTGGTCTTACGAACGTCTCAACATCTTGCATCAAATCGCCGGCTACATGTGCATTAGCTTTGTCATCATCCACGCCTCTTGCTACACCAAATACTTCACGGCCATGGGAAGAGCCTCCATCCTTCGGGAAGAGAGCGTGATTTATGGCGAGATTGCCGGCTTGTCCTTTGTCATTGTTGGATTCGCAGGTGCCGTCATTCGTCGGTGGTGGTACGAACTCTTCTACTATGTCCACATGAGCTGCTGGATCATCGCCATTGTCATGGTAGGCCTTCATCAGCCAATGTTCGGCAAGAGGATCGTCTTTGTTGTCATTGCTGTCGCTAGCGTCTGGGTGCTTGACCGACTTGTTCGCGTAACTCGCCTGTTGGTTTACAGCGTCAACAACACTGCTACCCTTACGCCTCTGCCAAACGGCGCCACTCGAGTGACGCTCAAAAAGGCTCCCTTGGGCGCCGTTTCTGGACAACACTGCTTCCTTTGGATCCCGTCCGTCCGACTCAGCGAGACCCACCCCTTCACAATTGCAAACATGGAGCCCATGGAGTTTGTTGTCAACTCCCATGATGGTTTCACTCAGGATCTGTATCGATACGCCGTCAAGAACCCTGGTGTGACCGTCAAGGCCTCAGTTGAAGGAGCCTATGGTACCCTGCCTGATGCCTCCGAGTACGAGAGAGTTGTCTTGGTTGCAGGTGGAAGTGGCTCGACCTTTACTTTTGGAATGGCGCTCAACATGCTCAAGAACATGTCCCCTGAGCAACAAGACAAGAAGATTGTCTTCATCTTGATGGTCAAACATAGGAGTGAGTCAACATATCTTTGCCCTAAAAGATAAAATCACAATGAGCTAACAAAGACATGAACAGGCCACCTTAATTGGTTTGCTACTCACCTCGAAACCCTTGCCAAAGATCCCCGCGTGCAGCTCGAAGTCTACGTTACCCGATCGTCGGCAGAAAAGACAGACGGAGAAATTCGCATAGGATCAGTACCCACCACAGCATCCTCCGAAACCGATGCCGAAAAGGCGACCCCTGCCGTAACAGCTCAGCCCTTGACATCTGCCGGTTCAGCATCTTCGGGAGAGTCGACTGCAGAAGAAGCAGAATCAGTACCGTCAAACGCCTATGACAATTCCGTCAAGAGTGGCAAGCCAGATATCCCTGCTTTGATCCGAGCTGAGATTGAGCAGACTCCAGTAGAGCAGCGTGTCCTGGTTCTGGGATGCGGACCTGAGGGCCTCATGACACAAGTCCGTAACACCACCGCGGCGTGCATACGATCTGACGGTCCTGGAGTAGAACTCCACTGTGAACAATTTGGTTGGTAAATGTTTTCGATATAATGCTCTTCTTTTTTCTTTTCTGTTTTATTGCATTGTTTGCTTTTTAAGGTTATGGGTTTCCAGATGTCTCTCGATCTGAGTTGTTTTAAAAAAAGTGCATTTTTGGTTTCGACATGTCTGCAAGCATTTTTCTTATTATAAAAATGGGTTTCGAAACTGGCTCATTTTTCTTTTTCCTTTTTCTTGTATTGGAGGGCGAGTTGCATTTTCACACTCACCTTTCTTCTTTTCCTCAAAGACATATATATTGTACCCCGATCCTATATCCACCTGTATATAATTTCTTCTTTTTTTCTTCTTCTTGATGAACGAACAAGGCCTGTATGTATGACGATAAACATTAGCATTCTCTAACCCTTTTTTTTGCTGTTCGCCGCGTGATGGTGTAGATGGTTCAAGAGTAACCTTTTTTTCCCTGTGTTTCGCATCTTTGCTTCTTGAGACTCAAGGATCGGGTTATAGTTGAACCGCTTTGTTGAGATTAAAGTATGATTTGGAACATGAGTAGCTAATATCGTCGAGCGTATAGAATAGAACTCGTCAGTTGTAAAGTTAAGACAATAGTGTGATAGAAAACGCAGTGAAACACATAGAAAAAGCAAAAACTTTCAATAAGAGCAAAACCAGTGAGGGGAACAAGGTCATTCATATGCAAAAAAACCAGTCTCTATGCCGAGGGAGGAGAGAGAGACTAGAGGGGAAAATTAGCCTTCAATATCCGTTCCTTCCATCCGCCACGCATTATGTAAGAATCGGGGGGGTATAAATTTTGTCTCGCTCGCTTAAAAAGAAAAGCATACTAATTAGTAGTAAAGCATACTAGTTAGTAGTTACATGAAGATTATAAATGCTTACTTTACACTCACACATCTCAACTAACTGCCCACTACACTACGGGGGGAGGGTACAACCTGCCTCAAAGAACCTGCCCCTCTTGGAAACCGCTTCCGACTGCGGGGGGAAAAAAACCTCAGGCTTCTAGTTCTTATAATGTGTGGGGTAGAGGTGAAGCAAACCAAGATGTGAAGAGCTGTTTAATGCCCCCTTTGTCTTGAGTCACCAGATTGCTTCGCAAAAGCGGTACGTTAGTACAAAGTACAGTACATACATATACATTACTCGGATGCTTTCCTATTTGAACAACGTTCTTCGGTTCGCTTACGCGGGACGGACCGTTTTATTAATGTGGGGCGTATCTTCTCGGGAAGTTTTCCCATCCCCACGTTTTTGTTCTTTTTTTGTCTCATTATATCGCATCGCACAAGAAATCCTTCGAGCGAACTTTCCACTTGCCGAAAACAGAAATATATAAGCTGTACTCAGCAAACAAAGAACATTCAAATAATCACCTGTTCAAAAAAAAAAAAAAAAAAAATGCCACCAAACCTCTCCTTCCACCCACCCCTCCTCAACACCGCCTCCCCCTGGGCCACCACCGAGTCCCACCTCCACGACCTCCTCCTCTGCCCCTCCACCGGCGCCGTCACTACCCGGACGAGCCTCATCGACGGGTTCCCGCACGCCGCCGATTCGCACCGCTACGCCTTCTTCGACCCGGCAACGGGAAAGGCTACTCCGGGAACCTTTTCCGGGCCGCCAGAGGACTCCGAGTCCGATGTCAAAGACAACGCAGCAAATGTGCCACCGGTTGCTACGCTCAACACACTCGGCTATAGCCCTCTACCCCTATCGCAATACCTTTCCATCATCTCCTCCTTGGCATCTACCGTGACAACTTCTTCTTCCCCTCCCAAAACAATCATCATCAGCGTCACCGGCTCCCCCGCCGAAATATCAACCTGCCACAATCTCATCCAAACATTCTCCACCTCACCATCCTGCCTCTTCCCCCTAGCCATGGAAATCAACCTCTCCTGTCCAAACATCCCGAACCTCCCCCCACCAGCATACTCCCCCACCTCATTAACCTCCTACTTCGACGCCCTCCCTTCCGATACATCCATACCCATCGGTATTAAGATCCCGCCTTACACTCACGCCGGCCAATTCGACTCCCTCATTTCCTCTCTTCTTAGCACCACCTCCACCTCCAACACCATCTCAGCCTCCAAACTTAGCTTCCTCACCGCGACAAACACTCTCGGATCGTGCATTCTGCTCGATTCTCTTGAGACTTCTGGCGATTATCAAAAGATTCTTCCGGGAGAAGGCATTGGCGGTATGGCCGGGCCTCCTCTTCACCCTCTTGCTCTGGGTAACGTGGCAACCCTTCGACGCAGATTCGACCAAGATCCTCGGCTAGCTCACTTGGAAATCATTGGGGTTGGGGGAGTGCATAATGGTGAAGGGTATAAGAGAATGCGCCATGTAGGGGCTCGGGCAGTAGGGATCGCAACGGCGCTGGGAAGGCGAGGAGTCCAAGTCTTTGCATCAATTGAGGACGAAATCAAGTCCGTCTGGTGATTAGGATATGATGCAACTCTCATATACCCCAGTCAATTTGCTTTGGAAGGAGAGGCGAGATATCACGCCATCATAAGTAGTTTTCATTTGAAATGGATGAATATGTGTGCAATAATTACACTATCTACACTGTCCTCATCTGATGAGCACGCCGAGCTAAAGTATAAAACCGGTCCCTTTTTTTTATAAATGCTACTAGCCTGTATTCCCACAGACGATATCCAAAACCAGCCTCCGTTTGAAATGGGTATAATGTAAAACCAAGCCAGCCATCGCCAAACACCAGACAAAACCAACCAGTACTGAAAAACTTTAGGACCTCAGCAAACATATTCGCGATATATGCGTCCCAAGAATAATATCCAAGAAAAGACAAAAGGGAAAGGAGAGACCGAGAACATCACTTCTAGTCATCCAAACTGCCCTCGCTATGTTCTACTTCGAGAGTTGGTGAAGATTTGCGCCGAGAGCCATGCAACTTTGCGCCCAGACCTTTAGATACCATGCCAATGAATCCGCGCTGGGGCTTTTCTACCTTTTCCACAGCTCCGGGTTCTCTATAAAAATCAGTTGTTATAGTAACAGAGTCTGTACCGCGAGGTTCTGCGTTGACGTCAGCAAGCACCTCATCTGTGGGGCGCTCGCCTCTATTCATCGGTGCGCGGCGGGGTGGACGTGGATCAACCATCAGTCGGGCATCCTTTACGTAGGTCAGGAAAACTGGCAGGGCCATCATGACCACTTGCATCGCCACGAGGAGTATAAATGCCTGCTGCACCGAACCGCCGCGTAGGATGATACCATACATGATGAATGGGAAAAACAGAGGACCAGATCCTCCCATCGTGATGAAAGCGGCCGCTCGCTTCGTTCTTCTTCCCTGGCCACGCATGCCGATGGCGAAAATAAGAGGCCATATTGGGCCCTCAGCAAAGAAAAACAAGCAAGCAGGGATAAACAATAAATTGGTATTAGAAGGTCGTAAAACAACACAAAGGAGAGCGGATATGAAGCAGATGATGATGCTGAAGCTGAGAATGGTTCGTGGCTGAGGAAGCCGAGGATTCTTGACAGATAAGTAAATGAGATATGTGGTGGCAAATCGTGAAATGGCAAATGCCGTGTGCCCAACCGTCAAATAGTCCGAAAGAGAGAGATTGAGCCCGGGAGGTTGGTCTGGATCAGCAGCATTGATTCCAATAGCCTTGCCGCCGGCGGCAATCATGCCGGACCTGGGCTGGCCGGGCAAGATGGAGATGATGAGACTGTTGAAGAAAGTGCTGTTGCTCTCTTGGGCCCCAACGTATAAATACTGGGCTAGAACGGCCAAGATGAGACTGACGGTTCGCAGCTGCAGGCCACCGATACTCTTCTTACACGGGTCCACAGGCAGCTGCTTGGTTGACTCCTCAAGTTCGCTGTCACTAACCTCGGGTAACGGCATGTAATAGAAAAACAGTCCGAGCACAACGCAAAGCAGGGTAATGCCAAGGTACGTCCACTGAACATTAAGGAGCGTAGTGCTGTTGCTCTGGCTGCTCGATTGGACGCCATTGAGAGAAGTGAAGAAGACCTTTTGGGCTAGGAGGCCACTGAGTACGCTGCCCACGGCCTGCACCGCTTGTGCCAGCATTAGGCGAGCTTCTCCATACTGCGGGGGCCCGCAGAGCACCATGAAGGAATTGGCGGCAACTTCGAGGACTGAAAGCCCAAAACCAACGACAAAGCTACTGATCATGAACCCGCCAAAGGAATTGGTTACAGCTGACGGCCAAAAGATGATGGTGCCCGTGCCGTAAATGCACAAGCCGGTGATGAACGTCGCCTTGTAACCCCCAATACTTTCGTCGTTATTTTCTCGATGACGCTTGAATCGACTATGTTCGTCTCGCCGCAGAATCCATTCGCCAACAAGAAGAGGACCAAAGAAGTAGCCTCCGCCAAAATACGCGCTCGTTAGGCCAATCGTCTGAGCTGTACTCATATCGTTTACTGTGGCGATTGCATTATTAAGCGTGTTAAGCAAACCATACGAAATCCCCCACAAAAAGAAGAGGATAGCCACTATTGTGCAGTATTTCCATGATTCTCGTTTATTAGCTCGGAGCATGCTCTTAGGCTTGGTCATGTTGACGAAGCCAAAATAGATGCCGTTTTCATAAGAGTGGTCTGTCGAGACCGTGTTAGTAGTGCGGGAGCGGTTGGCCGAAGCATTGGCCGTTCCTCCAAAGGAGGCCATATCGGGGGTGGTCAAGAATTCCATGGCACTCATGGGTGCATCCGGACCAGGGCAATCGTAGTATCGACCTCCAAGGGCGCCCCTAGCAACTGGCTCTGGTTTGGCAACTCCTGGTGAGGTATTGTTATTGTTATTGCTGTTGTTGTTGCCTGGCGTCGGGTTTTCAGAGGCTTGTCGGCTCTTTTCGCTGCTTGTATGGGGGTTATTATGCCTGGTCCCGTGGCCGCTAGGTTTGTAAAGCATGGAAGGCAGAAGCCGAAGGACCAGGGGCTTCAGAGTCGGGATGCAAGCGCAGGTGGTGCCGACATTGACCTCGACAGCACTCCACATCAGCGCCAGCGAGGCGTTGTAGGCAAAGTCGGCTTGGCCGCCAAATCTCGAGCTGGGATCGGTGATGGATCCGGTAGGAGCGTCGGCAATGGCCTGCTGAAGGTAGTAGATTCGGACGACATCCACAACAGCAACGAAGATACCAAGAGTAAAAGTAATGACAAGAATAGTCTTTTGCCGCGAGGGTAGCCGCATGCCGGTGAGGACAGGAATAGGAAGTGCGAGAATGGCAAGATCCGTAACGATGTTGACGGGAGAGGAGCAGATGAATTCGGTAAGCAGAGGAATACACTTTGTTGGACCGTTGTAATTTGCGTTCCAAGCAGCTTGTACCGGTGTACACTGAAAGATATTCATAAACGTAAGGACAACGCCAGCAATATTTACAATGACGAGGATGAGCCAGGAGGCAAATCGGAGAACCATTTGGGTGTTTTGAGTCAGGCGCAGATAGAATATGAGAATACTCGTCTTCGTAGCCATCAACGCCGGATTCTAGTATAATCAGCAAGCCCATTCTCTCAAGCAGACGACACGAAGCAGACGACAAACAGGGGGGAGGACACGTACATAAAGGATAGAGAAGACATATTCACAGCGACGGAGTGTAGGGATCTGCTCTGGAGGGATATCGATGTCGTGTTTGCCGAGTCCTTTGGAAACGCCAAAGCAGATGGTAAAAGACAAAAAGAAAGAAATGAGCCACGACAGGAGAATGATCCTATCATCCCAGGTAAACCGTTTGACAATAAAGTACCGAGATATCATGCGAGCGAAGACGAAAATCGAGGCAAGAACCAGTGTAGCTGCTGTGACGGCCAAGACGGCAGGTCCACGATTCGCCATCGAACCACCAGGTTCTGAGTCTGAATCCGGGTCCATGGCGACAATGTCGAGGGCATTGGGTAGTATTCGGATGAGTGAGATGTAGTCGAAAGCCCAGATCGCAGTCCGAATCAGGCAAAGCAAAGAGAAGGTTGGCAGAGGAGGAGCCCTCTTGGATGTGGGCAAAAGGCCAACGATAGTCAAACATCCGACAAAGCCAAGAAAGGAGAGGAAGTCGCAAGAAGCTAGCTATCCGGCTCTGATGCGGAGTTTGCCATTGCCTCGCGCCGCCGGGGGCTTGAATCTAGATCTCGGGTGTCGTCTGGCTTGGAGATGCTGCAGGACGGCCGCAAGAGGAGCTTACAGTATGGAGCAGCGGCGAGCAAGATGAGGGATCTTGCAAGGCCAAGAGTCTCCAAGCCTGAGCGGTGCCGCGGCAGCAGGCCGGGAGTTGCACGAGGATATACGCGAGGCCAGTCGGCAAGGGCCGTGCTCGTGGTGTCCGACCAGGCCAGCCCGAGGTGGCGGCTGACTCCCTGGCCCGGTAGAAAGGAGACTGCGATTATCCCAGGTGGTGAGATTGGGTCTTTTGGGGAGGAGGGCACCCTGGACGAGTGTTTTGGCTGCTGATGCAGGCACTATTGGCAGAAACGTTGCTTCTGCAGCCTCAAGGGCATCGCCGTCAGTAGTCAGTCCACCGCCCAATCTGCGCAGTTTTGGAAGACGAAGATGCGAGGAGGAGAAGTTCTATATGTCTCAGCAGAAGAGAGGTTCAGAGGTGAGGTAGAATTCGAGGGCAAGGCTAAACTTCAATGGCTCCTGCAAGTTGAGTTGCACATCTGATTCGCACTTGCAGCCAAAGCCAAAAAAAAAATTGCTCCAGATGCGGTCGACGATTCCCCAGCTCTGAAGGTGGCGGGCTTGCGCTTGCCCTCGAACCTGCGCCTGCGACCTGCCGAGAGCTACCAGCGCTACCAGCAGGGTACCTGGGTCCAGGGCTTGTACAGTACATGGACCGGCTAGCGGCTGGCCAGTACAAGCCCGGCACCGCAGATGCGCCCGCGCCGGGCTGCGCTTGGAGGTACATGGAAGTATTGCAGCCCAGCCGTTTTGGCGAGGTGGATGGTCCATGTACTCCAGTGGCATCGTCACTCTGGCGGCGCGGGTTCCGGTAGGCAACTGACACGGCGGTTATTATTTGATTTAGTGTTGCTTAGATTTGTCTGTTCCGGGCTGTGTGCGCTGACGTGGTGTTGGCAAAGCAGCATGGCCATTGTGTTTCACTTCAATTTTGTTCCCCAAGACTGACCAAAATGTGCGAGGGCTTCCCCAATTGGTGCATCCACATCCAGTTTGGACACCGAGCTGATGACGCTACAAGTACGCACACCTGCCCTTACTGCTCCCACAACTTTACATTCCCTGCAGGGTCTAATAGAGCAACAGAGGGAAGAGATTTCAACAGTGCAGAGCGTGTTAGTGGACTCCATGACCTGTGCAGTTCCTAGCAGCTGCTCCGCCAGTTCAACCACTTCTGTCACCCAATCCTGCATCGATATATGGCAAAAGAGCGGCGGCAGCAAAGAGGGGTCCTGGTGGCGGTATG